TTTTTTTTTTGTATATATATTTTATAACTGCCATAGTATATTTACGATGCTACTTATTGTAATTTGGTAGCAGTCAAAAACATGAAAGTGAAGATTTACGTTTTCCTTTGTGTAAAATTTCATCCTGCTCATTAATGCTGCTTTTAACTACTTATATTTTTATGAAAAATAGTATTCTTTTGATAAGGGAATTGAAGATTATATCTAAAATAACTTATAATATTTTTTTTAGTCATTGTACAGTGTAGTAAAAGGAGTACTCACTTGAGAATAGTTTAGATGCAAAACAATATTTGGATTTTCTCTATTATACAAATCATTGCAATGCTCCTCTTTGAAATTTCTGTTCTCCAATGATGATAACATCATAAAATAGCCTCTATATTCAATTTAAAACTTGTCGTTTAACGAATGTAATCGTTTCCCTTCATAACCTGCATTATAAATGAAACACTTAGAACAAAAATAGATGCATCTATATAAAACCATGGAAAAATAGACGCAGGAAGAAACTAATGTTTTAAAAAAACTAGCTGTGTTTCACTGCGTTTTCAAGACGATTTCGGTTGCCGCACAATGAAACTTCTTGTAGTCTTTTCTTAAATTCCTACCTACTTCCATACCAAAGTGAGAAAACGTAACTAACAGACCGACAGACAGAGTTAGGATATAGTAGTATGTATACGAAACACATATATATATGTATGAGCAAAATGGTATGCAAACACTGACTTTATACAAGTCAATCCGGTTTGTTATTTGGTATTCGTTTCAGTTCGTTAAGTAAATAAAACGTTGGGTGAATACCTTCATCACGTTTTATTTTCTCGTACGGACCAATTTTTAAACCAAAAATTTGTAAATTTACAACACAAATAAAACAGCAACCGAACTAAAACGGTCGGAAATTAATATTATTGTTTTAAATAAACATTCACTAACAAGTTTATATATGAGGTTTTCTCACAAATTGTATTTATACATAGTTTAAATATGTGTTTGGGACTATGATTATCTTCTATTTTATTACAATAAACTGCTCATTTCTGGTATACATGGATAATTGTTTAAAATGTAATAGCGTAAAGACAGGGCTTGCATCAAAAAAGGTGACTCAACAAATATTATAAAGTTTTGGAACTTATAAAATTTAGAGCAAATATTAAAACTAAATATGCTATGAAAAAAGTAAATTTAAAGACAATTTGAGTCACATTTTCACGACTCATATAGTGGAATGATATACAGCAGTCAGTCCTTTAAGTGGCAAGTCAAGAAAATAAAATCCCCGCTAATTTGTAAACGAGTATCCGCGAAGAAGTCATAAATCGCTTGAATAAGTGATAAATGTTGTTCAGAAACAATTGTAATAAATCTCGACAGCACGCGGAGAGCAATTCTTCGACCATGGCGCGCCAGAACTTTTCCAATATTGACGCCCGCCGCCATGTAAAAACGTTGGCAAGATGGCTGCCGTATATCAAGCATCCACGTGAGAGCGCATTTGACAGTCAAATGCTTATGACAAACGTCGGAAACTTGCCTCTTATAACTTATCTGCCCAAATAAAGCGCTCGTTGAAATATATTTCTCATCTGTATATTCTTGATAAAACTACGTTCTTTACAATACCGTTAGGTGGAGTGAACTATACTGTTTGTTACCGCGAAAATCAGAAACGTAGGAGAAATTGCAAACACGTCTTTGTTGTCATAGGAAAATATGAATAAGTTTAAAAATACATTGAGAAAAACCGTAAAAACGTAGAATTTAGTACCGAACATTGTATACTTATACGTTCTTGATTTAAATCTACAAATGAGTCATACCAAAACACGACCAGTATAATTTGTAACAAATCATGTCACTTCTATGTCATGAGCTTTGAATCCAGGGTGCACGTGTAGCTCTTCTTGATATTGTTCTAAAGTAAACGTCTCGTAAAGTTTTCCAATATCGAAACAGTGTCGACTGATGCAAACAAATTGCATCACAGTTCGTTCGGATTAGCTTAGAAATCATATTCAATTCTAAACAGGTACTGCTTTCGGCATTTCGTAAGATTTTCACAAGTAAAAATATTGAATGGCAGCTTTATTTAAATAAAATATTATGAATAATTCAAGTTGATTTGTAAAAATGTATACAATATTTTAAATTTATACAAAGATATTCTAAGATGTAAAATCAATGCGAATACGCTTGAATCATTTTACAGTTTGATATACATAGATGACTGGAACAAATATTTCTGAGAATACTATAAAACCGGAGCCGGCGTCCAATTGCAACTTCCCTAGATATGCAAATTGGACGAAATTATAAGACAAATAAAAATACAGCCACTCCCGAAGAGAATTAGTGGAAATGTATTCTAGATTAGACAGACGCTTTTTACCTTATTGTACCCGGGGGCGATTTGAGAAGGTAGTTTCGTGATTACAAATGGAAACATCAGATCGTAGGGGGATGTTGTCCAGATAAAGTCACATTGTTAGCTCGACTAATAATTTATTCTGTCGACAGTACTGTATCTCCCCTACGCTGTTTTAGTGCTCCATGCGCCACTGATCCCAGAGGTCCGCATTTTACCAAATTCCTGAGACGACGTGCTGAGAAATGACAAAACTTCTTATTTTTATTGTTCATCTTATCCAAACGTTTGTATACGCTACGAAAACAATATAATCTGCAGCTAGATTAGATTAAACAATGTTTAATGTTACAAAAATGGTCGTGTAAATCATTTCCCTTAATAAACTAAATACACCATATCAACGATCAGACAGGCAAACAAGCTGTTGAAGTAACCAATAATATTATTTAATATGTAAATCTCGTTTTAAAAGCGTCGCCGTATTTGATGTTTCCATTTCGATTCGATCATTGGAACTGTGGCAGTCATGTTTATTGATGAGGCAGCCTGATTGGCACATGCGATTTCATATGAGGAATTATTTGTTTGGAAAAAATGATGTAGAATAAACATAGCGTTACACTATCCGGGGCTGTCATGAATGTTGCAGCAATTTTTTGAATAATTTTCATGCTCTGAGATATGTATTGTATTACAATTTTTATCACAGAAAAGCTTTTTTTTTGTCGTAGCCCCAATATCTTCTGAAATAATATGTCAGCAAAAAAAAAGAAAACTCTTAGAGAAAAATAAATCCCAATGGAGACCGAAAAGTAATTGTGACTCAAATCATCAATCAGGCGTTGACTAGAAATTGTCTTGCCAACAAAAAACATGAACGTCTAAATAATAGATTGCGTTTATTTGGTGGACCAAGATGGCCGCGGGCTTTTGGCGGGAATCACTGAAGCGCATAATTGATAGAGAATACAGCCTTTGTGCTGTATCTTATGAGCGTTATTATATATAAAATGACTTATAGGCAATATATTAAATAACGTGTAATTTGATAAACAGTATAATCTTAATATTATTATGGTTGATAACTAATCCTTTATACAATACCAATCCTAATGGGATATAATCAGATACCTAATTGGTGTTGATCTCCCGAAATCTATTTACAACACTTCTCCTTTAACGGGATTATTAGTTACAGTGTGAGTAAATTGATTGGCCCATCCCACTTCGTTAACTGAACAAAAAAGCAGTTTGCGCATAAAATATGGATGGGAGCCGGCTTACAAATGTTCCCCCAATATTCTTGCCAAATTATGGGCACTTTCCTACTTTTATAGAAATCCCTCGTCTGGGTAATGCATTACCCAAATGTTGCATGTGAAGCATGAATGTAACTACAGGGTGATGTAAAGAAACCCCATCGCCAGTATATGTACGTCCTATGTTAAATTAACCGTCAAAACAACTTACCCGTCTCCTTTGACGGTAATAAAATAGAAATGAAGACATTTTTTTTATTACCGATAATAAAAAAAGTCGTTTCAAGATTTGCATATAAAAATAGTAATATCATATGCATCGTTTTGTTCTAACTGGGGAAATGTAAACGGAAACAATGAACTATATGAAATTTCAGCGACAATACTCACAATATCATGTAAATGTGCAAATGCATTAGCTATATAATGAAATGCATGGCGCAATGGTCCATCTGGGGTGCTTCCAACTTTGCCAAAAACTTTTCTGATTAAAACCGCCACCACAAACATGTCCCAGATAATTAACTGGGAACAATTTACTCACGTACGTACTCATTTCATCAATTATTTGACACTGATTGATCGATTAATCAACGAAATAAATGTCTTCATTAAAATAATCGCTAATAGGATATCATTTGAATACAACAAAGAAGTCACTTAATTTATCGTGTAGAACTTAAATTATAAACGGCGGCTCTGAATCTGTTTCAATTAAAGTATAAACTTCTATATAAACAGTAATAAAACAATCAAATAGCGATTCCAACTTGGGACTGAATTCAAACAGAGTATCAGTTCAAATTACAGACCTAAGCCTGCTCAATCTCAAAAACATTATGTAGGTAAGTCACACCGGCCATTTGGCGTATTATAATTGTTGAAGTTCAAAGTAATTTCTTTATGAAAATATCTTAATTAAGAAGCGAGACTTTAGCAATTACGTTAACGCAGACATGCTTTCTAAATTTAATGAATTGTAACAACTTCCAGCAAACTTAATATTCCTGTATTACATTACATTATGTGGACCCTTAGTGTTGAAGCAGGATTATAATCAATTTTTATATCGAATATATATATCTAGTATCTTAAACCAATTAACGTTGCAGAGAGTGAAATAAGTTTACCACTTTTCTCAGTTCCTTAGTAATTACAGTATACTCATTTCAATTTAATGGTTGAAATAGATACCTCAAAGGCTCTAGTTAAACTCCAGTTTAATAAGCGATTACATTGCTCCGGGTCAAAGGAATCTATGAAATATATTAGAATTTTTCCTTGTGACTGATTATTGGAAATATTTTTTATAGAAATATTTTGTCATATTACACATTTTATATTGTTTCTTTTTTTTGTTACAGAAATGTAGTGTATAACCTCAGTCTGACGGATCTGACAGAACAAAGAAGGTTGGTGTGGTATTCATCGGAAACGGACGTTCAAATGTGCGTCGTCAAAGGAAAAGATGAGGTATGACTACATATCATTAGATTTTTTTCATAATAAAATGAAATTCCTTGATTAATATAAACATACAATAGATTCGGTAACAAATATTAATATATTTGGATCGGTGTACACAAACGGCGATTGTCTTGTGTAGTCCCGAACGTGGGTCTAACCCAAATACGGTTTGTAAATTTAAAATAAACTAAGCTGACCAGATTTTAATACAATAGAACAATAACTTGGTTAAACAATGGCAATGTTACCTTGCGGGTAATTGAATTTGGAGCCACTGGCATATAGCTCGTACCGAACATCTAACGAATACCAGCAAATTAAAATGCCAATCGAGCGGAAATTCGTTTCTATGTCCAAATTACATAAAATTTATATAAGCAAAAGGTTAAAAATGAATTGAAAATACGTCAATCGAAAAATTTTCGTTCTGTGATGAATTAACAAATCTATTAAGTCTTTTTTTATTACTTTTAGAGTTCCATTGACAGAATCGAATGAAAATTTTAAATTAAAATCAAAGCTATTTGTTTATTGTGTTTTAAATGTACGTTGTCGATGTTTACATGAGTCCGGATTGCTATCATGACAAGATTATCAAGTCTAGGAGCGTCTTCTCGGTAGGATAGTTTACAATACAATGTATCACTAGTACTACCCCGTTCGGAAATTCATGCTCCCTGCACTGAAGTAGTCAATACTCAGACGTGCTGTGACTTGATCTAGTTACGAGATGATTGTGACTTTGATGGCTTTAGTATTTCAGACTAATGCTCATAAATGTCTTAGCTCAATTGAATAAAAATATACAAAATTTAGATTCATTTTATTTGATGGAAATTGCAATATTCTATTTTTCTCTCTTATAATTTAACTAAGGCCTTATTACATGTTATTGGCTCGCATGATATAGCTGTCGTGTATAGCTTTTGAATCAGAATGGGATTTAGTCATATAGGATAGTTCGACCGAGGCAGATTGTTAAATATTTTACTTAGAATAAATTCTATTTCTATAAAACTTACAATAGTTGTGAAATAATAGTATAAAATTTTGAGTCAGAGGTATTTAATCCATCTAATAAATATATTTAAGGTAGAATTTCCATGTAAGAAAGATTAATCAATTCTCAGTAACATATTACTCTTTGCATTAACTTTAACATCTCACACTCGAAAACTTGTACACTTTTCTTTTTTGAACAAAGTTCTTAAGAAAAACTAAATAAACTCGAACTATTCCTCACTTAATTCTAGACTATTTGAAACCTAAATAATTTTTTTTTCGATATCAATGTAAAGTACAAATTAACGTCCAATATATAATTTGTCAAATATTATATTCATTTAATGTAACAGTATAGTATCTAATATATCAAATTAAAATATGCTGCATGTCTTCATTGTCGGGATTATTGCCCCAGAGGTGGCAGACTGACATATTAATCCCCCGGGCCTAGCATAATTTAATATAAATTTCACTATTGAAATACATTCGCATTGCTATACCAAAATTTTATGTCAAAGCTATGTTTGGACCGACGTAATGATTTACCATCCAAATGTTTTATATAAATGGTATGAATAAAAAAAAACAACTCAAATAAATATACAGAAAACATTCTTTTTAAATGAAATTTAGAATGTGAAACGGAATTCATATGTATCAGAGTTGTAAGAAGTATCTCATATATCTGTGAATGCGAGGCAGGCAATCAGACTGCCGCTCGCAAGGATAGAATTACGGTTGGACATCTAGAGGTGTATGGCAATGCAAATGTAATCATATCCACGTTCATAGCATGATCACTGTTACCCAAAGACCTACCAAGATACATTTCCAAGACTTGGAACTGTTTTTGCTATTTATTGAGACGGAATTTTCCTCATATTTGATGCTATGAGCTTTGGAATATATCACATTCATTTCTCACCTGATTCGTGTTGTTATTTTGTTTTATTTTCTTGTCAATTCCACAGCATACACCGTTATATTAAGTCAACTTGTTTTAATAAAAACAAAATATTATTTTACGCAAGTATTATAAACTTAACTCAAGCATGACAAATTTAAAATGATGTTTATAAATAACTTTAATATAAGTCATGAAAATCAGATCTTAACAACATCTCGTACAAATTATTCTTCGTTTATACGCATTTTCGCATAAAAAACTAAAGATATCGCTCCCGTCATGGGCGGGTAATAGCGTATAAGACACAGTGACTTCATGGAACAAAGCTAAATTGCGAGTGACAGGGCTCTGGGAAAACAAAGCTTTTTTCCTGCTACATGTACCGTGTGTTATATGACTACCCGTGTAGTATCGAATAGTGTACGAATAGCTTTGCTTTATAAGAACATTTACTGAAACGATGTATGAGATCACTCAAACCGAAAATCAAATTAATACAAACAATTAACTAAAATAATTTGTTATTACTTCTTTTGAGCAAGCAACCAAAATTTCATGTATATATTTCACATTCTGTTTTAGCTTTATTACATGTGTAGATAATTTCAATATCTTAATAACAGGAGAGCTGCCAGAACTACATTCGAGTCCTGGTGTCTCTTGGTACCGGGAGACTCCTGGTATGTGGTACGAACAGCTTCAGGCCGTTCTGCAGGGAGTACAGTGTTCAACGCGACTCCTACCACATGGAGAAGGAGAAATCTGGTCAAGCTGTCTGTCCATACGATCCCGAGCATAACTCCACCGCTGTTTACGCAGGTATGTAAACATTATCACTACCATTAATAACACAAGATTAAGGATAGAAGTTAAATATGGAAGTCGTCTGTAAGATTACGTATATTGAACCAAATTTGAAGACAGAGAAGAATGTTATGTATTCAAAAATATTTTTATCAAGAAGGTCTGTATAACGTATATTTTTGTGTTAAAAAATAAAACTAAATGTAAAATTTTATTATTACTCTGTTCTTTTTTGTAAGCCTTAGTCGCGAAACGAAACGAAAACAGAATTTCAGAGAAATATCCACTAATACGAGTGTCATCAAACATCACTGTTATGAAAGATCCTGCGTCAGTTAAAACTTAAGCCAATAAAAGAATCCGCAATTAGTCAGATTCAGTAGCGAGTATACGTGATACGTCACGGGGCACTATAAAGCCGATTGCGCACGAATAAGCCCCAAATGAATGGGCGAAAAGCAACGAGCCGCTCTCACGATTTACGTTGGCGCTAAGCGATTCAGGGTCACAATTCAGTCTTACGTTCGTATGCATCAAGCTTTACATTAGTCTCTGTGCTATGTTTGATTGTCATTTTATTAAAAATTCTTGGCATTTAAGCAGGATTATAATTTATTACCATGATATTTGATATTTAGTTTTTTGCCAATTTAACTCTGACCTAATATATTGATAGTTTTGAGTACAGAAAATATTTATCTATAAGTTTTGTAAGCCCTTGTTACTATTTCTCATCTTTACAATGAATGTGGCGCATGACTGTCATGGAATTCTGATAGTCAGGAAATTAGGGAACGAAATCTTTTTTATATCGATCGGATCCACTTTCACAGTCTGCTGGCGTACAATGGACACTCATTGTTGCGTCGAAAGGGATCGAGTTGGTTATATAACGTGACAACTATACAGGATGATGTAGTGTTCAGTTGCTACGTGTCGGGATAAAGACTCGAATGTGTATCCTGAAAAATTATAACTGACCTTTTTGGTAGCAAAATCCGCGTCTTGGAGACGTCCCACATAACAAACATACATTATTCAAATAATACATAATTCTCAAGCGCAACCCAATAAAACACAGAACATAAGACGTGTTACACTGAACAGTCATAAATAAGCTGGAATCGTGACGAAAATCCACAACGGATCCGGTAATATTTAGTTAGATTTTTCTATGCGTTTTCCTCATCGACCTTTGTGTGCTTATTTGAGAAGTACATAACTTGGATAGAGGGGGATTATCCCAAACAAACAAACATAATTTTCTTTCCCACTCACCTTTGTAAGAAACCATTTATTATTCGTGTCCAAGAACACGTTAACATCCTATTATATTGCTGCGGTCGACTGAGCTGTAATGGAGCGATGTAAATAGTCAATATTGAAAGAGATTTCGGTAGCAACTCGCAGAATAATATCGTTAAATCTGTAACTTATAGGAACTTCGCTGGTGACTGTGGAATATTGTTTCCTAGGAAAATAGTTTTATCGACTGATATGAATAATAAGTAAATTTGTATCAACTTCAGGTATAAAATTAAAATTAGTATTTATTATCCGTCTATTCAATATAACATTTGAACCCCAAAATTAGCACTTAATGCAACAGCAACGAACATCATCAATTACTCGCCTTTTGTGATATTTCTTTACATGGTAACGTAAATTCGTGCCCCTTGCAAATTCATGCCCATTCATCAAACAAAAATGACAGACGGAGATATATAATTATCAAAGTTTGGATTTTACGAAGATTACTTCTATATTGAATGATTTTCATACGTATTTAAATATTAAATAACACGAAGAATATACATTTGATGTTGATAATTACCCTTATCGTTATATCTTCACTACATAACGTATGGAATGCGAGGTCATTCATGCTTTAAACAACATCATTATGTAATTACATTAAGTGCATACACTAATATTATTAAGCCATAAACAGTTAATTCTGTGATCACATTCATCACTTAACTAAATTAACTTCACTGTAAGTAATTGTTTCGCAACATACATTATAGACCTAGAAGTAGTTTAACATTTGGAATTAACCGCGAACGTTCGTTTTTAGTGGAAAGAGAATGGTAAATATATATTCGTGAATGTTTTTATTGTAAACTAAAGATATATTAAGCACTTGTGTATACGAGTATACATCCATTACTATCCTGCCGGTTAGTTATCTCCTATTGATCTGGACCAATTAAGCGTTGCCCCATGGGACCATTGGCAGTGTCTGCGCTACTGCAACTCTGTTTTATAACAATACATTTTGTATTGTTACTTTATTTACTTGTGTATTTCATTGTATCTTAATATTTTTACTATGTTTCTTATTTATTAATGAGGTTGGAAATATATAAAATGTTACATTTAATTATAAAGTCTATCTGTCCAAAACTTCTCAAGAACACTTGGCGCAAGGAGAATACGAAAGTTTCCGAAGACCGTGTACATTCTATACCAATTAAGAGTACACCGTTAATCACTACATATTAGTTCACTATTACTGCAATGGTTTTCTCTTAACGACTAAAGCACTGCAATGCGGGTACATTGCGGGGCACAACCGACCATAGAGGATCGCGATGAATTGAATTCGACAAACTATTTCAATATTTACATACAACACCATAAAGTTCAAATTCATCTGGAACGTATTGTGTTTAACTTGAAACAAAGGAAGGTACGGTTAGTAGGCAATTCCTCTGATATTTATGAGATACTCAGTTACAATAATACTGTTTTCCAATGTTTTTATCCGAATTATATTTATTGAACGGAATAATAATTATATTGAGGTGCCCGTTGAAAACAGCTGTTCAGATTCGTAAAATACACAACTAATGGCAAAACGAGTCATAAATTTAGTTCTAAAACAGTACAAGTCACCTAAATAGAGGTAATTAATAGTTAAATTTAGTCACGTAAGCCGAATGCATGTTATGCACGTTACCAAGCATATTGAATTATTGAATTTCGTTGCGAGGTACAGATATCATTTCTGCTAAATTTGTACTTGCAATGTACCAACACATTACATTAGGAATTCATTTATCTATAGTTATAACTTGTAACTATCGAGTGAGCAATTTTAATGTATTTCTATATGTAATAATATATTTTTCAGATGCGGAATTATACTCTGGAACGGTGGCGGATTTCAGTGGCATGGAGCCAATTATCTACAGGGAACCGTTACAAACAGAGCCCTACGACTCTATGACGTTAAATGGTAAATTTATTGACTCGCTTTAGTTGCCAAACTAAAATAGTATCCTTTTTGACAAGATTTTCTTCTAGCAACATTTCAAAGCAACAATGTTATTATTGTATATACGAATGAAGTTTTGTTTTATAACATTTTGAAACCCTTTCAATTTTGGAGAATATAAATAAAATTGCAATTTAAGGTTATTTCTATCTTATCATCTACATAGTAAAGTATTGACGTCAGATATAAATACTCCTTTCTAAATATATGTATATGAAAATTGGATGTGCTAGCCACATAGAAAGTCCATTCTAAATCAAATTAATAATGAATGAGCGTTCAAAGTATGAACTATAACTGTATTAATGTAACTAGCATTAATGCAAATGATGCGAACTTATTACGAAGTCAATTTATATGTAAATAAATTTATCTTTGTATACAATTTTATAATAAAGCAAAACTTAACAATTCACTAATTAAGTATTTATACGTTTTTATATGATTTAAATATTTTTTAACAAGAATCAGCAAGAAGAGTGTACGCCTTTTATGATACTTTTTTATACTTTTTTTAAAAGACTGGAAATGTATTAAACGTTATTAGTTATGAACCGCTCAATAGAGAAAGTTTTGGTTTTTGAAAATTATAAAACTCTTTCAAACTGCATATTTAAACTGTTCATAGAATTCAGCTTTAGTCTACTGAACGAGTTTAAGAACATGCTATGTCTTTGTCCATTTTCTGATTCCTTAATGTAAAGTAAATATTTATATATAGTGTATTCCGTCCACTCCATCTCCTTCAAATACAACCGTCAGATATACAACCGTCAAATTAACTCAATTTACGTTTCTGATACACCCCACCGTTGGTATTTAACGAGACAGCCGGTAAATGAGATTAGGATCGTATTAAAATTATCGACACTGTTAATTCTGTTAGGGCTGCGAGTTACATTGAATACACCAAAGCAAATTGTTCCGTTATTCCGACATTTATTGACGTCCATTGAGTGTGATATCTGTTGTCGATAGTAGTTTTTATTATTTAATTCGTATGTTTAATTATTATTTGTCAACCCTGGATTAGTGATCAGATTATGAGTACGTTATTCACTATCGAGCTGTTTGGTGATGATGTTTGTTTTGTTCACAGCACCAGATTTCGTGAATTCATTGGTTCACGGTAATTTCGTGTATTTCTTCTTCCGTGAGACCGCTGTCGAGTACATCAACTGTGGGAAGGTTTGTAACCAATTCCTACAAATATTGTAAATTATTTATTCTACATTATTTTTTTTTGTTAAAAAATCACACAAACTTACGAATCGAGTTTGTTAAATGTATATATTTAAATGCTTCTGGTACTAATTCACTTTTTAACCCATGAATGTCCAAATTTAAGTATCTAGATGTATAGTAAGATATATCAATAGCCACTCCAGTCGCAGCAAAACGTAGATACATCTAATATGTATTATTTATCACATGTATGAAATTTACAGATTTATTGTATACTAATACAGAATTTCTTTGTTCGTAATTAATTTTGTACATAATGTGAATTGCGTACATTAGGTACTTAAGGCACTGTTATTGATCCCAATAACTTAGTCTTATATATTGAACAAAAAATATTACTTACGTTTTGGTTTTTATATATGTATATATTAAACCGCAGGCGGTATTCTCTCGAGTGGCGAGAGTTTGTCGAGACGATCGCGGCGGTCCTCATAGATTCAAACAAAGATGGACCTCATTTCTAAAGTCGAGACTCAACTGTTCTGTGGCCGGGGACTTCCCCTTTTACTTCAATGAGATACGTAAGTGTTGAAACTGTGATATACTTTAATGACTATAGAAAATTTTCGCGTTCTATTTAATTTTAATAAAAAAAATAGTAATTTTCATACTATCACGAGCGTAAAAACGAGGAATTTAAGTCAAAAACTGCTACAGACTTTAATGACTATAGAAAATTTTCGCGTTCTATTTAATTTTAATAAAATAATAGTAATTTTCGTACTATCACGAGTGTAAAAACGAAAGGAGTAAAGTCGAAAAAATTTCATTGTATTACAGAATCGACCACGGAGTTAATAGAAGGTGTATACGGTGGACTAAATGCTCAACTAATATATGGAACATTCACAACTCCACCGAACAGTATATCAGGGAGTGCTGTCTGCGCGTTCAGTATGCAAGATATAGCTGACACATTCGAGGGTACCTTCAAAGAACAGAGTGCTATTAATTCTAATTGGCTTCCTGTTAACAGCGCTAAGGTTAGTGAAATATGATAAATATATGTATTACCGCTTTGTTATATATTACGTACTTAAAGATTAGACCATTGATTTCTACTAATGATTTGTTAGAGTGTAATAGAATTTGAATCTTCATCGTCACTCAAGAAATTAGATTTAAAAGTAACAAGTTACAATTCTAAACAGAAGACTATAAAACTAACATAAAAATCCAGGCATACCCTAATACTGTAGTCTAGTAGTTTTTGTCAGCAAAAATATAAGTCATTTACCAAAAAATTACTTTATATCTACGAATTCTTATCTACCCACTTTTAAGTGTAATATGTATAAACGATCGCAAGAACTTATACGTACTAACAATAAAGTAAAAACTGCAGACAAATTCGTGATTCATCTAATCTTGCTATTAACAATAAAATAAGCAAAATAACGAAATAGAAACGACGATATACAAGCTAGGGTAGAAACGAATATCGTTTTTTAAAATGTCGAACGTGTTATATATATATGTATATATGTATGTCTGTTATATATGTATGTATGTCTGTCAGGTGCCGGAACCCCGACCGGGTACGTGTCACAACGACTCCAGACAACTTCCGGACCAGACGTTGAACTTCATCAAAACTCACGCCCTGATGGACGAATCAGTGCCAGCCTTCTTCGGGGAGCCAATCGTTATAAGAACTAGCTTTCAGTAAGTCTCAAGATTTAAATATCCCATTTGTATGTTGAAGGATTTGTTATGATAGTTAATCGATATAAATTTTAAGAACAAAAAAAAAACTCTCTATTTGAATGTCTAACTGATTTTATTTTTATAAAATTCCGAATATCTGTAGTAATAGAATAATTATTTTCGGACAAAATATATTTTGGGATAGCATTCTTTATTTGAATTCTTGTCAATATATACACCAATTATAAAAAAATCGTTTAATACAAAAAATGTTAACGAAATTTTGAGAGAAACCTTAGTAGTAGTAAAACCAAGTACATAAAGAAATCAGAATTAAAAGGTTATACTTATTTATATTTATTATATTTAATTTCAGCTATCGATTCACTCAAATCGCTGTCGATCCACAAGTGAAGACTCCAGGTGGGAAGGCGTACGACGTGTTGTTCATTGGAACTGGTATGTAAATAAATTAAATAATACTGATATTATAAAAAAATATATGTGTATGTGTGTGTATTTGGTTGTTAATCTGTATGGGTGTGTGTGTAACTTACTCACAAAAACATAATAGAACTTTTTTTTTGTCTTTGCAGTAGCTAAAATATTTTTACTTATTTCCCTTTTTATTTTAATTTAACTATATTACACGAAAGCCTTTAGTTTTCTCCATTAACAAGAAATAGCTGTACACATATAAACACAATACAGAATGGAGTTCATAAGACTCTTATTTTACTTATTTCCCTTGATATACAAAATTTCTACTTTAATAACCAAATGGTAAGCCAATAATTTTCTCCACCAACAAGAAATAGCTGTACATTTATAAACACAACACAGAATAGACTTTACATGACTCTTATATGCCAATAATATAAAATAGAGTTCATTTAATTCTTCTATGATACAGATAACGGCAAGATCATAAAAGCTATCAACGCTGTGTCATACGACTCTAACAAGAGGGCGGTGCCGGTCGTTGTAGAGGAGCTCCAGGCCTTCGCTGCCGGCTCTCCCGTACGAGCTCTACGTGTGGCTCGAGCCGGTAGAGACGCCGCCAGACTGATAGCTGTCTCTGATAGAGAAGTCCTAAGTTTAAGGCTACATAGATGCTCCAGTGACAAGATCAGTTCTTGCTCGTGAGTCATTCTATTGTATTTATTCTTACAATATTAACCCTCCATATATTGTTTTAGATGAATTTGAGTATATAGGTATTAGCACTTTACTGTAGTTGGACGTTTTATTTAATTGACAATTTTAAAATAACTTCGTTTTCTATTCCATCATACTATATCTAATTTCCAAAAAAAAATTAACAAGTGGTTTCGAATCACTTCAATATTATAATTTATTCAAAAAAACTGACGAACTTTATCTATAACTCTAAAAGACTGTAGAAAAATCCTCTAATTTATCATATATATATGTATGTATATAAATGTTTTATTCCTCAGTGAATGCGTGGCGCTTCAAGACCCATACTGCGCGTGGGACAAGCAGGCTGGTAGATGTCGCTCATACTCACACGGAGTCAGTAGATGGTTGGATGAAAACTCTTTCTACCAGAGTGTTAGCACTGGGAGCCACGCTGCATGCCCACACAGTAAATTTATAACAACCCTTTATTATTTATTTTATTTTATTTGGATAACCAACAAAAGAAAACATTATTACATTCATTTCATTATCAAACTATTAATAATAACTTCAATATCCTTTTAATTATAGGCTATCACACCATGCAAAATATAATAATTGTAGAAAATCAAAATTTAAATTAAAAAACAATAATAATAAATTCAATAAAATACATTACATAAAAATCATTAACATTGACATAACTAATAATATTATTATTTATACATTTATATATATTTTTAGTATTTAATAGATATTTCCCATTTATTGACTCTCATTTTTTTGTCTTATATATACAAATAGAACATGACCTTATCAAACTATTTAGTCTTTTTTAAATCATTCAGTTTAGTAATAATGTTGAGTTTTAAGGGTCAAACATGATCTTATAAAACAATTTATAAAAAAGTCATAAACTTTAGTAATAATGTTCAATTTAAAGGATCAAAAGTGATTTTGTTATGAAAATGTTTGATGTATATTACAGGTAAAGACGCAGGCGCTGTTGGCGGACTCAGTTCAGGTCTATACGACCCACCCGGGGAGAACAAGGGTGAAGTCATCAACATAGTGCAGGATAAAGACGGAAAGAATGGAAACAATAATAATGAGGGTAGGCACAAGAATTATATCAAAACATTCAAACCAAAATAAGTTGTTTCAGATTAGTTCAAAATTTATCATATAGTGTAATGGTATCGAACCAAATCTAGGAAAACTTTGTCTTTCAACAAATCTATGATACAAACAAAGTTTATATTATAAATATATATAATACTAGCTGCGCCCCGCGGTGTTACCCGCGGATTTCCGGGATTTCCGGGATGCAAAGTAGCCTATTTGTTATTCCTATACGTCAGCTTCCTGTAGACAAAATTTTATTAAAATCGGTTCAGCCGTTCGAGCGTGAAGAAGTAACAAACATACACACACACTCACAAACTTTCGCAATTATAATATTAGTAGGATATAGAAAATCTTGAGATGCTAAGATTTCAATATGTCAACTCAACTGCCAATAATCATTTCATTTCCATTCTAAATAATATGTCATGTCACAACTTTTTGGTATTTAAGTTTCTTTTATATGTATATAGCCGTTTTTAGATTTTTGTTATTATTATTTTTATTTCTTTTTGGAGTTATTATACATACTTTTTTTCAGCATTTAATATTATTTTTTTATTCTATCTAGTAAGTTTTGGAGTAAGATCTAAACATTTTGTAACCCATCTTGAGTTAGCCTGTAAATGATGATACGCAACTGTAACAATTATCTTCCATCATGTTATAATGTAGTTATAAGTGTTTGTGTATCACGTTGGCTTCCTATTAAATAAAATAAAATAATCAATGACCATGTATTCCAGGACCAGAAGTCTTAGCAGCTGACCCTCCACCAGCAGCCTATTCAGTAGAGACTCTAGCGTTGGCCGTCGCCGCGGGGGCTCTCGCTGCACTGGGCGCTGGCTTCGCTGCTGGCTACATCTGTGGTAGAAGATGCAAGAAGGATGACGACGATAACATGCCCTACCCTGATACTGAGTATGAATACTTCGAGCAACGGCAGAATATTAACAGGTGGGATAATTATATTGGAGTTACTTACTATATATATTACTACTAGTTTCCCGCCCGCAGCTTTGCCCGCGTGGAGTTCGGTTATATCGCGTTTCCAAGAGAACCTATCAAAAGTCTGGGATAAAAACTATCCTATGTTCATTCTCAAGGTCAACTCTGTCTGTACCAAATTTCATTGAAATCAGTTCAGTGGTTTAGGCGTGACAGCGTAATAGACAGACAGACAGAGTAACTTTCGCATTTATAATATTAGTAGATATATGGATATTGTCTTGATTTTTTTTTTAACAACTAGCCTAATATTTTTATTTTCTTTTTGGTTATAGAAATTCGCTTAGCACTCATGATATAACATCATTATGCGTAAAATATATAACTGCATAATATATAATAGGATAGTTCAAAGAGCCTGTTAAGAATTTACCATATTTATTAATTTATATAAATCTGATTTGATAAAAACTGGTAGTTTTCTAAATAATTATGAACGCATATTAAATCCGAAAAATATTTATTAGTTTTATCTCAATAAATATTCGCGAAAATCTTAAACCTCATTGCTAGGAATAGCTAAATTAAAGTCAATATATGTATCTTTTATATTCCCAATTCAAGGATCCAAGCGGAACCGAAGCTGCTCCAACAGGTTGAGGAAGTGACGTACGCGGAACCAGTCCTCGCGCCGCAGCCCAAGCCCGCGTCACCCCGCGCCACCCTCAGAAAGCACCCTCCCTACCACCCTCACCACGAGACACTGTTCCAGTTCCAACCTGACGCCTACCGTCGGGATAACTTCGGAACCCTACGCTCTCATCAGGTCAATGTCAGTTGTGCAACTTTCTATTTCTTTACCCTTTAGATGATGATTTAATTCTATCATCATCTAAATGGATTTTTTTCCGAGCTTCTATAGATAATTTTTGGTCTTAATATTTGTTTTCATATTCCATCAGACCAAGTTATCTATTAAAGCTCTTGATTATTTTTTTTACACTACCAAACACTTCCCTTTTTGATGTTTGCATCCGGTTTTCTTATTTTCTTCACACGAAAACCACTGTTTTTATTGATATCTTTTTATCTTTTCTAAATGAATGTTGTGATTTCCTTTTGAGCACAAAGCACTTTGTTTATAACTGTTGCTTGTTAATGTTACGAATAATTAATTCCCTATACCATTTATACAATTAATAGATTCTAGAGTTATCCGGTTTATGAAGAAAACAGGTTTGTCAAAAAAAAAAACTTAAAATCATCATTCAAAATTCATTCTAACCGCAATCATGAATTTGTCATTTCATAACTAACCTGATTAATCATCATGTGTAATCTTTGTCAACTAAACGAAATCATTAAATCCATTACTAACCACCGCTTGCACGTGACGCGCTAGGTTCGTTGTATAACCGTAAACCAAAGCCCGTCACAAGTAACGCCTCACTAATACCATATTCTCATGCATCATATTCACTGCGGGATGTCAGTTAACGCAGGAATATTCGGACCGCAGGGCGATGGCTACCGTCGCGGTAACGACAACGGGTTCTCGACCACGCGCTCAGTGAAGAAGGTGTACCTCTGAGAAACAAGCGGGGCGGACGCGCACCAGATGCATCACAAGCATACTACACACCATCACCATACATTGGGTATATATACTCATTATCTTTATTTATATAATTCTTCTGTGTGTATGTCACTGAACTTCTCTCAAACCACTGGACCGATTTTGATGAAAGTTTTTGTGTGTGTTCAAGGGGATCTGGGAATGGTTAAGATTCACAATTTTGTCCGCTGGACAATGTTTTTTTAATTAATTTTTAATTTATTAGTAGTTGTTGATACAAACGTTTTTTTTTTAGTATAAGATTTGATAACTAACTAATATGTCAATCAAAACACGGAGATTTATGACTTTAATAGGTAAACTCCAAAAATATAAATAAAAAAAACATAACAGATATTTCTTGATAACAGGGCGATACGAAATTCGCAGGGTCTTCTAGTAATCATATATATGTAGATACAAACCTGTTACTGAATGGATAACGTATCAGACTCGCTTATAAGTATAAGCTATTGGTTTTAATTTTAATCAGTGTATTAAGCACGAATGCTAATATATACATATATAAAACATACGCAAGGTGAAAATTTTCGTAAAACTATCATATATGTATTTATGCTGATATACGAAACAACGTTTTATTAAAAAAAATTGTAACAAATGGAAGTATTACTATATTTAAGATTAGTTTAATCCTTCCCAAAATTCAAGTCTTCATTTTACATGTCAACTCCTATAGTATACAAAAGTCTACATTCACTACAAACCTGCAATTTTGATTAGGAAGATTAAAACTTAACATTGCTTTTGTTCTTTTTCATAGATAAGTCTCAAGTAACTTTTGTTTATACTCAACTAGCTACGCCCCGCGCTGTTACCCGCAGATTTCCGGGATGTAAAGTAGTCTCTGTGTTATTCCTGGACGTCAGCTTCTTCTTCTACCTGGCAATTTTCCAGCTATAGTCAGGGTCTGCCTTACATGTTGTGAATAGTTTTGGCTATTTGTTTTTACGACCGGCCGCCTGCCTGACATCAACCATCTTTTTGGGAATCAACATTAATCAGTGATGTCTAAATAGTCTTAGAAAGTACATATGACTCGGAAAAATCACATTGGTACTTGCCCGGGCCAGGATCGAACCCGCGCCCTCAGCAACGAGAGGACGTCAGCTTCATGTATACAAAATTTTATCAAAATCATTTCAGCCGTTTGAGCGTGAAGAAGTAACAAACATACACACACACACACACACACTCACAAGCTTTCGCAATTATAATATTATCAGAATTTATTTAATCCGTCCCTCAACATTATACATGTCAAATCCTGTCATGTACAAAAATTTAGATTCACTACAAACTTACAACTTTGATTAGGAAGATTAATACTTGACATTGCTTCTTTGTTCTTTTACATAGTGTCAAATAACTTTATACTCAAGTCAATATGTATATATGGTCCAATATATTAATATGTATGTGTGTATGATTTCTTTTGTTGTTTTACACAGATAAAAGTGTCGAATAACTTTTGTTTATACTCGATATGTATACATATATGGACATATATCTAATATGTATGTATATTATTGGTCAGTGTCGCAGCGTAGTAGCGGCTCGTGTTCGGGGACAGCCAGCGGGTCTTCATCATCGCCGTCCCCGCCGTCATCGTCGCCGTCCCCCTCGGGAGAGCGCCCCCCCACCCCGCCGCCGCCCGCCCCGCAGCCCTGCGCCTACATCTACCGCAACTAGCGCCTCGCCCCAAACGAACTTTACACATGTGATAGGACATGACTCGTTTTGTTGATGTTGTTCGAAGCCGACTGGTGGCTCGTGTGTCTATACAAGCCCGTGTGTCTACACAAGCCCGTGTGTCTATACAAGCGATGTCCGACCGTCCGTTAATGTGTTAGTTGATGTGATCGTGTCGCTCAGCCAGTGCCATGTCGTCAGCCGGTTTCGTTGTGACAATCGTTGGATCGACTCGACCGTGTGATACATGTGAGTTGAATATTATATTTTATGGCCGTTACCAATGAATTTTGTATTGGCCGAAATTGTTCATGTTTGTTACGACTCGATGTGAATTATACGTGTCCTTGATTTGACACTTCTAACGGTGTAATACGTGACATCGGCGTTCATGACGATATTGTATTTTATTTTAACGACGGAAATATAATAATGATGCATGTACTATGTACTATAAATGTAACAATACTGTAGATTGTTTAGAATATACATAGTTTACTTATATTTTTAGGTAAAAAATATAAGTTTTGTTGGTACCATGTTGATGACTAGGTAGTGTTGTGGATATCATTGCAATATTTTCATCAGTAAGTGAGAGTTCACTGTGAGATGTTATAATGAAAAGGTGCAATGTATTCACAAATCGCTTTTTAATAATATAGTAGCACGATATAACGTATAGTGAGGAATTTTCTAAAAATAATAATCTCTGTGTTCCGACAGCTATTCGATGTGTACTTAAACATTATTTATATAATTTGATAGTCGCTCTCGCTTTTAATATTAACGTGTAATATCCGATTCTTAATAATAAATATGATAAATGTTATGGCTTAATCAGTATGGACGGAGTATGTTGTCGGAACATAGGGGAGTAACGTTTTCAATATATCGATGAAGAGATATGCTATATATTATATTTACTCTGTATAAATATGTAAAACCTGATACTCATTCATTGATTAAAGTGCTTCTTATGGATGTATCTAGATATATAGGAGATCGTTTTGATAATTCGATAATGTTATAGAACTAGTGATGTATCTATATAGTTTAGATCGCGGTGCCGTTGAAGGCAGCCATTAAAGACGGCTATGATTGTGCGCCGTTTGTAAAGATTCTGTGATCATACGATCGTGTAAATAGTTTGAGGTTGAGCTGCGGGTACAATGTTAGGTTTCGTCTGGATATGAAAGGTGACAGTGTACCCACGGCTTAATGTTATTTTTTTAGTCAACAGTCGATTCTAAATTAAAAAAAACAGACACGTGGGCCAAATGTTACAATCTGTTAGAACTTTCCTGTTGCTTTATGAACTAACGCTTGAACACTAGCTAGCGAGTTGTTTTGTAACGAAGAGTCTATGCTCATTCCACTAATTGTTGACAATTTAATGTGTGTAAAGAAATGTCAATTCTATTTGTAATGATCTAGTGCCTAAGTGTGTGTGGCAGGATTGTATTGTGCGATGTTCTGACCGGCTTAGTTATACCCGAGTGCTGGTATTATAGAAATATTGAGTTGAAAATGAAGTTAACAACAAAATCTGTTTAAATATTTGCATGATATGTCTTGCCAGTACTCGAGCGTGTTACTAACCCCGTGTAAACGGTACACTGGTGATTGGTGTTTAGTTCGGACTGATAAAGACATTAGACTAGCTTACAATAGAAGTCACGATGGAACGCATAACTTATATAATATATTAAAATATCCTATAAATAATAAATGATAAAGGCATTCTAAACATTGCCTTGTTACAATACTCACATTTTTTTCATGATTATACCAAAGATGCCATAACTTTTAAATAATATATTATTTATTTATAGAAGTAATCGATTTAACGTATTGATTAGTGAAATGTATTGTTATTTTTAATTGTAAACGTAACTGCCAATTTTCGTATATATTTTGATAATACGCACATGTTTGTTTGTATTGATATAAATGGTTTGATAATAATTGGCGCTTTTAGCGGTAACGTACTTTTAAACTGGCCATTTATTCAAATATATACTGCGTCTTATTATCTGTATTGTGTAACCAACGTTTCATAACCTTATAGGTTTCATATTAATGAATTATAGAAGCTATTTTCACTACAAACTGAGAAACTCCAAACATAAGGTTTTTCCAAATTTATGTCTGATTTAATTTGATTAGAGGGAGATTTCCTTTTCGTTTATTGGATTGAAGTTTTTTGTTATATATTAAACAATTAATATGTAATCTAACTTCATGTATTCGACCGTTTAATTATTGTGTTTTCTATATTTATGTTTTTTTCCTACTTAATTTATTTTATTTCATACTAACAACGTAACCAATTTAAAAGTTCGTTATAAAAAAAATTGACAGATACGTAAGGTAATAGTATGTAAATGTAAATAGAGGTTTCTGTAATCTAATTTATACTTTCGAGTAAATAGCGTAAGCGTTAGAAATAAGCGCAAAAAACATTTTCGAAGGAAGAATTGTTAAGAATTGTTTTTTTTTTTTTTTTTGTAATAATTAAAAATGGTAATATTAAAGAAATGTACAATAACCATTTCTACGTTTAAAATTACTGAACCACATTTTATACTCTTAAAGTTACATGCCTAGAAAGTCTCTAATTTTAAGCGTAAATTATTAATTTATGAAATATTGAGAATTATATTAGATTGTAGTTTATATAGACCGCTTAATTTTTTGTGTTGAGACGAAGCCTTAGCGTTAGAAATTGAAGACTTTATTATATGATCTGTAATAACAGATAATAATGAACCGATAATTTTATTGAAATGTAAGTGAATAGTCACGTCGTCTCAAACCTACCATCACATTAGGTTTAATAGCGTGTATATATTGAAGTTTATTTATAGGGGTAGCTGCGCCCGTTAGTCGACTTGACGCGATATATGCCACTTATACATAAAAAAAAATTAAATTTGCAATCGAAATTAACCTATACTTATTTTTCTTATTAAGTACCACTTACAGTTAAATTAAAAAATAATATGCTTTTATCTGTTGACAAGTTTTTTAACCATTTTTTTTTTATCTGTGGTCTCGTTAAAATTTCGTGGCATTAATCGCGCTCATTGTCAAAGGAAGCCTGTTGAAGCGCATGCAATATTTTTCTACTTCTGATTCTTAACATCGTACATAAATAGACGGGGGTTTGGTAACTATGGAAGTGCCTAAGTAAATTTACTTGCATCTGTAGTATTAACGACTGTAATCCCAACCTCACCCGACGTTAGAGAGTTTCTTTAGTGTGCCTTTAGCGACTAGTACCAAACAAACCAGCTACGTTTAAATACAGTGTTATGTTCCATATTATCTTTATACATTGTTACCGCATTCTGAGACGTAACCGTTTGTAGTTTGAGTGGTTTTTTCTATGGCTGATAATTTCTTAATGACATACCCTTCATAGTACTACGGATATATATTACGTTGATCGTATTCGTTTCGCTTATAGACACTCCATAGGTTAAGTAGGAGTTTTATATTGTAATGCAAAAGCAACCGCAGTGATAGAACTGTTACACGATATTCGCTGCCCGTATTTATAGAGTGCAATTTTTTATAACTAGACACATAGTATAAGCATTGATGTACAAAATATGAAATGCGCTCTTAACGGCACTGTTTTGTATTTTTTACTTCATTGTCTACAAATGTTATGATCATTTTCTCATTAAAATATTATTAATATATGCTAAATATTTTAGCAAAGGATAAAATGTATTCCTTTTCTTTAGTAAATAAAATATTGAAACTTGATTATTATCTATTATTATCCCATCCCTACCTTGTACTTAAATCAATTACTTTTAAGAAATATGAATATAAGTGTTTGAATTTGTGACTAGTTCAACTAATGGAGTTCTCTCTGACCTATTTTTAAGTTATTACTTTCAAAATACTTAAATAAAGCAAAACATCAGCCCCGGTTGACGAATTTCTTTCAGTTGGGGTGAGGTAAGCTATAAGTATTTTTGTTATTTTATTTCTATTATATTTTGTAAGAAAAATCTTACAGTTCAGTTTTAAAATAGAATGAATCTAAATTCCCAACATTTGTTGAAAAAACGAGATAAAGGTAAATCTATGTGGGTTTAATAGAAAAAAAATACAAAATCGTTATTAGTAGTATTCGAATAAAGCTAAGGCCTCTGCCTCGAATCTCGCGGGTAGCGGGGCGGCGGCGGCGGCGGCGCGGGAGCGGCAGGATCTTACGTGTATAATCAAATGGACCGACCCTCGAATACAGCGGTGCAGGAGCAGGGCGGGGGCGGGCAACGAGCGGTGCACGGGTGCACTCTAGTCAAGCGGTGACCGCCCGCGTTGCGCGTCTGCATTGTAGGTATAGTGCTGTGAATTGTTTTTGTGACGTATCAAAATGTCAAAACGTTTTTCAGACATTTCGTTCGCGAATAAAAACAAATATCTCGACAACACAACCACGAACACAACACTACACCGCTATAGTGCCGCGCGATCTGCCCGTTAGTTTGGAGAACAGGTATGCGTTGCCCGCGCCGCCGCCACCGCCGCTCCGCTGCCCGCAAAATTCGAGGCAGAGGCCTAAGACATATAGTACAGTTACCCTTCTTCTTCTTTTTTAGTTATTGGCGTTTCCTTAAAGTCCTTTCCTTAAGTCATATTCGACTATTTTATAATCTTGTCTTAAAGTAATTTTTAAATTTCAACTTGATACATTTTTTTTGTAATGAATATTGCTGTTAGCCATGCGGCTTTTAGGGTGTCAGCATGAGACTGGCCAACGCTGAGACCGTCCCATTACAAAGGGTCTGAAGGGCCCGTAAAGTACGAACGTTCTAAATGCGCCTGCTAAAAGTGAGGCTTCGACTTGAACTTAGGATGTTGTGGATGAAGAAGGGATTGCCAGCGGCGACCTCTCACGTTCTGTCTAGGAACGTGCGGAAGAGAAGACATCTCTCTAACTAGCGAGATAATTCCTATACTAAGTTTGTTAGTTGCTAGAGATATAAATTATTAACATCAGAGCACTTTACTATAATGATAGTTGTCAGTATCAAAACTAGTTTCTTGACCTTTTACTTAAAATATTATAAAATATATTTAATACTTAAATAAAAAAATTGAGAAATATCCAAAAAGTAAAGTTTTTCGAAGTTTAGAACCGTATTTATAAGGAAAAGAAAACACTAAAAGTGTCCCTGGAGAAACAATTACTTCAGATATGATCTGAAATACTGTTATGCATTATTTATTTGAATTTATGTAATTTCATATACCGGAGTGAAAATCACATCATTATAAACATTATTATACCTTCTCAAATCATTAGCTGAAATAATAGAAATCATTTAATATGAGCAACTTGTGTTGTCATAATTGAAGCTCATGGAAAAAAATAACAAAAGATTACTTTCTTTCAAAGTTATTAAATGGTAAATATATCAGGTAAAAACTTTGTCTTTGTATGTTAATAAACTATGATGGTAATAAATTAAAAAAAAAATCCCCTTCATTTAAGTAACTATCACTGTTCTTAAAAGCGGAGCATTTAAATTTTATTCATTTGAAATTTTTTATAAAAAATTTATAAATTCGATAATAGTTATTAAAATAGTATATCACATAGTAAAAAGTAAAATAAGATTGGAAAATACTGTTTATGTCAAACTGTAAATTAATGAACAATAATAAAGTTAGTCAAAATATATTTATGTTTATAACAATGAACATTCTTCTTATTTCTTGACTGCAAAAGTCACCTATCTAGTGTCAACCAAACATTCATTTTGACAAATGACAAGATATGTTTTGTTAACATTTCCAGCATTCAATATTTATTATTAAAAAATAAATTTAAACTATGGCTTCTGAAGCATCATTTAGCTTTAATTATAAACAGTGTTTAATAGATGAAATAGCCTTGGAAGGCCTAGAGGGAACCGGCTTAGATTTATTATGGAGACGGCTAGAAAAACGAATTTCGTCTGAAATAACCCTAAAAATGAAAAAAAGATTTTGGAGCTACATCCTCGCATCAGAATCAATTTCAATTTATGAATTAGAAACCCCAGCTCCCTTCTTTGAGATATTAGATCGTTTTACGATCATTGAGGAAAACACTGGGAATCTTTTGGACCCTGTAAGTAATGAACATGAGCAAATTAACATCTCAATATATATTTTTATTACCTTGCTTTCAATTTGAATGTTTTTTTAATTAATCAAAAATTAAGTTGATTTAATTATTTAGCCAGATTACCTTGATGGACCATATGAATTTCAAAGTATTGATGATGAATATGGATCTTGCATTAATTTTAACACCAGAGAACAACTTACCAAGGATTCATTAAGAAGTATTAGCTATGAAGAAACAGTTACGAAATATGGAGACAAATTAGTCCTCGTTGCATCTTTAGAAGAACGCTGGAAAGCATTGGCACCACATTTACCAATAATGTATATAAGCCAATTAACTCCGGTACATTATTGTTTGTTGGAACTTATTGGAAAATCAAGACATAATGTAAGTATTCCGAAAGTATTATACAAATATACATTCTAGAAGCTACATCGTAAGTATACCAACATGCATTGTTCTTTGGTTTTGACAAATTATATGTTTTACCTAAATCTGTCAATTATCCTAAAGACTAGTCTATGAAATGACCTGTTGTTCACTTTCTTAAACCATATTCTTCCAATTCATGTAACCTATAACAAAAGTATCCATCTTAATGAACAGACAAATTAATATGTTTTCTATTTTAAATCATGCACAAGTAAAAATATTTTTTATTTTTTTGACATATTATAAATTTCAGGGCCAAATGACTGTTGGAAAAACTAATTTAAGCAAAGTAGTGAAAGATGCAAAACTATTGTTTTATAATAGAACTGTCTTACAAAAATTTGAACTCATAAAAGTGCAATATTGCACACAAGTTGTGGGTGGCAGAGCTTTGAAGAGTATATTATTAAGATTGAATAGGTTCTATCAACCTACATTGTGTACACAGCCTAAGATTGGTAAACTGTATAATATCATTAACTATTTATTAGAAACGCCAGATTATTTCGAACAGACTGATGTTATGATCAAGAAAGGTTTATTAACTCCACCACAAAGCAAGAGGCTACAGAAAACTATAAACATATTTAACTTTGTAAGTTTTAATCTATCATTATGATACAGACATTTAAATGTTATACTAATTTAGAGGAAATTTTGTCGTAATATAAATATAATTTTTAACAATAGTATTATTTGTTTTGTTCATTATAGGAAGAAAGAGATATAATAATAAACCGTGGAGAAAATTCTAAAATGGAACCTTCTACACAGACCGTGAGGAGGAAATGTATATCTCTAAACTGTCAGAGTGATGAGTCCCAATCAGATGAGGAAAATAATGAAAACGATAGAAATTTAGAATGCCAGTATAAAGTGGGTGTTAATTTGGGCAGGCAGGCGTATGAATGTTTCTTGGAAGCCGGTCTAAAGGGTCTGACCCAAATTGATATAGCACAGCTTTTGGGTGTAGAGTTTTATACAAGTCGGACCATATGTAGAGTTTTCAAAGCAAGAAAAATTGTGAGAGAGTTCCTCGAAGATAAGGGAAGACAGAGAACCGCTAGGTAAGTTGATTAATAGGTTCAAAAAAATTCGTATAATATTAGAAAATCTCTGATTAAACTCGTTTTTTTAGATATATTGCAGTCGCTGCTACTAATGATATTGACAAACAGTATGCCAAAGAAAAAAGCAAATTCTTGGAACATTGTAATAAAAGAATTAAAGATACGAATAAGAGCAAAGGTGATTTGAGCTCTGACTCAGAAAATGAAGTGCCATTGAAAAAGATAAAGAAAGCTGAAGAAAGCACTCCAGTTAACGAAACTAAGCAGGAAATTACAGAAGTTAAAATCATGGACGGATGCGAAAACGTGACAGAATCTTTATTAAACCAAAAAAAGAATCCTACTCTGAGGCAGTTGAAATTCGCGAACGGTATTATAAAAGTGGTGCAAGATAGAAAATTCGTGATGGGATTCCAGGTACTAAGCAATCTGGTTGCCAAAGAAACAGGCGAACCGCCGATGGATACGAAGGCGCTCAAAATATTTACCCAAAAATTAGTATCTGATGGGCAACTCAAGATATTGAAGATAAAAAGACCAAGCGTCAACGGATTGACCTGCAATATATTTATTTGTGCGCCACACATTAAAGCATCCAACCCAATCATACGAGCAAAATATAAGGAAATCTGCGCCAGATCGGAAGTTAGCAAGAAAGCTAAACTGCACAAATCAACACCAAGGAATATACGGCCGGTCACACACTTCACATATCCTAGGTATATGAAAATTCAGAAACTCCACGAGTTTTTGACACGGCTGGTTTACTTCAATGAAAATAGTTGTAAAGATAATGTTAATGGTATCTCCTCATTGATGAGTTTTATACCGGAAATGACGGTTGAACTGGCTTTGGGTCATATAAGCCTTATGGACGAAACTGATCTAAATTACATCAAGACCGCAACCTTTTCACTGGACGATAAGGTCAAAGACGCTCCTGTACGACTAAATCGCATTATATTACAATCGCGAAGCTTAATAACTTCATTGAAGGTTGTTTTAAAAGTTCTTGCATTATTAGGTCTTATTCAATTAGTTCATCAGACAACAGTGCCTATGAACAGAGATGCTACCGACGTTTTCTTTGTCAACCGTCACGCAAAGATTTTAAACACCATGGGGAAATGGCCCCAACCCAATATTGATAAAGCTATATTAGAAAAATCATATCATTTCCAAACGTTCGAAGACGTTCAGCAATATTGGAGTGACGTACACGACATAAGCATCAACACGACGATAAATGTACCAAGAAGGCAGAAACATAAATTATGTATACCATTGAGAAAAGAACAGAACCTCAATAATTACGACACTGGTGAATTATTTGGTGATGGTTTAGGACCTTGTGGTTTCGACTCAAGTATATACATGGATATGTCCAGGCTATGGCGATCATTCATGATTAGAAATCACACTAAGAAAAAATTGCGTAAACCAAAAGTGAAAAAGATTAAGAAGAAATCATCCGCTCCTGTGGAAAGAAAAACTAATATAAAAAGCATAAAGAACGAAAATAATGCAATTAAAATAAAAGATTTCATGAATATACGGAAAAGACAATTCGATTTGCATATAAAGTGGTCCAATTTCGAAGACAGGATAATAATGATGTGTAAAGCGGCCATCACTATAATGAGTCCTGTTTCTCAACCAGGCTGCTTAAGGGTTAGGAATATTGTCGCCAAAGACTTGCTTTCAATATTCGATCCGAGAAAAACAGCGGCCATTTGTCACAAAAGAGCCATCATCCTAGAATCTAATTCAGCCTTGGCACACGAGAAAGACTGTATCCTTAACGAATTAAGGTGTCATAGAAACCTGGTACAAAAATACGAAGGTCTGCTAAGAGTTATAAGACTTAGAAATTACGCGAATCTTTCAAAATACATAAACGAATCGAGATTACCGCTGTTACAATTGATTTGGATTATATCTCAGATCGCGGAGACTAAACCTTTTAATAAGCGAATGCCGTGTGTGTCAATCGATCTCAACGATTTTAATAAGAAATACAACATATCACCGTCTTCGGCGAATAGACCTTACAACTTATATAGAACACCGACCTCGTCGAAACCAGAATTTGCCGTATTAAAAGAAGCCATCCTAATGACCATAATGCTATCATTGGACGAGCCGGTAAATAAAAAAATGGGAAAGAAGATATATTCAATTTTCAGCGTTTACGATGAACCCGTGCTTAGAACTGCGATACAACAGCTGAGAAAAAGTGGAGCGATTGCTGCCAGAGACAAAATAATCAACAGCCAATTGAAGAAAGAACATTGCGAGGACATAGTCCAAACTATGTATAAAATAGCCATGATGTATAGAAGAAAATGGACGGGTCATCTCGAGCCAGAGTTTTTGGACAGTCTTTCAGAGTTACTTAGCACTAAAATACCGCATAACGGTTTAAAAGGAGCCTGCGATATCAATTGTCTATTGTGCGAAACGTATAGCCATGATGTGATAGATATTGTTTCTGATACTATACCTGTAGTGACGGGTTCCGCGGGATCTATATTACAAGAGGAACAGTTGAATGTCATCGACATTGAAACTAAATTCAAATTAAAGTCCGGCCTCCTTGGATGGAAAAACAAATCTAACATAGAAACGTTTTCTGAACTCTATCATAATATTGGCTATGAGGGAATATTTGAAAACTTGATAAGGTTTGTTTATATACGAAGTCAAAAATGTCATTGTTTGTATATTAATGTTAGTTTTAATTATTACTGTTCTTTTGTACAGGAAATCTATTGTGGATTACTCAAAGACCGAACAATATGATGAGACGGATAATATAATACAATTTTTAGAAGAAAAGGAATCAAAGGGATGCACATTTAAAGAATTGAATGTATGGGTTTTTGTATAATTATAATATAAATGACACATATAATAAACGTCTACAACAATAGTTCTTTTGTTTCAGGCGAAAATACTGGACGACCAGAACACATTAATTAAAAGATTATTAGATCTGGAGAGCAAAGAAATCGTAAAGAGAGTTGGGATTTATGAAAACTTGATTGTGCTAAAGAAATACGCGAAGCCCTACTTATTGTTTATACCTAAAAACCTCTACATGATACCAACACCCTGGCTGACATTAAAGGCTGAGATACAGAAGGACGTATTCTTCAAATGGGCAGGCGTTATAATGAACAAAGCATTCGAATTTCCCGGCTGTTCAGTAGCATTCATCAGTAACAGTATAGAATACATAACATATAGAAGCATCCAAGAAGTATGTATGTTCTTAGAACAGACGAAGTGCGTCGAATTGAACAGTGTAGAAAAGAAGGATACAGATTTATTCTCAGAAGAAGATTACAACTGGGTACCGGAGTTATATAAGTTTAATCCTTACGAATCACCAGATAACATTCTAGTGGTCCCTGCTAAAGATTGTTTAAGTAAATATGCTTATATCAGAAGCAAAATATTAAACGATATTGACCTGTCATAATCATTTGTTGTTTTATTTTTATTAACATATGTATATATGAATACTGGAAATGCAACAATCGTCTGACATTTAATATCATATCAAAGTAATATTTTTCTTTGCATATTTATATGTATATTAGATACATGATAAAATCATTAATATATTTATGCTAGCAGAGTATTTTTTTTATAATTTGTTACTTTTTTTAAAAGCGTCCGTGTAATTGTAATAATATGAGGACTACTGAATATCACTTCTGTCAGTAAAAAGTACAAGGATTAACCAAAGTAAATAGAAAAAATATATTCTTATTGTTTCGTAATCTTTACATTTATAAGTATTCTTTATGACTAATGTATTTACTCCTGTAATTCCTTTGCTCACAACAAGTAAAATTTTAGACTTCAGTGTTGTGTAAAACTAAAAGACCATGAAAAAGAAAAAACAAAAAGATATTTCCAAATACTTTTTACATCATTATTTAAACGATTTCCTTTTTAAACTCTTGCAATCAATCCATAAAACATTATACAGACTTGCAACAAAGGTATGCCGCTCAAGTAATTTTATATACCTGCAATAACATTTTTATTTCACATTTTTTTAATAATTACCAAATAATAAGTATAGTCGTCAGAAAATTATTAATCTTGTTTTGTTTGGGGCGAAACTTTATTTCCACCACTTTATTCGAGAAGTCTATTTTAATAGCCTAAGAAAATTTTTCACTTGCATATTTGGTTTAAAAAACACACTCCTTAGTTTTATGAAAATCTTTTCACAGTGTCTGTCTTTTTAACAATTTATGTATTTATTTTTTCCTAATTATAAAATAGTTTTTTTTATATTCTTTTATAGAACATTTTTTAATATGTACACGCTTTAAAATAACGATCTAAAATATTAGATATTTAAAACAATATTATTTTAAAATTCAATGAAAATGTATTGATATAAATATTTTTTTTTCTGAAAAATATATATGTATACTTACTTCTAATCATTACCAAAAGAAATATGAAATACAAATTTTAAATTATACATGCACACATTAGAATTATTTAGAAAATAATGACATTGGTCAAATTTAAGCTCATATAAACTTTTTAAACAAATAATTCTATTGTTTTAAATGTGTAAGATCTTATTTAAAATTTGTTATTCAAACATTGACGTTGTTTGAGCCTTACAATGTCAATTTTATTTAAGGTTGTTTCAAAGGATTAGAAATTATCTATGGTCAAAAATTTTTAACTGGCAATGAAAATTTGAAACTAGGCGAGCGATTAGTAGTATAGAGAAGTAGGGCAATCCAGATTTCGCCATTTTTACTTTTCAGTGAAAGGAGAATTTATAATTGTCAGGCTGGAGGGCGAAGAATATTTTGAAAAAAGTGTGTCATTACATTTAATTATTTATAGTCAGGACTCTTATTTGAGAAAATATTTATATAATAGTGTGGTTTTGTTTATTACTAACTTTTGTATGTAGTGCTACTTCCCCGTACTAAGATTGCTCTTTGCTGTCGCTTAGCTTATTCAATGGCTATGATATCGAAGTTTTAATCTGGTGAGTCGCTGTGACGTTCTCCGAGGGATAGTAACGAGAAAGAGACGTGACGCGGTTAGAAATGAGCAGGCCTCAAGGCGGACGAATCCAAGTCCCGGATGACCTTAGAGAGATCTTACTAGAATTCACCATAAGTTATCTATTGGAGCAGCCGGGAGACGTTATCAACTACGCTGTTGAGTTCTTCACAAGGTTACAGAACAATCGGACCACTACGATAGTGCGAGGTCCGTCGGCGGGCACTCCCGATGAATCCATAATATCAGATGAAGAAGGTATATATTTCTACATATTCCCATACAATTCCGTAAAATATTCGCAAACTTTGCGGTGTTAGGGCTGCCACATTGAACATGATTTCCATATAAATTAGAAGTACGTAATAACTGATTATTAAGTAATGATTTCACTCAAGACATTGAGTTAGCCAACCTATTCTACAGGTCTTGAATGTTAAATTTCTTATACAATCTGTTGCACAAAAATGTGTTTTGGTATTAAGATGTGCCTATATCACAGAAAAAATGTTGTTATACTACATTTTAAACAATATTTAAAGTAATATTTAGTACATATTTGCTTTCTGCTGATACTTGCTAATGCACTGTAGTTATAGTGTATATACATTTTTATAAGTCCCTATCACTATAAGCTAAATGTTAGTCTACTTATGCCCAAAAGTCCCCTGAATATTACATAAAGATACAGTTTCATCATACAGAGCTATTTACATTTAAACAAATGGTACAGAAATTATTTTGTATATTTAGTTGAGAACAGCTGGTTATATAGCCTATACTTTTGTACATTTGTGTTCAGTTTACTTTGAAGGCTGGCAGTATGCCATAGCTAATTATTATAATGATAAATACTGTACTACCATTTGTATGAAATAAAAGAAGCCAACTTGAAAATTACATAGCATTCACTTTGAAATACTAACATGTCACTAATATTCATACAAAATGATTGATATTTAAAAAAAAAATCCATACAGATTTTGAGCTTAATGATTTTGTTGAGTGATAAATCTCATGTGTTTACTATGCCGTGATCTCATTTATGTGTTTTGTTTCTTAAAGCTTTGAAGTTGTGTGATGATGAAATTGGCTTATTTTTTATGTTCAAGTCTCACTCTAGTAGATGTGATGCAGATGTCCGTCTATATAATATTATTTTTACCAAAAATTTTATTGAGTTACACTTAGGATATGTAATGAAAAGAACAGATGTTAACTAAACCTTGAATATTATTTGAATATGAAATTCTCAACTGAGTTATAATTTTTTATACATGTTTGTTGTTTTTATACATTGGATTATATATCTATACATACAACTTTAGTCATATTTTTGTTTAATTTGTTTGATGATACATATATAAAATATTAGAATTTCTGCTGTAAAATCTCATTTTAGCATTGTTTTAAATATTTCTAATTTAAGACATAACTAGTTATGATATTTTAATCTTTTATGCAAATTTTTATGAATGAATGAAATAAATTTTACTCAATGTCAAAGTCTATTCATATCATGTGTCCAATATAGTTTTGTAATGAGGTTGTATGTAAAAATATTCACCAACATATACATAAAAACTATCATAACCATAAATTCATATACAAATTAGTCATATAAATATCGCTGTTTATTGTAAACTCACATATAGAACATATGTAACAGGTTATAAGCTCAGATGTAGCTGTTCAGTAATTGGAATCTAGGTTCTAGTAATTAATTTATAAGCTTAGTATTTAGATGTGCATTTTGATGTATGTTTTGATGACTTAGAGCCGCCGGTGGCGCGCTTCAATAATCGTCGTAAATCCGTGTTCGCTGAGACCTACGACCCAGAAGAAGATGATTCTGATGAAGGGGCTCCGGCAGTGTTCCCTAAATCTGATGCTCAAAGAGCCCGCCTGGCTGATGCTGTACGCGGTATACTACTCTTCCGCTCATTAGATGCTCAGCAGATGCAACAAGTATGTAATCTTTATATATATATAATTCTTCTGTGTGTGTGTAATATGTCACTGAACTTCTCTCAAACGACTGGACCGATTTTTATTAAATTTTTTGTGTGTGTTCAAGGGGATCTGGGAATGGTTTAGATTCACAATTTTATCCACTGGACAATGTTTTTTAATTAATTTTTAAGTTATTAGTAGTTGTTGATACTAACTTTTTTTTTACATTAGATTTGACAACTAACTAATATCTCAATCATTCTGTCGCACTTCAAAACACGGAGATTTATGGCGTTAATAGGTAAACTCCAAAAATATAAATGAAAAAACGTAACAGATATTTCCTGATTACGAAGTTCGCCGGGTTTTCTAGTAATTATATATAATTCTCGTGATACAATTTTCGTTCCCCTACTCCTCCGAAACGACTTGACCGATTTTCATGAAATTTTGTGAGCATATTGAGTAGGTCTGTAGGCCAACATCTATTTTTCATACCCCTAAGTGATAAGGGTTGTTCACCCCTAATTTTTTTTTGTATGGCAAAACAGCGTTTGACGGATCAGCTAGTACTATATAAAGTCAAGAAAAATCTAACATAATAGTCTATAAACATATGTTTAGTGTTAATAATGTTTTAGAATTGAAAATTAAACCAAGTTATTAACATTTAAATAGAAAATGTCTCTCGAGCATCAGATATATGCGATGCAAATTGAAGAGAAAATACACGTTGGATGTTTAATGATAGTTTTATAAATGCATTATGCACGTCGTAAAATATTATTAACGTTATGTGTGTCAAGGGGATATCAAATGATTTTTGATTTAGTTCTATATAAACATATAAAAAGAGTGATATATGTATGTATTTGTGTAACGAGCTTATACTTCGGAACGTAAATTACGTTTTGGCAGAATTTCATTTCTTGTAATTTTCCTAGGATTTATCACTTTCGAAGAATTTCATATACGTATATTTCATAACGATGACAGAAGTACACCTGTTTCTATATAATATGACTTATTTTGGTGATTTTTTCCATATAATTATTACAAATGTAAACTATAAGAAGTCGGTAATTTTAATTCATAGAAATAAACCAAATGAGTGTTTGTTTGAAATATAATTATCTCTTTTTAAATTCAAATAGAATCAATTTAATTTTTCATTTCGATCAAATATATTAATACATTCTCTAATCTTATATACACCAGCTGATACCCGTGGCTTCGTTCGCGTTGTCTTTTAAATTAACAAAGTTTACGTACATAATATGTTCAAGAAAATACTGAACACTTAGAGATTATATAATATTATTTGGGTCTTAAAACTTTAACAATTAGTATAATACGAAGACATGATATTTTCAAGTGTCAATCTAAATCCGACCATGTCTTAATTACCTATACAGGGTGACTGGTGAATTACTATCGATATAAGACGATCATATATGACAAAATAAAAATTAATATAACTTAAATAATAATAAACTTCTGAGTAAAGTTAACCAAAAGTTATGTAATTAATTACGCATCGTAAGAACACCCTACAGATTAGGTATACACACACACTCGCGCGCGGCGGCGTAGTGTTGTATCAGCACGCCGCCGCAAGCGTCCACACTTGGAACGTGTCCACACTTTATTTATTTATACGGAAATTTGGTCAAAAATTAAGTACCTACGTATTTTTTTTACATAATTCGAATGAGAATCATATACCGAGTATTCTCCTTAAATATTGATAGTAATTCACCAGTCACAGTGTATATTGTTTGGGGTCTTAAAACTTTAATAATTTTATATAATACGAACACATTATATTATTCAAGTAGATTAGCTCAAGTGCCAATCTAAATCCAACCATGTCTTTATTACCTATATATATTGTTTTCTTCATATAAAATATATTCTTAATTTTTGTTTATGTTAACATAATGTGTATTCTATATAGGTGTTGGACGCGATGTTTGAGAAGCGTTCAGAGCCCGGCGAATATGTTATCCGTCAGGGCGATGATGGTGATAACTTCTACGTCATAGAAAACGGAGTATTTGATGTACTGGTTACGGGAGACGATGGCGTGGAGAAGGTGGGTCCGAATTACTTATATTAAAGTTATTTTGATATATTTTTTGCTATTTAAGTTTACAAAACTGACTTACAACTAGTGCATACAAAATAAAATCTAAGCTAAACATAGTTGCAGTTGCAGTCTTCTGGATGTAAACGTAGCATGCTTTAAAAATATATACATACCTTGATTAGTTAACAAGAATAGTACTTGTGTAATTACTGATTTATATAGCTATATATTTGTAAGTTTTTGATGTCGATAGTTTACTATGATTAGAGTTGTATTTATTGTTTCGCTCGAATATGTATATCGATATTATACTTCACTAAACTCATTACAGGTAAGAATTATAAAGTTTTTAATAATCATACATTCAAACATAGCTTTATTGTTTATACTTTAAACAAAAAAACCGTGAGATATTTTTGACACTAACCTAATTATTACACTTAGTTCACACATTCAACTTTATAACTCCTGTTTTGTTACGGTCTGTTTAAACTGAGAATATAATTTAGAAGCCACAATCAACCAACTGTATGTAACTGCCACAAGTATACGTCGCTGTAGGAGTTCTAGTTATCTAGTTAGACGGTGAAGGAAGCCTGGACTTAAAATTTCAAATTGCAGTAGAAACTCTATTATGCGGACTAATTGTTGTCGATAGGCATTCGCATAATCGAAAATCCGGATAATGGAATGTATGAAGAAAAGCCGGTTTTGTGCATATGTATTTCATAATATTATATGTTTATTTTAAAAATAAATTACAATATGTATTTGGTAATTTGCAATTGATAATTATGAATTAAAATAATAAGGTTCATTTGGTATAGAATATTTGGTAATAGTCATTTGACGTACGCAACTCTCTTTCGCTTGGCAGTAGTCCGGATAATCGAGTTTCTACTGTAAGTTTGAAATCGCCAACCTGTCAAGACAGGAGCTCATGAGCATGCGTGGTGATTAATGCTCAAATCTTCTCCATGTGCGAAGAGGCATTTGCTCAGCAGCGGGCTCCGATAGACTAATGATGATGTATGAATATAACTCATCAATTTTAACCAATCAGGTGGTCCACACATACGAGGGCTCCGGTTCTTTCGGTGAGCTAGCCCTGATGTACAACATGCCCCGCGCGGCGTCCGTGCGCGCGACCTCGCCCGGCGCGCTGTGGGCCATGGACCGCCACACCTTCCGCCGCATACTGCTCAAGAGCGCCTTCAAGAAGCGCAAGCTGTACGAGGAGCTGCTCGACAAGGTGCCCATGCTGAAGGCGCTCCAGGTATGATATATTCTACGCTTTAAAGCGCTTTACGCTTGAATATTAAAACGACCCTTATAAGGACCTATATAAGTGTTAAGATTTTTTTAGGTTCATTTGAAGCGCTTAACGCTTTAAGATCTAAATAAATCTGATTAAGGACTTTATGATAATGATTAAGTTTATTAGCAGTGTCAGCGCTTATTAATATTCATAGTGATAGACTTACAAATAATTGTCTTGAAATGTATAAGCGACGTAAGCGATTTATTGCTTAAAACAAAGGTTTTTTTCTCTACTAATAAGAACAAGTTAATTTTTAAAGTATGTACTTTAGTTTTTTTTTTTTTTTTTTATGTTAAAGGTGGCAAACGAACAGACGGCCCACTTGATGGAAGGTGGTTACCGTCGCCCATGGACATCCGCAACAAAGATGTTGCGGATGCGTTGCCAGCCTTGTTTTATAGGGATAGGGAGGGGTGGGAATAAGGATATTGTAGGAAAGGGTGGGAATAGGGAAAGGGCAACCGGCTCTCTCACTCATCGGACGAAACGCAGCCATTAAAGGCTACTTCACGCCGATCTTCTGTGAGAGGGTGGTACTTCCCCGGTCAAGCCAGCCCATGTTCGAGCCGTAGTAACTAACCACAGCTAGGCTCTACCACCTAAAAATTAGTGATTTTTTTCTAATAAAATAAAAGAAATTTCTATTAGTGATAAAGATATTTGGCAAAAATAATCACCAATTTCACTCAGCTATTTTGCAAAAATTATAGTTTTAACAAGTATAACATACTTGGCTATATCCTATAAGAATTCTGACTGTCACTTATTACCGGCTCACATTTAAAGTTCAAGTGCACAGCGTGACCTTTGACACTGCATATTAGTTAGCCTAATAGTACCTATAATGAATTGGGTTATTTTAGTTTTCATATTAATCCTAATTGATTCATAGGCTATTGCTATGGGGATTATTGTGTATATGATTATGAATTTTTTTTATTTGAATACTGAAAAAACATTAAACGATGTACGATTTTGTCATTTATTAGTAAAAAAAAACTTAATATTTTTATGAAACACAAAATTCTCTAACAAATATATATTTCGATGACGAGTGTATAATAAGTTGACTATAAAACAATACGAGATGAATTAATGAAAAAAATTTAGTGTTAAGAATTTTTAAGAAAAAAAAAAATACTAATAAATATCGATTTTATAAATTTTAACTCAAAACAAGTCACTTATCAGATAGACTCGGCTCTACTCGCTACATGTACCATTAAAGAGTCAATATATACTAGTCTAGACTTGGAAGTCTTCATAGTCTAGACTATAGCATTATGTCATGTTGTATTTCATTTATGACGCTATAAGCACGCTCCAAACAGTCTGGGACGCGTCACTGAGATTTGAATATTTTAATAAGTTTGATACACGAACAGAATATATATATATACTAATATTTCAAATGCGAAAGTAACTCTGTCTGTCTGTTACGCTTTCACGCCTAAACCACTTAACAGATTTTAATGAAATTTGGTACAGAGATAAAGTTGACCTTGAGAAAGAACAGCATAGTTTTTATCCTAGACTTTTGAAAGGTTCTCTTGAAAACGCGATATAACCGAACTCTACGCGGGCGAAGCTGCGGGCGGAATGCTAGTATATGTATCCCAAAATTACTCGTGTTAAAAGTTAAAATGAGTTTTCCTTTAAACATAGTAATTGGTAGAGAGACCGTTTCTTTATAAATAGTATAAATATATATTAATGTCTATTATTAGCCAGTGTAATTTCCAGACATTACTCATTCAATTTTAAACGAGCATAGAGTAGATTGCTGTAATAAAACTGTTAAATTTTGTTGTAAAATGTTCGAAAACTATAATATTTACATCGTTTTTATCTTAATACCAATAGACCTCTGGTTAATTTATAACGAATTGCCTTCATTATAATCTCAAAGATTTTCTCTTTAGTCGATCATAATAAATGTTATCTTAACAAACTTCCCAACTAACAGTTTAAGTGTAAAATTTTTCAAGTAATTGCATAACTGGGTCATGTTAGCGTAATATATCGATCGCCGGTGACACAACACGGGGATGTAAAGAAACTTATAACGGGGATTATATTAAGAGTTTTCATTATATATCATATACTAGTTTTTGTCCGTGACTTTGTCCGTGTTACTACCAAATTTAAATCAGATCAGAGTATATTAAGTGTGTTAAAACTATATATGTATATGGTAACTAAGATCGCGACGTCTATAGTAAGTCATCTGTAACTATGGGAACTAAATGAATTTTGGTATAAATTATATTCTATGTCCTATTCTGATATCTAAGCTACAATACTGTAAAGTTTCATCGAAATCAGTTCAGAAGTTTTGTCTAGAAACAGCTACAAACATCGTCAAAAATAATATCAATTCTATATTTGAGTTACGGTCATGCTTACGTAATTTAATATTTATTTAAGAGTTTACTAAAAGGTTTAATTTGACTACAGCAGTTCAGCCAGATAATTGAATTGCAAATTTAAAGTTAATTTTATTTAGAACATAATTTTATACCTGAAGTGCAATGCTTGGATCAACATTGAAAATAGTACCACGATTAAGTTATAAATACGTACAAAAATGTTTTTGTGCGCCAAAGGAAACGCATACATTCAAATAAATAAACACACACTAATATATTCTGTCGTTGTGTTTGTGTTTATTGTCTCTTCATATTTATTATAAAACTTTAAATTTGTTTACTTTGAATTTCGAGTGCAGCAAAAAATGTACATAACATTTTTGTCCAAAGATTTCAATTACTTTTTCGATGATTAACAGGTATAGATAATGACTAGAAAACAATATTACGCAACTACCTTCAATAAACATAGCATTAAGCTATAAATATTATCTCAGAAATATTTGCAAAAAAAATATCATATAAAATAATATAAATAACTCTTAAGGTGGTAATTGTGTGCGGCGGTGTTTTAATAAAGCGGAGATGTCTATCCGATGCTATCTGCTCGGAGCGAGTGACGTCACTTATCTCCCCCCCCCCTCCCCCCATAATCAGATACTAGTTTGGCTTTTCAGTTAATAAAAACGAAGTAGCCGCTATCAAGGGTCCTTGGATTACTTTATACAGATTTGACTGTAGATTACCGAATACCGTACATATTGCTGATATTAAATTTTTTTTCGGTAATAAAAAAGATGTCATGACGCGTTTGGATTTTTTTTTTTGATTTATTTAATGTCATGTAAGGAGTTTTTAAATAAGGAGTTTTGTAAATAACAGATTGTAATTTACTAACTAATATTTAATTTTTATTCCTTAGAATTGTACCATACTTTATTTTTTTTCTTACTGAAAAATAATTTCGAGTACGTCTACATACATTCAACTTCACTAGTACCAATTTAAGATTAAACATTATGGAGCCTTTCACAAACAAGAAAATTTAATGATCTGAAAAGTATTGTTTATTTTAGTAAAAGATTTATGTAGTGTGAGTAGATTTATAAGAAAAGGTATATTTATAGAACCTAATGAAAATATTATATTCACTAAGTCTAAGTCATATTAAATTTGCCGTTAAAAATAAGTGAAGATAAACAAAACACTTGAATTTTTTGTAACACATTATACTTGTGTATGGTGTACGATAAAAATATTTCAATAAAAACTATGGTCCATAGTAACTTGATTCTCACGTTTTCATAAAACAAACAGTAGGTAAAACTGTTTTCTTAGTATTTCCATTGAATATCTCATTTAAATACCTTGAACACGAAAATGGCGGACACGTTGTGACGTCATCGAGGTGACGTCAGCGGAAGACGTATTTCGGGATGATTCCGCGCGTTTATGATTGATTTACACCCGACGATAGGTTTATTATGATTTAAAATATAATATTATTTATGGAAGACATTATCAGTTTGAATAAACTTAGAAAAAAGTTTATATATACGCGAGTGGGAACGTTTCTTTCTTATAAGTATGTACTACCAAACGATTCTTAACAGAAAAAAATAAAATAAAGATTAGATTATCATTATTGTCTCAGTTTTTCGGTCCATTATAAAACAAATGTAATGTTTTTACAAATTATGTTAATCATGAACGTAAAGAATGTACAGTCGATTGTCACGAAATAAGCGTTCGGAAACAATAAAGAAAAAAAATGAATTATTTGTAATGTCTTTATGTATTCTTCTCACAATACACTGACGCTAATTTCAATAGCATTTAATGTACACGTTTATTTAACGGTTCGTGAACATACTAAATATTGAAATAAATATAGGTATATATCGTCGGGGATAGTGCAAATACTATTGGATACCAATAACTACCATTGGAAGAAGATTATTATCAGACGAAAGTTTAAGCTGAAATATTTTCTATACTAACGACTTTTGAGGTATATATTTCACAATTAGTAATTATTTTGTGTTCAGTTAATATTACTAATTGTGAAAAAAAAATCTTTAAAAGTCGTTACTATAGAAAATATTTCATCTTAAACTTTTTTCTCATAATCTAGTTTCAATGTTCAACGCGGAATTATCCACGGCTAGTTACGCGGATTTGCACTATCCCCGATTATATTTATATAATATATTTTAATAAGTTCCATTGTTAATTGAAGTCGTACGAGCGCGCCAATCTGGCGGACGCCCTCCTGCCTCGCACCCTGATCGACGGGGAGCTGATCATCCGTCAAGGAGACACGGCTGACGGGATGTACTTCGTGGAGGACGGCTCCGTCAGCATCCGTATCGCGAGGGATGATGGAAACGAGCACGAGATCAAGAGACTTGGTAAATACACGCGCACACACACACATTGATAACATACACTTGGCAAATACACTATATATTGTTTGCGATTGCTTTTTTGTGCATAATATGTTTTACAGTATATGGTTGTATTATTTTATATGCTTTTTTATTTTTATTAAAGACTTAAGACTAAAATTATGTTACAATTTTTATCTTGGTGTTTAAAATTTTTTGCCAGACATTAACTCGTCAGAAACTTGTACTGTTTAGTACCGTCATGTATTAGTGTTGATGTTGTCATATTTTAATTTATTATATATTCAACAGGTAAGGGAGGTTACTTTGGCGAGCTGGCTCTAGTAACCCATAAGCCTAGAGCTGCTTCCGCTTACGCTGTTGGACCCACGAAGGTCGCATGTAAGTATATACGATGAATAAGTAATAAATATATATATGAAGAAGAACTTCAGAATAAACAAGCAACAATAATACTGGCATAAAATAAATTATAGAGAAACAAAAAAATGTGTAGTAAAATATGTAAAACCTATTTGGTATTTCAGAACCAACAAAAAAAACAATACAATACTTACACACTGCCATATAATAAATTATAGGAAGAAAAAAGTATTTATAAAACCTATTTGGTATTTCAGTCCTGGACGTGGAGACGTTCGAGCGCCTGCTGGGTCCCTGTATGGAGATCATGAAGCGGAACATTGACGACTACGAGGAGCAGCTCGTGAAGCTGTTCGGAGACAAGAGCAACCTCACCGACGTGCGATGAACACGCCCCGCCCCCCACCACCTACCATCACCACCCCTCCCCGCGACCGACACAACAACGTGTTCCATATTTAAAATTTGACAACTGCCCATTTTTTTTTTTTGATGATGCACAACTGCCCATATATTTATATTTATCTATTCTATCGTTACCTTTTCTTCTCTATGATTTGATGATTGCATAGACAACAGTTTTGTTTCATTTTTTTTTAAATATGTACCATGGGCAGTAAATGTGACACGATCAATGAGCCATGATATCGAAATGATTGTATTTGGAAATGTAAACCATCAGCTAAATTATATAATCAAAAGAATGGCTTGATCTCGAAAATATTATTTATAAAATATACAAATAAAAATCAAATATTCTCTCTAATATCTCTGAATATTTGATTTTTAAGAAAAAAATATTTAAATAATTTCTATAAATTAGTGCCATGTTATTTAACCATTTTAAGTTAAGAATACGTTAAAGGAGGGGTAGTTGATAAGTGTCCGATAGTATTGCTTTTTAACAAAAAAAATACGCTTATATTAGATAGATGGAATGCCTTAGTAGCTATGTAAAACTAGTTTCTTTTAATATCATTGGCTGATCTGTTCTAGAGGCAGGTACCTTTACTCACAGTCGAGAAATACCACCAATAATGTTTTATTGAAGGGTGTTCGATGTTAGTTATATATGATTATAATGCTAATGATATTAAAAGTCTCACACTATGTACTGGACGAGGCTTTTAGTCTTTATATTGTATCATTAAACATGTCTTAATAACTACAAGGCAATACTATGTGGAACACTTTGTTTATTAGGCTAATACACGCTATCATCTTTTTTTTGTTCGAAGGTCATTTCCACACTGTCTTTTAAATTATATATACCTTAGTAAGGTAAAAGTTTTTACGTGATTCGATGAAATCTTGTCACTTGTATTAATTTATTTCTAATCCTAATGAATTATATTTGTGTATATGAGGATGAAATCAGTTAGTGTATGCCAAATCTATTAGCGAACAGGGATATAATTGGCTTTTATTTTTCTGTTTGTTTTATATGTTTATGAAATTCAGTATTGATTGTTTATTTGGAGTTTGTTTTCTTTGTTATAGCTATTTAGCTTTTCTATGTAGAGGCTTTCTGTATGCCCCGAGTGAGTATATCTATCGAATAGATCTGAGGCGAAAATAACATTCGTCGCCGTCGTAATAGATGTTAACGTCCCTTCCTTCCAACCTAACAGTTTTCTGTAGTAATGATGATTTGAATTATAATATTGTGTGTGCGCTTGTCATGAGACCCTATATAGCGGCCCAGTATTATAAAACAAATATAAATCCAGCCAAAGTAGATGAATACATGATATCATTGTAGCACTATAATTAAGTCTATATGTAGTTGATAGTTTTTTGTCACTTCTTATTGTAGTTTAGTAAATTTATGGAGTTTTAATGAGAAATCCTGAGGGTGTGGTGTTCATTTGGGACGCCATGTACAAAACATGTACAAATTGTTTCAGTTGCCATAGAAGATTTTATTATTTTTATTTTTAATGAAATATTTAATTAATATGAGAGATGTTACTTATTTTGTTTTTGATTGTTATAACGCTCACCGTATGTAACCATAGTCATATCTGTATTTCGTCCACAGTCAAGCGTTCCTCAATAGCCTATACATTCCCTTATGAAATGTTTATAAATTATTTTATTTATGTTATAACATTGAATATCATTTTATAAAGGAATTTATTTATTTTGCGATTGTAAGTCTCAAAGTGCCTCTTCGACAACATCCAAATGACTGTCACTAACAAAATGTTTTTGATTTAAATTTGATGTTTTAACTCCCTTAAACTGCCTTCTCTAATATGGACTCTTGTATGTAAAGGATGTGTGTTGTGTGACATGGAATGATACTGCAGTCATTGATTTTTTTAAACTATTAGAGATGCAACGATTACAGTAGTTGCATCAAGTTATGTTGAAATTTAAAAGAAATATATATATATATAAATGTTTTCTTTAACAAAAATCAGCCGGACTGATTATAGATTCTTTTAGAACAGATTTATTTATTTATATTAATTATTAAAAAATTATACAAATTGAAATTGTACCTATTTATGCTGAATTTCTATGCATCCAAGTTATGTTTGTGTGGTGTGTGAAATGTATGGTTTTCCCTTCTATGATACATATGAGGTTTTATATAACTGTATAACATTGTGTCTTGTGTACGGATCGAGTGCAACAGTACTCTGTGTGTCCCCGAATAAACGACCCAGTAGTTGTAATAGTATTGTGCAATAATTATTGTCATTTTTGTGGTTTTACATAGATATCATGTTAAATTTCGTCAATGTGGAATTTATTTATGTATTTAAATTTATTAGCATAAGACCTATCCTCTTTGTCCATGTAGGACGATATATAGCTGATAAATGAAATAAATAATTTTACCTTATAATATTCTGAGACGTAGCACAAATGTATTATCGTGTAATTCGATGTGACACAAATTCTGTTGTCTTCCACAGGGACGCACAGAAATCTCCAACAGCTCCAACTATTACTATGGAGTCTTGAATTCCTAACGTTTAACTGTAAAATTATAAAATTCGATACGCTTAAACGTAGCGTAAATTTTTTTATAAATTACTAGTCATCGATGTCTAACGTAGTTTATAACCTGACAGCACATAAGTCGAACATTTCATAATCGTGTTACATGTTAGCGGTAAGTTGTATCAGTTCCACTATAAGCATATCAAGCGGTCTGCCGCCTCACGCATCTTGATCCTACGACCCTGTAGCCCCAGAACTAGAGCCGCTTACCCACGTCATGAGCTTACCCTGTACATTTAAAAAAATTATGTATCGTAAAATGTTAGAAAACTGAATTATATTTGTTTGTAGATCTATAATGTTGTTTATTTTCACACCTATATCATATTTTGATGTTGAACATGATTCTTACTCAAATGTTCTAATGTTGCTTTGAAATATATCATTAACTTGATCGCGAAGGCTAGATATTTTTTGAAAGTATGGTCGGTTATATTTTTAATTGAAAATAAAAATAATATAGCTTCTGAACACATTTTTATTTTATTATAATTACAATTATATAGGTTCTGGTTCTCTGCTGTAAACTTGCATAATTTTTTCCATTATCTCCCAATTTTTCTCCTTCTGCAAGTCTTTGGTAAATACCTGAAAGTAACAGAAATATCATTCATACTAAATTCTAATTAAAACTATTCTTAAATTATGAGCAAATACATATTATGTATATAACTATAATCTATTTAATGAATACTTACAGAGTACCAAGCAGCATCATCATCTAATGTAGCAGCTAATGGTACCGACACTCCTAGCACATGTAATGCTAAAGTCAAAGAAGCTACTGCAATATGAGGAGCTCTATAATCTAATATTGAAGGGGAATGGTGGAAATCTTGCAAAAATGCCATAGCAGCACGAGCTACTGGCGCCGCACGCCACTGGTTCGGAGGAAACCATTCTTGTAAGGAGCGTAAATAGTGTAGTAAATATCTATGTGGCGAAGGTGCGTCCAAATTGAAACCTAGTAAACGTAGCACAAGCAGCTCAGCTTGTGCCACTGCACCTCTCCAGGACCAGTATTCTTCACCTAACTCTAAAGGCCCTGCACCTCGATTGATAGAGTTATGCGCAACATTCACAGCGTCTCTAAGTCTCACAGGCTCATCTCGAGATTTACCAGCTGCACAAAGACAAGCCGTACAAATCACATAACAGTCGTAGTCGTTTTTATCAGCTTCTTTGAAAAATTTATGATAAAATATTGCAGCAGTAGCAACAGTTGCCGGTTGCAACCCAAGCTTTATACCGCACTCAAATATGAAGTTTGTAGCTAAACTGTGTCCTGCAGCACTCCGATAATCCGGTAAGCGTCGTTCCCGTCTATTGTTTTGTAACGCCATGACATCGATAACATCTTTCATCGTCATATATTTATTTTAAGCCTTCTTATTAAACGTTAATGTTAACCTCCAAGCGTTAGTAATCCAAACAAATCAAACGATTATTAAGGTTTGTTATTTGTCTCTCTCTGACAACTTGCCAACATGTCACAGAGTATTTTCGAACATGTCATCTGTCCGGTTTCATAGACTATATCTAATTCCAGTATATTTTAAGCTTATTACACACATTCTCCTTTACTACTTGTTTTTTTTTAAATTTAGAACTTACTGTTTGTTTTCCTTAATTATTGCACAATTGTAATTAAATAAATTATTTGAGATATTAAAATAAATTTAAAGCTGATGTAGGCTAAAAACAAAGGAAGACTTAAGTTCAACTCGTAATTAATTGTAAACTATGCAGAAATTAATTTATGGACATATACTGATTGGGAAGGTCACTTTTCTTCTCAAAACATAGTTTCAATCTTTACACTCCATTCATCCCTAACTTTTTCAAGATGCTTCAGCATTCATAATATTGTTCCATGTTGACATCCGGAATCCATCTTGAGTTAAGCACCTGTCTTTTTAGCCTTTTTGTCCAGTTTTCACTCTTTTCCGGTGCAAGTGCTGCCCTTTAATTTGAATTTGGCGGGAGGAAACTTGCTCATTTTAACAAATTGATAGTTTTTACTGGATTCTGGATAAGATAGGTGATGCAGTCGAACTCTTCTTTTTGGGTTACTGAAATAACTTTAAGAATCTGTTTAACGAGAATATACATTTCATTACTTCAAATGTCCAGGGGGCCAGCAAAACCTTTAAACATTTTTGACGTAACAAAACACACTCTTCTCTTACTGGAAAAATTATAAAACGGATTGCAGGCTTGGCTCGAATCCTCACGTCTCCATTTAAACTCTCCAGAGTAAAATGGGAGTCTGCCTACTTTAGTACAAGGTTCATGCTTTATATACTAAAGTTTAATAATCATCTCGCTACCTATTAAGATTTACTTTGACAATTTACAACAGCGCAAATCTTATACTACTCAGATGTGTCATAAATAGTTCGAGAGGTGCCATTAACATTTTGAGAAATTCTGTTCGAGATTCTTTCTTCTCCATTGTTGAGAGTAAAATTTTGGATATGTAACAACCCTGTCCACCGACTATAAAGTAATTTTCTCTTGAAGGTCTAGAATAGATGCGCTTTTTTCACACGCCATAGATTTCTTACCTTCAATTTTGTGGTTTTCAAATATATGGGCTTATCCCCTTTACTTTGATTTTCATGATGTCTAAATTTCTATAACTAGGTTCTTATTAATAATGAAAATCCTCATTAACCATCAATAATTTTGATATTCAAACAAAAAAAAATCAAAACTAGGAAGCTAAACTTACAAATTGCAGGACAATGTGATCCTTTACAGTCTAGAAAGAATAAAAAATAAAAATGTTTTACTGCAAGGCTCAAAGTATATCTAAGAATTTCAAGCTTTGATTAGTACTCAAAAGTCAAAATTTGCCCTTAATTTTAGAATATTAATTGTGTAGTTAATAATATTTAGGTTTCGCAAATTTTATATGTCTTATGATCGTAATATTTAAAAGGAAGAACATGGTAACGTTAATGGTAAGGAATTAAATAAAGGAATCCGGGTTAAATAAAACACACATTATTATTTGAACATAAAAATTAGAATATAATCATTTTCAGTAATTATTTAAAATTATACACTTAAAGTACATTTATAGTAAATTCAATAAAAAATACCAGTGCAGACGAGATACAAAAAGAGAAAAATATTTTTTTTTATTACATCGTTGGTTAAATATTCCGCTTGCAGTAAATGCATTACAAAACAATAATTAAGAACATATAAAGAAATAAACATGTTACGAGTCACTCGATATAGAAAAATAAAGATAAGATTGAATCACATTCAAAAATTATCCACTAGTGACTAAAAATTTAACTTCATTAATGCGCTCGTACACCAGACGGGATTCGAAGCCCGCACCTCACGCTACATTACTTTAAACTTTACCGAATTCTAGACGAGGACTCCCTCAGCGCCATCCCGGAGCCTCGCGTTAGTTAGTCATCCAGAACATACATTTTATAAATAGTGAGGTTAGTAACAACTTTGGTAAATACGAATGAAGCATAGTGAGCCACGCACACCGAGCGACCACTTGTTCTGGTTACATCGCTAACATGACATTGAGACATCGATACGGACTCGGGTATAATGATAAATTAAAAACGAAACACATTCCCCATGTCAATCTAAAAGCGCGGGAAAACTTGAGCCAGAACATTTCAGTCTTCAGACAACAAGCCCCCTCTGACGCATGGTGATGGCTGCCGCTGGGGATCGTTTGTTGTATCCGACGCTCGATAGTTTGTGCACAATATTTTATTTTTTGTATCCCTAACTAAGACGACGTATCGTAACTGTGTCGTGGCGTGTGCGTCTCTGTCACTGTCACAATAATCCTTATAAACTAAATGTGATTCGAGCGAATAAACAATGCGGCAGTGTACAAATTTACATCACATTCACTCGAAAATATTAAAGCATACAAGTTAATAATGCTCAGCGGCGGAGGAACACCATCAAATGCATAATACAGACGGGCGCAGGTCGCCTCGGTATAACTCCTAACGTACCACGAAGCTTACCTAAACTATATCATGGGATCGAATGTAAACCGCGCTAATTATATTTATTAGTTCTGCTTTATATATAACAGTAAAAAACCTACCTAGCGACTAGTCATAGTCGCTGGTCGCGAATCGTCCGTCTACCCTCGGCCTGCTGTGAGTCTAGTAGACAGAACTAGTCATAGAACTAATGACGATCCGCGAGGTCAGTGTAGGCGTTACATATCATTTTTTAAGTAAACACTTTTTACATAGTCATCGTAACATAAAATGAAAAGAAATCACCTAACTATGATAATAGTAAAGGTTTACCGCCTAAACGCTTCATTAATTAATATTTATTGATACAGTTACTGTACTAACGCTTAAAGTAGTAGAGATTTTTTTTTATTTTATTATTGATAATAAATTATGTTATATAGTATTATATATGTATAATGGTTGATTACGCCAATTCGGGTGTGTATACAAGTTTATATACTCACATAACTTACATCAACGTTAAACGAACCCGGCTAGCTACAAGCTTAACGTTAACGACGCCTTCATGAACAATCAACACTCACTGACTTATACAAGGTAGTCTACGTTAAATAAATATCCCGACGTGATTCATCGATCGATTACAAAGAGAAGATCTTAAAAAGCTACATCTTAAGGTTATTGTAAAGTGATATAGAAAAAATATGAACACAAAAAAGAACTACATATTACATATATATTAGTATATGGCATAAAGAACTGGTAGTCTCGGAGGAGTAAAACGTTCGGTGCTCGGTCGATAGAGACATCGAATAGAACTTAGAGTGACGCGCCATGAGAACGGTTACAGCGGGGGTGCGATTAAAAGTTTATAAAAAATAATTTCTCATAGTGAGCGATAATACCTAAAAATGGAATGATATCTTGTAACAGTTAAAGTAGGCCTGTGAACGTACTCATGCATCTCACTAATGTTCTGCTTTAAATATTGGTTCCTTTCTGTGTTTGGTCCGTAAGAGAGTGAGTATATAAGCGCATGAGACGGCGCAGAGCAGCGGCGGCGCAGACGCTTCTGTAATAACTACGGGCGGGCTCTGCGCGGCGCTGCTCTGTGCCGGCTCGCCCGACGGCCGCGACTGGACCGCTCCCGACCGGCCGGTGTCGCCTAGCACCATAATTTAGAATCGATCGCTAGATACCTAAAGTGTACTGAGGCGTCGGGTGTCGTCGGGTGTCGTCGGGTGTCGAGTCGCGCTCCGCCAGACGGACATGAACGCCCCAAGACCAGAGATACATCCTATGATAAGTATGAAGCGGCCGCGCCCGGGCGGGTCCGGGGCGGCGCGCGCGTGTGTGTGTGTGTATGTGTTCTAGTAGAGGCCGCAGCCGCGCAGGTTGTTGGCGATGATGACGTCGGTGACGGCGTCGAACACGAACTGTATGTTGTTGGTGTCGGTGGCGCACGTCATGTGGCAGTAGATCTCCTTGGTGGTCGACTTGTTCTTGGCCTCGAACTGGGCCTGGATGTACGCGGCCGCCTCGCCGTACTCCTGCGCGCCTATTACAAACATACATACATGTTACATTCATATTAGTTATTACTATATACAATAGTCACTGGTTCGATCCTGGCCCGGGCAAGTACCAATGTGATTTTTCCGAGTCATATGTACTCTCTGAGAGTATTTAGACATCACTAATTAATGCATTCCCAAAGAGGGTTGATATCAGGCAGTCGGCCAGTCGTATAAACAATTAACCAAAACTACATATTCACAACATGTAAGGCAGACCCTGGCTAAAAGCTGGGAAATTGCCAGGTAGAAGAAGATTACTCTATATAACACACAGTAATAGTTTAAATGTTATTATATCTACAAGATCAACAACACTCATATACTGTATACACTGTATCCTGTCTCTCATATGTCTAGAATGTATGGCTATTATGTTTGTGCCTGTATATATAAGTATGTCTGTATGTGTGCGTATATACCTGTATACTCAGGGAAGCAGATAGTGAGAGGTGACTTGCGTATCTTCTCCTCAAACAGATCCTTCTTGTTGAGGAACAGTATGATGCTGGTGTCCGTGAACCACTTGTTGTTACATATAGAATCAAACAACTTAAGACTCTCTTGCATGCGGTTCTGAAAACATAAACAACATATTCTTCAACTATATTTTCATATAACTTTATTCCAATTAATAAGTTGGGTTGGTTATATATCCTAAACTGATAAAATATTTACATTCCTTAACAATACTTATTTGTTATTCCAAAATAAAATGGTTGAACAAAAATTACATTCTATTGTCAGAGTATTATGACAATGAAGTGCGAATTAATATTACATAATGTTTGTAAGAGATGCTGTTATCTGTACACTATTTGCATGCCTCTAATAGAGATAACGTTTTCCCCTTCATTGTTACTAACATCTAGTTTTTCTTATCTCGGAAGCTTTGTAACAGTTGCCATGTCGGTTGAGGAAGGTTGCATGTGGTTTATTTATTTGCATCATTAAATAAATAATAAGATGTTTCATATAATGAGAGTGGAGGGATAACGACATTTATTCTGATGTCTCCTTTTAAAAATCTATCATAGACAAGTGCACATTTGTAACTTTATATAGTCCTTATGTGTTTCCAGACTAAGTACATGTAAAAACAATGCTTTGATCAACTTTGAAATTGTATACAACCAAATCTTGGAAAGAATCTGCATTTAATAGCTACTAACAACTCCATATAAATTCAAAAATATTTTTATTGAACTAAGTACCTTATACATCATGATAAAGGTGTATTTCACTCATGATAAATTAAGTATGGAGTACTACTACACCAGTTTTTATAATTGTCTTGAAAACCTTATCCGAACTAAGCCATTTCATATGTTTCAGAAAACTAACTAATTTATTAATATTTTATTCTTAGTGTAAATATGTAAAGTATCAACAATATAATATATACCGTTGTTTCATCCTCATGCAGGACTTGATCATACTCTGACATGGCGACACAGAAGATGATGGCCGTCACATCCTCGAAGCAGTGGATCCACTTCTTCCTCTCAGATCTCTGGCCTCCCACGTCGAACAATCTGGAATTATTCATGTTATTATATAGAAATTATAAGTAAATAAATATTTAATATTTTTTTTTATACTGGCAACATTATTTCTAATATATGTATACACAAAATTCTCACTTGAAATTAAGATTTTTGAATGAGAAGTGAACTTCTACGATGCCGGTCGTTTTGACTCTGGTTCTTAATATATCCTGTTCGGTGGGCTGGTAGTCTCTGGCACCTAACCGGTCCAGATCATCTAAGAAACTGTGAACAAAACATATAACTGTTATAATATAAATTAAACTTCACATATCCTTTACGTGTAAAGTATGACGTAAGCTATATTATTCACATTCTAATTCAGAAAAATTAAAAACGAAAATGCATATATGATAAACTAGCTGTACCGCGCGGTGTTACCCGCGGATTTCTGGGATTTCCGGGATGTAAAGTAGCCTATATATGTTATTCCTGGACGTCAGCTTCCTGTATACAAAATTTTATCAAAACCGGTTCAGCCGTTTGAGCGTGAAGAAGTAACAAACATACATACACACTCACAAACTTTCGCAATTATAATATTAGTAGGATATGAAATTAGGGTTGCAAAGACGATCTTATTACTTATAAGTAACGATAGGGTTGTCATAAAATGGGTATAAAACAAATTATATGTTCGTAATTAAGTTCTATATGACATATATAATATATGTTTATATAACCTACATAGTCTATGTATGACTACTATGTTAAAGCATTTAGTGTAAGCGTAATCTCAGGTCAAGTCGTTCTATGTCCATATTGAATCATTGACACCTGTTTGTATTACTATTCAGGTGTTGCTTTAAAATGCAGCGAGTGAGTCTTATTTAATTTCTTACATATAAGTTGTTAGACAATCCTAGGCGTGTGATCTTTTAAAAAGCTTTGCGAGCGATATATATATGTGTATATAATTTCTGTAACTCAGAATTTGAAAGAATGAAATGTTGTAAAGCAACTTTTATGTTAGAACATACTCTAACTTACTCTACTAGAAGAGATTTTTATTCTAAATTCTAACTATTGATACCATGAAGGTTTTATAATGAAAAAAATTTTTTTTTATACATGAATCAGACATAAATCGCAACTTGAATTCCATTGGTACTAACAGCGATCAAATATGTCCCAAGGTAAGGCGGTGATGATAAAGCCAATTGAGTCACATTACAATAATTTATAACATCGCCACATAGGTCATAGCGTGTCTTTAATACATAGAAATAGCTTGTTCTTGCATCTCATATGTGGGAATATAAAAATATTATAGAATAGAAAAGATCTCCATAGATTAAATATTTATTGACGTATATATTAAGTTCAAACTTTGATTTATATCAATGAATTCTTGATAAACTGTAGGTATATAATACATATACATATCTTATATATTATATAACTAGAACAAATACATAGTCATCTAGATTGATTCGTTCATAAAAACCGTTCCAACATTTTCCAAGTTACAACAAATATTTAACTTAATACAAATTCAATGTAATATCGATCCCTCCATTGCTAAACAAAGGCGCTTGCTAATGGGTTTTTCCGTAAGCAAAGCGCTGTTTTAATTAACATTAAAGTGGAAATGAAAAATATTATGTATTGTATTGTAACTATAGAACTTAAAAATAAATTGAGTTTACGTAACTTGAGTAGATATAATTTTACGTAATAAAGATTAACAAGGTTTACGATATGAACCAGTTAGGTATAAATATAAAGCAAACGTTTTTTTTTGCATTCATATAAAATTTCAAAGTAAAATTCATTTAATGAATGAATGTTCAATTAATCTAGTGACCTTCTTAATTTGTCTCAATGACAAGACACAACAGGATTGAACAGTGACTCAGACATAAAATGGAATTAAATGTAAATGAAAATCCATATAAGCATTAGGACCACAGAATTACTTAGTCATATGATCGACATATTGACTAAAGCTAACATTAGCGTGATTTAACAAAACAATAGAAAGGAACAAAAATAATATAACCACTTAACACGCTAGGTTTTTTAAAAAAAATTACCATACATAACGCATTTGTAACTAAATTAGCTTATAAGTAATGTCGCGATAACGTATTTAATTAACGACACAAATGTACGTATATCATCAGCCTATCAGAAGCCCACTGCTGAGCAAGGCCTCTTTCTCACATGGAGAAGGTTTGAGCATTAAACACCACGCTTGCTCAAAACGGGTTGGTGATTTCAAACTTATAATTGTGAAACTATAAGTCCAGGTTTCCTCATGATGTTTTCCTTCACCGTATGTGCGTATAAATACATATGTAGTATTCAGTTCAAAGTTAAACAATAGTGCCAACTTACCAACTTGGCCAATAGGACGTGTGTTTCTCAAGTTGGTAGTTAGTTCTCGTCTGACACTGAAGTCACTATCAAGGCCGATAAGCCAGTCTATGGTTCTGGCTGTGTGCCAGGCTTTATAACCTACACACTAGTTATGTCATTGTTGACAAGAAGCGCAACAGTGGAGCGAAGATACAAAGGAATCTGGATAGATAGATTCAGATGCTGAAGAAAATATTCACTATAATATGATAATAATAAAAAATATGTAGGATAAGGAATCGCTTTTGTTTTTCTCGTACTTTATTTCTTATAAAAATTACTTTTAAGATAGATATCTTCAAAATTGATAATTTTGTATGGGTCTTTTTAAATCAACATCGTAACTTCATTTATCTCATAGGTTCTCCTCAAACTACTTTTCATTTAAATGTATATTAATTTGAACGTATTTAAATTTGAAAGTTTCATATTAAATTCATAGTGCACTAAATCCTCTGTCACACATTTTCATCTCAGTCATTTCCACACAATGCTGAAAGCGAAAGCTTCAAGTGTTCTGAGGGTTTCAATGTCACGAGTGGCTCTCTTGGATTCTTGCCAGCCTAAAGACCCATTTCACTTATTATACTGGGAAATTGGTAGGCTACAGATTCGGATAACTTATACGGCTAATTGGTCTGATGGGATGTTGATAAATGCGAATAAAATTTGATAACATTTTTATATAGAACTCATTCGTTCTTTACAATAACATTTAGAGGAACGTGCTCTGCAAAATTTGTTAGTAAACTTAACAAATACTACTAATGAATTATAGTTACAAAACAAAGTCGTTTATTCAAAAACGTGGGCGTCAAATTTTGTGACCATTGGTTAGAAGTGACGTCAATGTTTTAGTTGACCGGGATAAGATTTAGAAGATAATCAAAAGATTACTTAAAAAAATATATGGCCTACGAAATAATGGAGACAAATTACTTTTTAAAATAGTTATGAACCAGTTTATTCGGATTATGAAATTAAATATAGAATTGAACGTAGTGTCCAGAATAGTAGTCGTTAGAAAACAAAATATCAGAAGATAAATCTAAATTTATTTTAAGATAACAGAAGCCACGACGACAGTAATTAAATGTCTTATTGTCACGAAGCTAGAAGAACATTAAACATTTCTTGCGGTATCGAAACTGGTGATTAAAAAAAGGATGGTAAAATACAAAACGAGAAATAAAAATCGTCAGATTCAGTATTATAATATCTTTTGTGACTATATCTAAAGTCCGAAAATGGAAGCTAGAACAAAACATTTGTCCAGAATAGAAAATTTAAACCATCATTACGTAAGAGAAAAATAATACATGTAATAAAAATTTTAAAAATGGATTCTATCACAAAACATTCGGCCGGCATCGAATTTAGATATATATAAAAAAAAATCAAAACCAGATAGTATTTGAATGATACTAAAATATGAGTCATGATATAGTTGTCGGTGTAGATTGCAGTAGATGTCCTAGCGGCGGGCAACAGGTCCGGGCCGATCGATACAGGCCCGCGCAAACGCAAAGGCCCTCGTCTCCCCGCCGCCACGCACACCGACACGTACATACAACGCAATCGATTTATACTCGACTCGGGCTCACTACACATTCAATATTCGCATCGAGCTATTAAAGCTGCATATTATGCGTTCCTTCACTATATTGATTGCTTCTCGATAGAGATCAAATTGTTAATATGCTTTTAATTATATTTTTTATACGTATTATTTAGTCATATTAAACCATTGTGTTTTCAAAAACTAAGTATACAGTTTGAGTTATTCTCTGTCATAAAGCGCTTTAATGATAGTTTTCATTTAACAAAACACTGTTATATATTCAGTAATTACGATAAAAAGTTAACTCTGAGAAATGTTCTCATTTCGTATATTTTGCAGCATTATAATTGTTACCGCAATGGCGTAAAGTATTTTATGTTTAAATAGGCCGCGGAATTTTTTCGCTGTTGGTTTGATATAAATCTGTCGACTTTGTACTATTTAGCTGGGAGTAACGATAATTGAAATATCATCTATATATGTACGGTCAGTAGTTATTAACAAACTTTATCATGACGTCATCATAGTTTTCATGATGTCATGAATTCCATGTGGTGTTAAGTTCTTAACTACTATCTTTTAATCTAGATTGCAGTATAGTTTTTAATCAACTTGATGCCGTCCGCCATTTCCAAATCGCTCCAAAGCGAACGCTACAAATGTTATTTCATTCGGGAAAAGTAAAATTAAATGTGAAGTTCAATACTGAAATTCCATTTCGATTTGTAACATTTGTAAGGTTTGATTCAAAATACATTATAGAAATTAAATAACGGATGTGAACGTGATGAAAATTTTCAATATATATTCATAGGAACAAAGAGTAGCAATTTCTTTAAAATATTCTTATTAACGGTATTTTACAATTGCATATAAAACTAAAAATTTTATTCATTCGACAGCATGTATGTATGGATTTTTATTCAGACGAAAACCTTGTCGAATTTCGATGAAATTTAATAGTAATGTAGATTAGACATCGAAATAAAATTTATCCCAAAATTACAATACTATCGATATCAATGCTTAACAAATAAATGTATTCTGTACGAGTCTCGTGACATGACTAAAGATATCGCTTTCAGTATTTTACCCTTTTAAACTTCTGCACTTAATTCAAAAATCAAGACCATTGCATACAAAAACTGGTATTTTTATACGACATTTTACAAAAAATGTTTAAAAACCAAATTATTTTCTTAATAACTGACTGATCGAAGAAAACTATGAAAAGATAATATTGCAAAGAAATTATCAAGCAAACCGTACAATTATATGATACTTATAATAAAGTAGAAATTCAAGGAAGTATTGAAATAGTAATAGCTTCTTGTTTTATGAAATTGTATGTAATGATGGTAAAAGTTAATTGATACTTTGAATGTAGTCGTTGCAATAGTAAATTATAAGTTATGGATGCAACGCGGTGTGACAAAACATGAAAGTCTCTTGTCAAGAAAAATGAAGCAAAATAAATATATTTGAAAATAAATCAAATAGTTTTAATTTTTCATTCATATGAAATGAACTTAAAAATAATTTACGCAGCTACTATAAATTAGTTAAATTTTACAGAGCTACAAAACTTTAGACCTCCCATACCATAGAGTTACATAATATATAATTTAAGACAGGATGATGATATACACAGGATGTTTGTGTATCGATGTATTTTCTATACGTTAAGTACTGAGATCAGAGAACAGAGAGCGTTTCACATGCCCTAAAGCCACATCCGCTGACCGTTTTACATATGCAAATCTGAAATCATACATACCATAGCTATCGCGTTACTTACATCAAATTATAATTTTGGTAACCAAGTATGTGGTCTTAGTGTGTACTAACACTATGGAAGCGTAAATAGAGGTTGGTCGTAAGTATTTTTATATAGAAAACATAATGTTCAAGTAAAAAATTCTAACTAATTCAGTAGTAATTATCGTCTTGAATTGATTTTAAAGAAATATAAAATAATTAAAATAATAGCCGTTGCTTTCAGATTCATTAGGATAAAATCCATGGACACCTATGAAATAGGTTTAAATTTCTATCGTATTTACGTATTGTCTATGGTTGTGTGCGTGTACGTGCGTGTGTGTGTGTGTACGTACTTGTGTGTGCGTGTGTACACACACGTGTACCTAAATTGTCGCCAATGCCATTATATCGTTGTGATTGCGGAAGGTATTCAAATGTTCCAATGGGCCGGACGAGTCAATCGACGCGGGCGCACCGCTCCCAACTCCCATTGAAGGAACTATTAATTGGATACATTGGCCTATGACGTCATCTCATTCAATCACCATACAACTATATATACATATATTTGGATATACATATGTATATATTTCAACTTTTTTTGTGACCAACTTATTCATAGGTTGCTATACGATTTTCTTGTAATTTCTAGAGTTAACACTGCTCCGTTAATTGACCCTATACACATAGTACAGTGTACCAGATAAGAAAACGTTTAACAACACTAAAGCGTGCGACTGTTTAAAAGATTTCGAATAAAATTCTCTCATAGTTCATATTTATAATAAAGTTAATATATTGTGTTAACAGGAAGGAAAAACATGTATAATTAAATATAAATGTGTTTGTTAAATAATCACATAAAAACTACATATCGAAACGATTTGTATTTAATTGTGTATTTTTTGTAATCAAAGACCTACAACATTCAGCCTACTTTTTTCCTCCATAAACCTTGAAGGAAGTTCAACGTACCACAAAAAGTGCAAATTCGCGTGTAAAAGCTTATTCAAAAAAATTATCCAATTTAGTACAAAGTACAAAGTACAAGTTACAAATAAAGTACAAAGGTACCAAAAAAAACTGGTTGGTATGTTTTAAACAACATTTAATTTGTTAGGAATATTACTAGAGCAGACCGCTGTTGTTAGTACCTGCTACGTCAACTCGGTCAGTTGTTATGAAATCACTGAAAACGTAATACCAGTCGCCCCACTTGCTTCAAAGATGTCCAGGATTCAGAATTCTAAGGCATTAGTGCTGTGTATGCAATGAGTGTTGCGCGCAGGTTCGCTACCATACCGGGGCCCAGGCCGCTTCCTATTCTTGGGAACTCATGGCGTTTTGCTATAGGACAGAAGCCATGGCGTACAAGGTCTTTGGACGCGACCTTGTGGAATTTAAGAGCATTAGCCGGTATGGGTGGAGCGGCAAAAGTCGCCAAACTTTTCGGTCACCCTGACTTAATTTTCCCCTTTTGTGCTGATGAAACAGCCAAGATTTATAGACGTGAGGATGCTATGCCACATAGGGCGGTTGCACCCTGCTTGAGACATTACAAGCAGGAATTAAGAAAAGACTTTTTCGGAGATGAACCCGGTTTGATTGGAGTGTAAGTGTATTTATTTCTACATAAAGTTTAAAATAAAATTAATACGTTTTAAATTGATATTATTCCACAGTCATGGCCCTGCGTGGTCTACGTTCAGGTCTAAGGTTTCGAAGGCCCTTGCGGCACCTCAAGCGGCACAAGTCGCTGTACCATCGCTCGACGATGTATCAAATGATTTTGTACACAGGTAAGTTACAGAAACAAATTTATTATATGATTCTACACGTATAGTTAATCTAAGATGTCACATCTCAAATATATCTCAATCGTGAAAGTAAAACATAATAACTATCGCTAATACTTATAATATCTGTACGCAAACATTCAGTTAACTAATAACACATAATCGATTCATTAAAATTTTATGTACATTTAAAAACTAGAAAATAATTCAATAAGTTTAAAACAAGTAATTATATGATTAAACCACTTTTTTTGCTTAATTTATTGGGCACGTCGCTATTAAGTACCTGGCATTACCATAACAGCATCGAAATTGTTTTAGTCCAACGAATTTGAGGTATGCTTACGTGATCACATATTTTAATCGATTCAAATAACTAGGTGTAAAGCATATTTTTTGTCGAACTTATTGATTTAAACTACATTTTTTTACATTGCCGCACGCAATAAACTTCATTGATGTGTAAGTTACTTAGTAAACCATAAGGCCTCGGCCTCGAATCTCGCGGGTAGCGGGGCGGCAGCGGCGGCGGCACGAAAACGCATACACTTCTCCGTGCCCCATCCCCTCTAGTTTGGAGAATAGTATGCGTTTCCGTGCCGCCGCCGCTGCCGCCCCGCTACCCGCGAGATTCGAGGCCGAGGCCTAACACGGTCTGAGAGTCTAGTGGCAAAACAAGCGGCAGTCGACTGCAGAATCACGGTGTAATGACCACATCCGCCTCTAACGAGAGCGTCTGCGCATTTGTTTTGTACGGCTTCTGACTCACTGCGGGAAACAACAGACCCATTCAATGAAAAGGCTACATAACGATTATAACGTCTCCAACGCAATGCGATACCTTTATGCATACACTGATATACTTACAATTATAATAGCTTTGGATTTTAATGAATATTGTATTTTTTGTAGAATGGAGAGTATTTTGGATCGTAACAGAGAGCTGCCGTGTGATTTTTTAACTGAGCTTTATAAATGGGCACTTGAATGTAAGTGTGTAGCGAGTCTCCGCCGACAGTTACACAGATATGACGTTAATGGAATTACAAATGAGGAAGATTTAATCTTGTATTCCGTTTCAGCTGTCGGAGCATGGGCTTTGGGAACGAGACTTGGCTGTTTGAAAGATAATGATACCGATGCCATGGAAATTATAAGGAATATCCATGGTTTTTTTCATAGTGTACCAGAATTGGAATTGTCAGCTCCAATATGGAGGCTATACAGAACCGAAGCTTATAGGACGTATGTTGAAGCTTTAGACTCCTTTAGGAATCTCTGCTTGAAGAGATTGACGGATAAAGGGGTTTGTTCACAAATTGCCGCGAATTGTGGTGAAAAGGTCGCCACTATTTTAGCGTTAGATTTACTACTGGTTGGTGTAGATACTACAGCGGCGGCCGCTGCAAGCACTATGTACTTATTAGCGACTAATCCTAGGACTCAGAGAAGATTACAAACTGAACTAGACATAAACATGCCTACCGATAGATCAATGAATCACAAGGATTTAAATAATCTACCATATTTAAAAGCCTGTATCAAGGAGGCATTGCGGTGAGTAACAAAAAAATACATAGAGACGTATGAAACATGAAATGCTATAAACTCGTAGTTAATATTAAATTTCTTAGCCATTATACGAAGAGATCGTCTTACATACATAACTCATCCGAAGAGGGTTCGCGGTTTAAGTGGTCTCATATTTATGTTGCACCACTTCCAAGCAAAAGCAATGCAGATATTTACTGTGTAACTACCGAGAGCTTCATCTTATGTATTATTCAGTACGGTGGCGCTGTATTTCGTACAGTTTTGTGTATCTTGCATAATCAAACAACACGTGGCTTTGAGACATAGAGCACGCATCCTAACGAGAATATACTTTTAAGAATTCTTTTTGACATCAATATATTTAAAGAGTATAAAGGATTAACATATAAATGTTTGGTTTAGTAAAATGTATGTTAAATTTATCGAATAATATGTTGTATAAACTAACTTGTAAAGAGAATATAGTATAGAACGAAAAATTAATTAGGAAACTAATTTATTATAATATTATTTTAGTATAAAGCCTGTCATTCTTGGAAATGGACGTTGCATACAGTCAGACGCAGTCATAGCTGGATATGAAGTACCAAAAGGGGTAAGGAGTTATTCATACAAATTTTACAATGTGCTTTTTTAACTGGATATTATATTAGGGGATTTAAAAAAATGGATTAAACTGAGTTATCTTCGTTTACATTTATCGTAAAGTTTAAGGTTTTGTTTTCGTATTAGAATGCTTCACCTCAGAAACTACAAGGACCCTTAGCGTTAGTTCCACATCTTAACTAAATACGAGGCATTCCTAGTTTTCATTCATAAATCTATTCTCGTGATAGATAGTGTGACAATGGAAAATTATAGGACTACAGATTTCAATCCAAATCTTATACATATGTTATGTATAGTAAATTATATATTCTCAAATCGGCTGATATAATGAGTTTTTATTTTTCAGTCTCATATAGTCTTCCCTCACTACGTCATGTCGAATGAGGAGAGATATTTTCCTTCACCAAACGAATATATTCCCGAGCGTTGGTTACGAGATGAAACCAAGACAGGAACAGTTATAGGAAATATTTCACATGAGGAACATATAGAGGCAGATAGATCTATCTGTGAACACGCGAGGGTAGCGTCCGTGATGAAGAAACAAAGGGATATGGGGATACATCCATTCGCTTCATTACCATTCGGTTTTGGAAGACGTATGTGTATCGGGAAGAGATTCGCTGAAGCCGAACTGCAGCTTCTAATCGCGAGGGTATATAATGATTAATCCCTACTAATATTATACATGCGAAAGTAACTCTGTCTGTCTGTTTGTAACGCTTTCACGCCTAAACCACTGAACTGATTTGAATGAAATTTGGTACAGAGATAGAGTTGACCTTGAGAAAGAACATAGAATAGTTTTTATCCCACACTTTTGAAAGGTTCTCTTGGAAACGCGATATGACCGAACTCCACGCGGGCGAAGCTGCGGGCGGAAAGCTAGTAGAATATATAACTTTAAGTTCATTTAAGATAACGGTGAAATTGTCACATCCTCTAACTATAGTTTATGATTATAGGGACGTAACAGCAAAAAAACTTATGCATTTTTGATCATATTTCTAGCAAATAAAAATATCTAGAGATATATTGAATGTTGTATAAAATGAATTTGAGATTTCTATACCAACATTTCTTGTTTTGAAACGGGAAAAGTTACAAATTTTAATGATGCTTCCGCTATTATAAAAATGTAGATTTTTGAGTATATTTTTCTCTACGATTCAGAAGCAAAAATAAATCTAAACGATATTTTTTAATGATATACAATAAAGAAATTCTAAAGTCTTCGTAAAATATATCGGAAATGATGTTTGGTATAGATTTTAATGAATATTTCTAATATTTCTAGGTGTTCCAGAAGTACAATGTATCCTGGAATCATGGTGAACTGACTTACAGCGTCACCCCTACATATATACCGAACGAACCGCTGCAATTTAGATTGGATTCCAGAACAAAGAAACTAACATAGAAAACTATGTATACGACTTGTACTAAACCTAAATTAAGATTTTATTAGTTATGACGATAAATAACATAATGTATGACTGACGAATAAATGTTATAATTTCGTAGAACAGAAACTCGATAATAAACCAAATTGTACATAGACTTATTAGTCTAGACTCTAGACTGTTAGTTATAGAAGAGCGAGATATATATCCCTACTAATATTATAAATGCGAAAGTAACACTGTCTGTCTGTTACGCTTTTACGCCTAAACCACTGAACTGATATTAATAAAATTTGGTACAGATATAGAGTTGACCTTGAGAAAGAACATATATAGTTTTTATTCCAGACTTTTGACAGGTTCTCTTGGAAACGCGATGTAACCGAACTATACGCGGGCGAAGCTGCGGGCGGAAAGCTAGTAGATGCTATATACAAGGGGAATATATATAATAAGTTGTATAATATAGTATATGACTCACTATTTAGCCGAGTCGTTTAGCTGGTACTCGTTGGAGCGTCCGAAGCACTCCTGCACCCCAGCGTCAGCCCACAGCCTCTTCATAGCTGCTAGCAGTTCTTCACTGAACGGCTCAGTGTCTTCCATTCGCTGGATCACGTCGAACACCATCTTACCGTCGCTCTGGAATTAATATTCATATTAATATTGATATACATTACTAATTTAAAACTATTTAAACAGAACGCCTTATAAAGTTAGTTGCTATATATATAACTTTATTAAAATACACAATGTTGTTTATTAAGACTTAAAACACAACTTCCATATATCCACACATACAACGTTAATTTGATTAAAAAAATACATTAAATATGCGAAATAACAGCAAATTGCAAGTACATTTTATAATAAAGTTATATGGAATCTAATATTCTAATAATATAATTTCAATACAAATAGGCGACTAAAAAACATACTATTGTATACGTAAAGCTCTGTTAACATCGTAATGCATCAATGCCAATGACTCATAGATAATAGACATAAGTAATTTATTGAGTGCGAATGATAATGTATTCACAAAGAGAAATTACACACACATACAAACAGACACACACGCACACATGTATGTATGTCATAGTATACATACAATTACTCGAAGAACATTCACACTGACATTCTCTAGCGTCTAGAGATCAATAAGTTTGGGCAAAAACAAACATATTTCCATGCTATTAATATAAGCGTTGATTTATGAAAGATCTTCAGCTATGTATGGAGATTCGTTTTTGTGTCACGCCAAAATATTCAAGCAATTTTCAGCTTTACAGTTATTTAGCCTGCTTATACTAATAGTACCGAAGTTTTAAGGTATACTTTTATTTATATTCCCTTGCATATAAACGGGGCTACGGGAATCGACTAGTTCATGTACATAATGATTACGAATGACGTTTTATCGAAGGGCAAGTAGTGACGTCATACGTCACGACAATCACAAGCCGGCCTCTGTTACAGAGTTGCGTAACTTTAAGGATTGAGAAGACACTTGAATAGAATCTTAAGAAACTTTTACACTAAAACAGACATAAAACAATGTTTATGTAACCCACATCGACCGCAATAAATAAGTAATAATTTTAATACAGCCATCTTAATTTCGACTTCAATTTGGTTATCATATAAATTAATTAAATTCCATAGTTATAATACTAAGACTATAGCATAATAAAATATATTGATATACAAAGTGTACATTCACCTTAGTGGTGTGGGGCACAGATAAGATATCTCAACTCGTACGAGTAGCATACCATCTGACGCTCCACAGATACAAAATAAATTATAGACTTCGTAAATATTACATAATAAAAAAAAAACAGTACTACGAAGGTTTTATTACAGATAAAATATAATAAAGCATTAAGTAGATTTAATCTTTTAATAGCATATTTTTTTAAATTAATGTCGAAGCTCTGAAAACGTTTGACTCATGGTTTTGACCTCAATATAATTATCAAAATAATACAATGATTGCAAGCCGCTTAGGGAACAAGTTCTATGGCGGGCCATTGTTTGAAACGAAACAGTAGAATCATGAATATGCAGGCGAATAATTATAAACAATACAATAATAAATGCAACAATGACAATATCTTATGATATTAAAAATATAAAGACAATTTGTTGTATTTCAATTAATGGTTATTAAAATTGCATGTAAATTTGAATGCAACGTTAAAAATATGCATGGTATTTTGAATGCAATGTCAAAAATATGCATGACAAATTGAATACAACGTAAAGTTATGCACGGAATTGTTTGTGACGTAATTATTACGTTAATATTTACCATCAGCGTACGATATCATGTAAAGATAAATTCTTGTTTGACTATCATTAATTAAAAAATTCATAGCTTTTTATGGAATCGTTTGCGATTATTTTAAACGCTGTTTAATTAATTCTCCTATACTACATATGTATATACATATATATGTATATAACATTAGGTATCCCAACTAATGACTTACGTTGTATAATAAATAAACATATTATAGCTATTATAAAGGTTTTTCTGTTCAGATTTGTATGGTAGATTTCGTTTTGTTAAGAAATATCCATATTAAAGAATGGGATTAATTTAAAACTAATAGCTTCAGATATAAAACAAAATATCAGCTTTAGTATACTTAAACAATGTTGTATCGTCACATATATACGGCGAATTCAGAGTTTTTATTGATCTTCTTAAAGTATTACGTAGGTTATTGAATGAGAAACGGAAAACGCTTGGTATGTAGTTGAACGATACAAACTCATACTAAGAACACGGATGCTGTCTATTTTCAGCGATGCCCGCTTTAAATCGTATGAAGTCTTTGTCAAATTACCAATAACTTAACCATTATTTACAGTACATATAACTGTTTGTCCGTACATCATGACGTTAGTAAGAACTGTTGCAACACATACAAAATTCTATGAGAGCTCAAATTAAATTAGTAGTAGGAACTTTCAAATGAATTCGTCTTTCATCAAAGCTTATTTCAAGTAACAGAAATGTATTATGTGTCATTGGGGTAATAAAATATGTTTTAACGTCAGATGTTTTAGGGCGGCGTGGTACAGTCAACTATTTTTAGGATACTTTTTATTCTACTCTACATATTTCAATAAAAACTGAAATAATGTTCGGAATATTAACTATATATAATACTTATCTTACAAGATTATATACAAAATAACAAATACCAATATTTTGTTTAATCCTATTTTATCGATGTTTTAAATTGATAACATCATAATATATAGATTATGTATATAATCGATTTTAGTGTTATTTCATTAAATAATACAGAGGTCATAGTAACAGCGGTGCACAATTAGCGGATACATTCACATCACATAAAAACCTTACTGGAATAGATCGTGATATATTAGTTTTTTTTTACGATTACAGCCCGCAAATGAAACACATTATATGAGGATGGGAGCATATAATACAATTCACCTTTACTTCCAGTTCCTATAGCTGAAAACGATATGTATGGAAGTTGATACTATGTATCACGCTGAAACTTTTAACCTATGAGACTTCTTTATTAAAGAATTTCATACTAACTCAAAGTTCATTGTAAAAAAGTAAAAGTACCTAATTTAAATATGTAAAATTAACGCAATTTATTCCAAAGTAATGTTTTAATCATATTTTTTTTATTATGCCTGCGTATTTGGGTTCATCATCATCATCATCAGCCTATCAGAGCCCATTGCTGAGCAAAGGCCTGTTTCTCACATGGAGAAGGTTTGAGCATTAATCACCACGCCTGCTCAAGACGGGTTGGTGATATCAAACTTATAATTGTGAAACTATAATTCCAGGTTTCCTCACGATGTTTTCCTTCACCCTATGTCAGTGGTGTCTAAATACTCTCAGAAATTTCTTCAAAGTTGTTTTTTTTTTCGGAGTCATGTAATTACACGACTCCGAAAAAAAAAAGTTTGAAACCGCTCCCTCGGTAACGAGAGGCGGCGGGCCCTTCAACCAAAAGGCCACCACTAACATAGATTTCGGTAATCAAATATTATATACCTAAAAAAATATTAGTAGAAGTTTGTATAGGTATATATATCTGATAACTTTTGCCGTCTTTATTCTGATGGATGGATGAATCTTATTCGTGGATGGATGGTTTGTTGGAGTGACGTTACCTCACGATCCTTATTCCCGTAGGTGATGCCGAGGTTCGGCATGGCGCGTAAGATGGCCACGAGAGACTGAATCGTGTTGCTGTACACGACGGGCCGGTACTGCTTGAAATCTTCATTTGTAAAGCCACTCTCGTGGATAATTCTGTTGGGAGATCACATCGAATTATTATAATATTCAACAAAAAAAACATATATGATAAAAGTAACAAATCTTAAACAAAATATAGCTGTGATTATTTTCAGAAATTGTTAACATATTTCATGATATATACAAAGAAAATTCACTGAAACGAACAATTAACATGATTCCATTAAAGTATCGTATTCATTATTGAGACTAAACATTTTTTTCAAACAATAGACATAATGATCGCGGACTGTTAGACTGTCGGTTGGTTTAAAAACACTGTATGAAAACAATAACGTTCTTACTCAAAAGATTATGAGGCTGGAATGATCTTATTAAAACATCTCTATTAGAATAACAATAAAATCTATATTATATGTTTAATACAATTCTTCTCACGAATGTAACTAAAGTTTACCCTACTCGATTGTATTCCGATAGCCAGTTGACAGGTAACTAATAATGTTGAATCATTTTAAATCATTACTCCTTGGTAATGGTATTGTACTTTGATTTTCCACATTGCGCATGCGTCGTACATTTTACAGTTACGTAGCTGTTACATTTCTTACAGGGCCGTGCTGTATCCGGGATGATCGTGACGTCATACGATCTCCGATCTCCAGAATGCTCGCTCGGTTGGTATTTATTTTTTAGCAACTAATTATTAGTAACCAATGCTTTTACGAGCAAAGAGAATCTAATTTTACGCTACTATATGCAAAAAAAAATAATCTTAGTTGTATAAAACGTGACGTTCAAAAGGACTTATGACAGAACTCGATTATTTTCATAATAATTAACATCTATACAAACAATCGAACAAACTTAATGACGACATTATATTTACGATGTTAACGATTGCTACATCACAGAACTGTTAATTGTCATGTATATGACGAGTGAGGTTCTTACATACGTCATCTATAGACTTGAAACATATTTGACTATTCTCTTAGCGGAGATGATACTAAGAAATGTTTTGTATGAAAAAAACTCAAGTGTAGTATTTCAGCTGAGAGTAAGTGATTTTTTACGATGAACTAGTATTGAATTTTGTTTTCCACAGCCTTTTTTTGAGACAAGACATTTTTAGTACTGTTTCCATACTTTCTGAGCTCTTGTTATAAATTTATTTCACAAATACCCGTTTTCCTTCTATCGATATAAACGGTATGTGTATCAACTATCAGTTTTCACAACACTATCTCCTGATAGCATGAGATTAGAACGTAAGGAGCTTGTTAACACTCCAGATAGACTATCAGTCAATCTATTGATCTATTGTCCACGGAGGGATCACAAATTGTCTTCTTAGCGATAATTTTTAATTGATTACTTTCATATAACACGTGCGATTTAATTATCAAAATAAAGGTTTATTTATTGACCTACAGAATTTCCTACAGTGGAAAGAAGTACGAATTTTAACTTTATGATATTTTTTCTAAGATTTTCTTTCAAACCATCTAAGAATAATAATAAGAAAATAATTTGGGATATCGCGTTTATAAAGAGATCTAAGATTTTCGCGAGTACTCATTTAAATGACACTAATATTTTTTTCTGCCCGTCATCTCGTCTGCCCGTGATCACGGTTGCTGTAAAGTAACCGAAACGTCGGGAGTATGTAGTTTATAGTCAAAAATAAAAAATCCCGTAGTAAATCCGAAAATATTAGTTTCATTTAAAATCGCGTTTATAAGTTTTAGGGGTATTATCGAACTAGTGATGTCATTTTAAATGTATTGAATATCGATAATCATACTTACTTCATTTGTTTAACTATAGTACTCTTCCCAGACTCGCCAGCACCTGAAACATGTATCGATATTATTATGATTGAACACACATATAAATTTATTTGTATTACAACACCATATAATTTTCTTAATAAAATTATATGTATATTTAGATTTCACGTTTATACTATAGCTAATACATAATAAAAAACATATTTTTTATTTTTCTAAGTTTTAATAAGAGGACAGTGTAGAGTTTGGACTAACTGTAAAATCTAAATAAAAGACACATCGCTCTCAAATATTAGCGAAAATGTCTAAAAATTTTATAAATATATTTTTCTAAAAACCATTCAAATTATGCAATGATAATCAACTATTACAGCGCACTTATATTTGACATTTAATTATAAAAAAATCACATTGGAATAAAACCGTACTCTTAGTTCAAGTTCGCATCTTCATACTACACACGACGAGTTTCCCGTCTCTCGTTAAATAACCCATGAGAATATATACATGGATTTACAAATTAAAAACTACTAAGGTTCCGTAGTGTGACGACATTAACTTGGGGTAAGCGTTACGAACGTTGGGATCACTCATCGGATTGGACGAGTAACGTCTATAAAAACTAATGTATCCAACACGCGTTACACCGAAATAGGAAAGTGAAAATTGAATCAATTATACTATGAATAAAACATCTTGTTTTGATAGAACAAAAAATGTTCTCACTTTCGTCGTTCTTCCTGATTTCTCTCGACATATTTATTATTACGTTCAAAAATCTAAATCTGCTATTTTTTCTTTTTATAGTATGTGTATAATTTTTGAGGCAATTAAAATAAGATAGTATTTTACTAACAATAGTCTGTCTAGAAACTTCTATAATAATCTTTCAAATTTTAAATATAAATTTTAAGGATACGTGGATGTAAAGCTTCAGGTGAATTAAGTAATTTTTAAATAATCATGTGAATTAAATTAAATTTCTTATGTCGGTCATGAAGTGAGTAAAATTCTGAGAAAATAATAAATAGGTTGTAATTAATATTTACTAAAATGATGTACACGCCATACTAAAGACAAAGGCTACAATATTAATACTTTCCATGATTTCACTAACTCTCCAAAGACATGAGTAATCTAGCGGCATATTCATAAATTAATCATCTAAACTGTAGAGGAAAAACCCAGATCAGCAAGCATTGAGAAATGAAGAAATCTGTTACTATTTAAGTTGTGACGCGAACGTTTGATTTTTTTTTTGTACATGAAATAATTTTACAATTTTAAATGTGAATCCAATATTTCAAGTCATTCAGTCAAGATTATGATTAAATAACTCTATATCTGCTGACACGTGCTTTAAGAATGAGACTGGAATGCTTTAATTTACTCATTTTTAGATCGAAGTTCATTAAGAAAAAAAATGGTTTACAGAAATTGTAGTAAATTGAATTTTTCTTTTATTTTTTAACTAGTCTATTAAAATGGTTTAGTCATGCCTCTTATAAATCGACTATAATGTGAAAACAAAAACCTGTACCATCAAATACGTTAAAATATATGATAAATTTCTATACAACCCACATTCGTTAAGGTGTCTGATGAAAAAAACATCGTGGGTGTTGCAAACTAACCCTGTCAAATAGCGATACATATAATAATGAACCTACTTAGGTCTAATTGCTCGAACCGAGAGCTGGCGGCGCGAACGCCCGACCTCTGACCCAACTTTACACATTCATATCACCTTTCATTGTCATCGGTATACATTTTAAATAACATTCACATAAGAACCACAATCAAATGACTACATCAATAAACATAGCGAATTTTCGATTGTTTACATAGAATTAATTCAGAACATATATATTAGTGTAATGATAAATATATTTTATGTAATGATAAATATATTTTATGTAACAATATTAAACTTATATTATGATTGATAATTTGTTATTTTAATATGTGCCAACTGTGCCAAGACATTGGATATAACTGACCATGTTGCGGATAAATAATATTTTTATATCGGTCACGTTGTTAGTCGGCTCTAAAACAGTACGGAATCAAACGAAATTAATATCTTGCGATCATAACCAAGTTTCACATAACATTAACCCGTCAATCTTCTAGTATTATATCTCGAGATCTGATCAGACGGCCTCTTGTGCCGTGTATATTGATGAACACGCTCGCGTGATCCAAACACAAATTGATAAAGAAAAATACGGTCCATAATACACTATCTACCGCCATTTGAAGGTTGAACTTTAATATTGAATCTATAACGATTTTCATGTGCTCTTGATAATAAAATACGTCATTATTTCGCAATCAATTCTGATATTTTTATTATGCTAATATATTTATTTTTATTTTGATAGTCTTGTTATGCAAGAACATTTAAGACGAAAGTACTATATGTATCAACTTTTATAATATTCAAAGAAGACAACTAAAAAAGCTAAACCCAATTATTTCTAAAAGTAAGAGAATACTACAGTTTTAATGCTTGGTGTATGGAAAGAGATCCTATTATGGATATTATTATGGACTTTTGCAATTTAAATCTACAATAATTTTATCTTATAACACTCAAGTTTTATGAATCATTACAAGTTTTTATTTTTGAGAAACAATAATTCTGAATTACATATGAATGAGTCCAAATTGTTCTTATTTTTCCTCATATAAATTATTAAATCTTATATTAGACATGGGTTTTGTGACGGTTACCGATTTACTAATTGAACCAGGTTAATTCAGTTTCATGTTTAAAAAATATAATAATAGATATATTCCTTTACAAGAAGATGCAGATAAAACAGAAATGAGATATCATTTTTAAATGCCAATTAATAAAAGAAATATGTATATTAAATAGAATTACATATATTGCAAATTTCATTTGTGAAGAAATTCAAGAGCTTAAGTATTATTAAATTTAAGACACTGGAACAATATTTCAATTTATATTCAGTTCTCTTAGTGCAATTCAATTTAAATTTAATATATTTTGGTAATCATTATCTATTTGTTTCATTCATAATAAAAATAGTAAGATTTAATGGCTTTTACTTAACAATTATTAAAAAAAATTAACATTATTATTACATAATGATACTTAGCTTAGTCATGAGTCATTTGATGATTTAAGTGAGAAGTTATTTAATATATTTTATATTAACATTAATCTTATATCCTCGATATGATTTGATATATTGAAAAATTCATGCTTTTGTATAAGTTTCAGTGCCGCAAATACAAAAGTCTCTAACGACAAGTGTCTTAACAATTCTTCAGTATCGTAAATGTGATGTAACTATTAAAATGTTTTTTATTTAATATTGACTAATAACAAATATATCCATAATAAGCGACTTTAAATGGAAAGAACAGTATGGTGTGTAAATAGGGTTTAATTTATAATAGTATATTTTTAAATTTTTTTAAAGCAAGATAGTTAAGATGTGTAGAAAGCACTTTACATGCGCAATAAAAAGAGAAAACAGAATTAAGAATAATTAAAATTCATTTCACCTAGTTTGATTAGTAATGAGAACAAAAAAGAGCAGTTTTTTTTTTGTTTTCTACTGAGAAAAAGGATTAAATATTGATTTTTTTATATCTTATTGATATGCTTATAGTGTGCAAGTATGTAACTTTAAAATATGATTCATGACAGTTAGGTTTTTGACTTTGCATTATATTTCAAAACAGTATTACTACAAACATAATGTGCACTGACACCCATTCCATATTCAACTGCTATGTATACCTCTTTTGTAATAAACTGTTTTTTTTTTCTTTATAGACAGTTTCATTCGAATACGGAACATTACATACCAGAATACTGATTAACAATAACTAACAAGAGAAAGCTAATTACTAGTTCCTTCGTGTTTTCGACCTGATTGTATATATTCGTACATCAATTTATTCTTTATTATAATGAGTGCCCGCGCACTAATGTATCTGGAATGATTTATTAACCGCAAATGTTAAGTGTAACGAGCGCTCCTATGAATTCTGTAGATGGGTGCGGTCGTGGGAGCCGGCGATAGTAAATGCGACAAACCGTACCCAGCAGCAATAGTTTGATATCTTTGGAGGCTTGGATGCCATCTTCCTTCAAGTTTCTCTCGATCTGTTTGCTCCGGGCCGCAGCGGCGCGCTCTTCGGCCGACTGAGTACACCCCATGTCGGCAGCTGTTTTTTTGCCCTGGCTGCCGTCCGCCCCGACTCCCGAGCCGGGCGCGCTTTCACCGCTCCCTCGGCATACGATCCGACCGCGTCTTGCCGCCCCGGCCTAACCGGAGCCACCCTACACAATGTTAACACTCACACAGTAACCTAACTACACCACTCTACACTGAATCGCCTTACTTAAACACACTTGCAAATAATGACAATACTCTTAACTCTCACGATAGTATTAAACACACGATACTTCAACGCGTAAAGACAACGAAAACTTTAATTGATTTATGAATTCGTATGAAATAATGGCGGCCGGATGACAAGCACCAGCTCTACTCCGTGACGACTGACGGCGACCGCGCCCCGCTCGACTGACGTTCGGGTTCGGTCGGAAGCCTTCGTGCCGACTCGCTCACACATGCGTAGAACTAAATTGAAACGCGAAAGAGCACAAAATAAATGCAAATAATAGGCATGTGTAACATTTAACGATATTTTGTCTATTACAGTTTTTAAATTAAGATTTTAGCTTCGGATATATTTATAAAATATATTAAGATTTGTACACCGTTTTTAATAAATATTATTTTTTAACCTTTATCAGTGGCTCATATTGAATGAACACTTATTTGATGATTTTTGCATAATGTTTTAAAAATGTCTACCCTCGTTTAATTTTGGAAGACACCACCATTTGCAAGTTTGTATTAAATACCTTCCGCGAATAACTTGAACTGAGGCAGGATTGATATTTGTGCCTGTATTATGTATGTTTAAAAAAAATGGTAGGAATCTATTCATAAAATAAACTGATACGCTGAAGTTGAGTGTTGACGACAATAAAGTTTTTTTTACGAAAAGGGAAGAGAAAATTTAAGATTATCATCTGCTTAAATTATTGATAATATTATTTCAATATACATGTTAACAGATCAGAGTTAATGAGTATCATCTATGAAAACATGTTCAATTTAAGAAAAACCTAACAGAGTTATCTAATAAGATCTAATTCTGTGAGAGATAAGAAAATTCTAAAATGTTCATGTCATCTCGTCATGTATTAGCCTTCGAGAACTTTCTTTGTCACGATCGTATCTGTTTCATTAGGTTATGCGGTACTTTGTTATAATTGATTGCGTGTGCAAAGGTTGGCATCCACGCTTATTATCATTGAAAAAGATGAGAATTTCTCCTGTTGCATAGCATCTTGAAGATATTGGATAAATTCTATCTGCCCAACTGAAAACTTTAATAAAACTGAACATCATTCAAATTGTGTAGTTGTCTGACTTCATATTGACAAATTCAATTTCAAGTTTGAAAGAAAAGAAAAGTCTGTCAATAGTTCTTGCTTGAATAATTAAATGACGAAATCAGTTATATCTATTATTTTATACAAAATATTGAATTTATATCTAATACAAATCCCGCAGATTATTTTTAAATTATTAATACAGTTAGTACACATGTTAATTTAAAAATGTAGGTATGTCCTTAAGAACAGCGCTAAAGGGTTTTAAAAGTTTAATTTTCGATAATTGTTTACGAATAAAGAATGTTACTTTTAATGGAAGGGTATTATAACTGTAAATAATTTTGTTTTAAAATATCTAACGAATATTTGTAAAACTTTAAATTACAATACGTTTTCTAAGTAAAATAACGTCCGTAACTAGTTGGATATGATGTCTCAATATTTAAGCCCATATTATTTTGTAAGCTCGTCCTTTTTTGGACATATTAGGTACTTAAAATTTCTTTGAGATCTACATTATTAATTGTCACATAATATTTTAATTTATTTTGGTGTAAATATCATTACGATCTTATTTTTCATTTTAAATATTAGTAGGGTATCTACAAGTTTCTTCTTCTAGAACTGATATAAATATTAATTACATATTATAAATACTTTTAAATTGTTATGCTACGTATATTATGTAAATATATATTATATTTAATTCAACGTAGATTACAAATCGCAAACTACAAAAGATACCACACGATAAGGCATCAATGAACTTAATCAACGTCAGTTGGCAATGTCCCAAGAACTTCAGGTATCTTTGTGGAATACCTTTGAATGAATTAAATGGCGATATTATTGCAACTGGTATTTTTTCAATTGGCAATGAAGTATGTTTGTTTTCAAGTAAATTTGAGTATTTTTTAAATTATTATCTTAATATGAATTTGCTTAGTGAAGTTAATCTGGCAGCTAAAACGTTCTTAAATCTATTTCTTCTTACTCAGTTAATTAAACTATGGTTTACTCTATAATCTATGGCTGGTATTGGGATACAAAAAATAGTATATAAACAAAAAATAGTTACCTATTGATATATCAGTTATTTGAAGTATCTAAATATAGGAAATTTAGCAAATAGGATTTCGCTACCACATATGCTTTTTAAGTTAAAAATACCATTAAAAATTGTCAATAATATATATCGGTAAATATAAGAAATCCTTATACCTAAATGAACTCAGTAACGAGTGGGCTACGTGCTCAATACTCTACAAAAAACTTCACCATTTAAATTTATATATGAATAATCAAAATCTTTTATCATAATAAATATGCTTAAACAAATGAGATTTTAATGATTTCATTGATAAGATTAGGTTGGGTTCGTTGGGTCTCTCGTGTTAAATTTATTTCATTATTAATGTTTTAAATTTACCGACGTCTGAAAAGACTATGAGATAAATGAAAAGCTTCCACTTCTCGTGTTTAATTGCAAAGTTAGTAAAAAAAAATTTTAAACTGCGACTTTAATTTATTAAACCAAACTTCAATATCTAGGCAAACAGTACTTAACATAAGTATACAAAAATTATAAGTAATGTAATAATTTTCATAAAACAAAATGAGAAGATAAAAATAATATTTCAAGTGGGAAAACAATTTATATTAGAAGTCGTAACTAAATATTTTTATCAATGTATGAGATAGCTTAGAAATCAACAAAATTATTGACTTCTAAGTAATTCTAATAATATTTTTCTTATATGATCCATGAAAACACAAGGTTCTGTCAACTATCATCTTAAAAATATAGGCTGTGGTTGCATTAACATTATAGGTAAACAGAAATGGCACAATTTTTCAGGGAAACTTGTTACGAAGATCTACTAGAAAATATGCATTTTGTATACCTTATGCATTTCCTTCGATTTTCTACTTTACCATTTAGTTTTCTTTTATATACAAGTAACATTGTAATGCTATGACGATGATTAATAAAAAAAACTATTTGTCACTAACTTGTTACAAACAGATTAGGGAGTTCACAATATTCGGATTGAAATTTCAAATATATTAATTATAGATCTTAAACCTCAAGTAATTTTATAAGATTTTATTCTGGAAGCAGCGAAAAGAAACTCCCAAAACAAATGTCCCTTAATAAAAATTTGATAAACTTTAAGTACATTATTTTAATCTGATAATCTTCCAAAGAGATTGAGTTTTTAATCAAACTTTTTTGTTTTTCAAGTCCTGTATAATTTTTTCTTTGTTTTTCAGCAACAAGATGTTGCTTACTGTATTTAAAAATATCACTTGTTGCTTAATAAAAAAACAATATTTTTAATGACTTGTTTTTTTCCATATACCTACAGTGGACTTCTAGATTACTATCTCTCATTATCATTGTGTTGTCTTCGAGATAAGATTTAAGTAAATTTACTATACAGACGAATTCTCATTTCATCTTTGTTTAATATCCTATCAAAATCTATGACGAATATTTGTTCTATGCTTACACGTTATTACTTTTTTGTTGACTAACTCTCTGACTGATTAACTTTGATGATATTTTAAATTAGGTTCCATTTCGTTGGTAGTGCACGCCGGTTCATTGAAACCAGCCGAGAAGTCGATAGAGCACCGGCGGGCGCTGACGATGCGCGCGCACACCTACATAAAGGATATAGGAAGTGTGTTACCGAGGAGCAGCAGCTTGATGTCCTTGGCGGCCTGGATGCCATCTTCCTTGAGGTTCTTCTCTATCTGCTTGCTGCGGGCCAGAGCGGCGCGCTCCTCGGCGGACGAGGCGCAGCCCATGGCGATCGCGCGCACGGCCTGGCTCGCTACGCGCGGCAGCGCCGTGCTCCTGGCATGCTCGCGGCTCGTCGTCGCGCGCAGAGCGTCGCGCACGCGCCTAGTCGCGCACGCTTGCTTCCCGTACAAAGATGTCACGTCACCGCCGGCCCGATAAGCCGCTGCGCTTTCGCAGATCCCTGTTAACGTACCGGGAGCGGAACGAGCTGCCACCGCGTCGTGGACTCACAGACGAATGACGGGTTGCGCAACTCCGCCCAACGAAGGTTGCACTGCGCAAACTCCATGTGCCTCGCCCGCTTGGTACTCCCTGATATAATAATTATATTAGGTACCATTTTCCCCATTTCTGTTCTCCTCCATTGTTCTAATAGCGTGCCTAGTATTTGTTTAATATCATGAAAGCTTGGAGAATATGCAATGAAAACAGAAGTGGATTTAAAGTGTTCTAATAATTATATTAATTGAAATATACATATAACTGTCTAGAAATTGATTTATTCTACTGGAAAATATGAACTGTACATAAAACCTTTGTCTAAAATATAAATATAGGCATCTGTCTTAAATTAAAAAAAACAGTAGTATTTTATGTATTCCCTTCAAATCATAAACTGGTTCACATTCAAATATTGACATGATATAGTTATTAAGGTGGCAAGGGCGTTTGAAATAAATCCACGAACATTTTTATTATCGTCTACTAATTTGTCTAATATAGCCCATAATTTTTTTTTTTATAATTAACAACCTTTAATAAAATGTGTTTATAATTGATTTAAATTATTATATTCCAAATGTCATTTTCAACTATGAAGAAATAAAAAAATGCCGAAGAGAATTATATGAAAAAAATGCTGTTAGTAATAAAACAGAACCAGTGGATGAAAACTTGGATCAAAAAAAATTTACTTGTAATTGTAAAACTATGTGTTTGATATTAGAAACATGTTGAGTATAAACATATGAACTAAAATTCAAATAGAAAAATATTGCTGAAAAATTCAAGGAGACCAGTAAGAATCAAACCTGAACCCTTTGGACTATGACACTCCAGTAACTTTACCTAAAAACGGATAGAGTCGATGAATTTTCCATTGTTATTTTTTATATGAGTTAATTTAACCGTATAATATTCTTACCTAATAAAAACAGGTATAATTGTTGTTGTAATATTATATTGTCATAATAGCACTTTGCCATTTCTCTATAATTGTAAATCCATCTCTTATACCAATTAAAATATTAAAAAAGATCCCAATATCACCTTTTTAAAACTAGAACGTACTTTTATTTTATCTGTTTGAAAAAGTTTTGACATTGTCAACTTGACATAGAGAAAGTGGCATAGAAAATATGTCAATTTCTATTTTGTTAGGGAAATAAATAATTTGTGGCGGTAACACTTCAAAATAATAAAACTGTTACACCAACAGTAGTAACTGTATTATTTTTGTAGAAAAATGGAATCTGACGACGAATACGATGATGAACCCATGTGGAAAGGTACTCCTGGTACAATAATATTGATAAATATTTTTGAAAAGTCGAAATATAACGCATCGTCAAATGCTCAAGTTGCAACTTGTCAGCTGATAAGACAATATTTGCGATCAGCGAGCTCACATTACATCAGCGTATGCTTTTATGGAACCGAAGAATCGAATACATCAACATTTGATGTGATACCTGTCCTACAAATATTCCCCTTGTCGGCTCCGTCCTTAGAAAACTATGAGAAACTCAAAAACACCAATATATGTAATCTTGTTGAAGCTAAAGAGTTCAACTTGTCTGATGTTTTATGGCATTGCAGTAAAATGTTTAATAGCTGTAAAAAGAAATTGTCATCTCGGACTGTGGTGATGTTAACACGACTTGATGTCCCTCCCGCTCCTTCAGATAGAGATCGAACACTCAACCGAGCCATTGATCTAGTAGACTCAAACATCGATATCAAAATCATAAATATCTCAGAGACTGAATATGCCATCGACAAATATTATGAAAAGTTACTAAAGATAGCGAATAGAGGTAATGATTGTATTCCACCACAACCTGTTTGGAACATCAAGGATATTGAGAAAATTGTCTTCCAGGAGACTCACAGAAACATAGCCATTGCAAAACTTAACTTTGAAATAGGTGATAATTTTAATATTGGTGTCAGTGTGTACACTCTGTTGAAAAAAGCTGGTCAAAATAATAAGAAAAATGTTGATTTGGATAGAGAAAGTAATGCGATAGTAACAAGTGTTACAAATACATTAAAAGTTTCAAATGATGTCATTGATGAAGATAGTCAAGATAGATCCGAAAGGAAAGTGCCCCTGTTGAAGTCAGAACTACTACATTATCAAGAGTTTGGTGGAGAAAGAGTTGAATTTACAGATGAAGAAATGAAGATGATCAAAAATCCATTCGGACCTCCTATGATGAAACTCCTTGGTTTCAAGCCAGCCAGTATTATTTGTAAAGAAAAGTGGTATTTTAAAATTGGTCAATTCTTATATCCAAATGAAAGTATTGTAGAAGGTTCTACAATCGCTTTCAAAGCCTTACATAAAGCTTGCACTGACATGAAAATGGTAGCCCTCTGTATTTTGTGTACTAGAGTAAATTCTAGACCTGTAATAGTTGCGCTGAGTCCTTGTGTGAAGCCTCTCAATCTTAACATTGATATTGGTTTTGACATTGTTAATATACCATTTGTTGAACATGTGAGAGAACTTAATGTAAAAGATGATGCTAACGAAGATGAAAATCTTGTGGTAGAAATTGCACACAAGGGGTTGATGAAGGACATAATAAATAGTACTACAATAGATTATCAGCCCGATATGTTTGAGGATCCCAAATTGCAATCTAAATACAGAGCGATCGAGGCTCTTGCATTAGATGAAGACGAGACTGAACCTTTCATAGATACAACAAAACCTAGCATTGAAAGATTTCAAAACTTACCGGACGATCTATTCGAGGAACTATTTGGACCCTTTACATCTATGACTCTGAAGAGATCATATCCTAAAGTAACATCTCAACAGACCAAGAAGCCAAAAATTGAAAATTTTGATGAAGAACTCTTTAATACTAAATTGAAAGAAAGAAAGATTGAATCATACACTGTGGCACAGTTAAAAAACATATTAAAATATAGAAATATTCAGAATCTTCCAGCGTTAAATGGTTTAAAAAAGGCTGAGCTTGTTAATTTAGTTTACACACATTGTGATGAAGAAAATTGATTATTTTGTATAAGTAACATATTGAACTAATAATTCTTTATTAAGTATTAAAATATTTATAAAACAATAATGTTGGCAAACAAAAAATGAGGAATATTAAATTGGTGTAAGATTGATTTTGTGATACTAATTAATAATTATATAATAATTTTTTTATAATGTTCAGGTGTTGGTTACTTTTTATAAGTAAATATAACCATTGTTCTTATTTAGACTCTTTGATTTTAACCCCTTATAAATAAACATAGAAAAAAAATAAAAAAGTTATATGTCTAAAAAGCAATTAGTTTTAGAAAAACCTCTTCATCTTACTAGTGATAAATATGACTAGCACTCATATCCTGAAGTTTTTGCCCCTACATAGAATTCTTATGGAATTTCTAAAATACATTTACCAAAATTAGAATGAATAAATTACATACAATAAAGTTGCTAGATACAATTAAGATTTTTTTACCTTGTAACATATTCCATTTTTTTGTCATAACCCAAACAAATAGAGAATATAGAGTTATTTAATGTATCGTCTATGTCTATATGTCAAATTAACTAACAGCTGATTGGTTTGATTTAAACAATAAATACTGCTTGTAGCTTTATTCGAATAATTACATCTTGAATTAATAATATGGCAAATTACTTGTCTATAACAGATATTTTAGTTACGAACGAGAAAGTTCCCTGTAAATTTCTGCATGATTTACCAAAAATGGGTAACTTCTTATGAATTCTATCTGTTTTTTTTATAATAGGATTTTAACAAGTTATGTTGAATGATTTATTTTAATTTATTAAGGATTTATGGACCCTTCTGCAACGGAGGACGATTTAAAAGCTGGAACAAATGTCGAAATTCCGATATGGCTTGCGGAGTCTTTGCATGCTAGAAGACCACCACTCGTTAGTGTGGAACTTCCTAAAATCTACAAAGAGACATACAGGGAAATATTAAATGCTGATGCCTGTACTGTAGATATGCATAAACTGGGACAATATTTCTATGAACTTGGATGTTACATTGCTAAATATGATATCAAGGGTGAAGTTGCAACTACTCTAATAGATGTATGTACTCAAAGATAATCTTAATACAATTTATTTGTTATTTCATTCTATAAAACATTTAGTTGACATTTCAATTATGTTAATATTGTATTTTACAGACATTCAAGCAGAGATTTAGGATGATTTTATCGGCTAGTGTATCAACTGATTCAATAACAGCACTGCAGCCATTATCAACTAGTGAAAGAGATCGTACTGCTGGTGCCGTTGTCACTGAAAAGGCACTCTCTGGATGGCTGAAGAGAGGAGACTGTCCCTTAACTACAGCGACCATGGTGGCCAATCATCGGAAAAGAAAAAGGGCAGAAATGGAAATGTTATAGCTTTTGTTACAATTATACTACTTTATATTACTAAATGAAATATTAAGAATAAATTATTACTAAAACACATTCATTCTAAACACAAATTTATTGACTACTCTACCTATAAAACTTTATTACTAAGACAGTCATAAACTTTATTTGTTCCAATGAACTCAATTTTTTTTCTTATATCATATAATAAATTACTTATAGCTATGTATACAAGGACATCCTGAGATCATAATTCGGAGCAAAATTATAGCTTATAATATTTTTCATCATCAACTAACTGAATTATCTACAATTCATTACAAAATATCTAGCCTATGTAATAACATTTTTACTTAAGATATAGAAAATAATATTTTACTACATACTATTAGTCCTATTTATAGCTTAAAAGTCACAATTCAATATTTTTTTATAGTCCAGAATAGCTAATATTCAGTCAAGTTAATTTTTGTATTATAAAGATCGATTTAAGTAGTCATGCAGTAACAAAATAAATAAAAGAGCTATCATCTTATTAAGATATTAATGGCAGTCTATAACTGACTTATACTATTTAGGTCCGTAATATTAAATAATTTACATATCTTCATCACAACACTCTTGCACCTCGTTGTCTTTATTTTTATCACTAAACAGCAGTTCAGAGGTACATTTGTATGGATGAATTGACTGTTAACATCTGTCGTTCTTGACCGATGGATTCAAATCATGGAAGTAGGCGTGGGCCATGGCATCGTCGGCTGGCATTCTTAATGCTGGGTTACAGGTCAGAAGACGAGCTAATAGATCTCTGCCTCGTGCTGGCAGCCTTGGTACTACTTGAGCTAGTCCGAGACTAGGTTGGTAGACTGGCAGGGGTTTGTAGTCAGGCAATTGAGTAACACCAGGCCAGGTGTCTTCATTTGGTGTTCCTGCAAAATTCAGCACACATTCTTATACTAATGACATTATTATCTGTCTTATTCTATTCACAGCATGCATGATATCTGTAATTGCTTGTTATAATTACATTAACATTGATTTTCAAATCATATTCATTAGTTATATAATTATTAATTAAGTACACTTTTATATAAAGACAAGTTAAAAAAATGTTATTCATAAGTACCAAGTAATTTAAAAATTCTCTTCAGTTGATCATCAACATCAGAACCAGGGAAAAGTGGTCTCCCAGAATTGGCTAGTTCTGCAAAAATACAACCTGCGGACCACATATCTATGCTTGTTGTGTAAAGTTTAGCTCCAAACAATACATCGGGTGGTCTATACCAGAGAGTAACGACTTCAGCGGAGTAACACTTAACAGGAATACCAAAAGCTCTGGCCAGACCAAAGTCTGCTAATTTCAATTCTCCATTTTTGTTAATCAATAAATTTTGAGGTTTTAAGTCACGATGGAGCACGTTATGACTGTGGCAAAAAGCAAGGCCCCGAAGAAGCTGATACATAAAAGATTTGACTACGTCTAAATCTATTTCGTCGTTTAGACTATCGAAATATTTTTTTAAATCCTGATCGCAATGTTCGAATACTAGAGTTAACTTTTTTTCACTGTGCAGCACATCATACAGACGAACAATGTTTTTATGCTTTAATTCCTTAAGCAGGCATATTTCACGTAATGCTGATGATGGAACTCCTTCATCGTCATCATCCAGTCTTACTCGCTTGAGTGCGACTATTTCATGGGTTTCTCTATTTTTAGCTTTAAAGACTGTACCATATGTCCCTTCACCAATTTTTTCAAGTTTTTCATATTTCTGCATATTTAATTCAGTGACTGTAAGGAAAATATGTTTATGGTTTTTCTTTTCTAAAGAAATTGACAATTTCCACTAACTTTTCCCCGTTTCAACTGTCAAGATGACGGAAACCTTTCAATAAGGTAATAAAACATAGATTATACACTTGATTTTGTTACCCTTGTTTATCAAATATAATGTTCTTTAAAATAGGTAAATCTAATCAACAAATTCTCATTTACAGATGAAAACGATTGTTTTGAATTGCTGTAATTCAAGTAATATAAGATTGTTTCATTCGAAAAATTTTTGGGAAACATTTTAAAATTTGCAATATTTCTCATTTTGCAATGCATATTAACTGAACTACCCTGATGCTATTTCTATTAAAATTACAACCATTTAAATCAAACAAATAAAAAATAATAATCTGAAGAAATATATCGAACAAATTCTTCATTAAATTCATTCTCATTCAGTTTATCAACAATTTTGTAATTCACATTTGTTGCTATTGCGAATTCGGAATTGTCAATCCAGAAAGTTGAATTGTCATCTTAACACGTATTTCACAACACAATTTAATTATAATATTTGAATTTTGGTGACATGTGTATATGATATTGTTTATATTTTGTGTCCAGAAAATAAAGTATTTTTTAATCCTACTGTGATATAACTAGAAAGGTAAATATGTGACAGACAGAATAATTTATAAATATTTATATCGCATTAGTTAAGTCGCCATCTGATAAACTGGTTAGTTACGTAGTTAAAAGAAAGAGGCATATCACGAGGTTTTGTTTGTAGATGAGCGAAGGGGAGCGTACTACGATTGATAAATCTGAGAGCAGTTCTTTTGAGGACTTAGCTTCTGCAGCTGCGCATGAAATAGAAGAGGCGAAACTTGCTGATGCAGCATCTGCGAAAATAGACAAGAAAGACGAAAAACCTCAGGAAGAGTGGCAGGATGTTCTTGGCTCTGGCGCTTTGCTAAAAAAGGTAATATTTATTCTTTTATTTAATAATAACTTATTTGTTTAATATATTAATCAATATTTTTGTTTTTATTATTAGATCATAGAACAGGGTGATGAAGCAAGTGGAGAGAGGCCACAAAGAAGCGATATATGTAGAATTAGCTATGAACTTAGATTACAGGATGATCCAAAAAATATTATTGAAAAACGAGATAACTTGAAAATTTATTTGGGTGACAATGAAGTAAGCATACAATTGATTTAATTTTGTATGAATTATTTAACATGACCATGTGACTAGTGAATTATAATTTAGGTACATATAATTATATACATGTTTAAATTTGTTATCATGCAATGAAATCTACCAATACTGTTATCTAGACTATTAGTGAGGCACTTCTATTGATATGTTATAATGAACTATATTATTCTAGATCTTACAAGGTTTGGATTTAGCGCTTACATTAATGTACCGAGGTGAGGCATGCTTATTGCGAATAGCACCGAGATTTGCTTATGGAGATTCAGGTCTTAAACCTGGTGAGAGCCTCGGTTTGGTTGGTGAAGTTGATAGTCCTAAATATGATGGGGAGCCTATAGGACCAGAAACATGGCTGGAGGCTTCACTGAAACTTCATGATTGGACAGAAGAATCTGAACATGAAACATTGCCTATTGCAGAAAGAATGGAAATAGGGTAAGTAGGTCTCAAATATTATACTGATAATAGTTTGTTTTTATTTAAAATTCTGTCCAGTGTGGGATGACGTGTGATAATATTTATGATGTATGATGTCAAGGTTAATTATTTTATCCATTTCCTTACATGTGTATATTGTTTATGTTTTATATATTAAAAAAAACGTTTTTAATTTTTGGCATTGACTTATTTATGTTAATATTTTTCGAAACAAAAACTAGTTTCGTAAGTTTGCTGTTATTTTAATGATTCAAAGTAAACAACTTTGGGTGACATTTGCTAAAGGGTTTTTGTTTTGAAACATGTTCAACTTGGGTATAGTCAAGTTAACATTGAAATTGAGAATAAATTTAGGTACAAATGTGAGTTTATAGTTTTGCAACAATTTATGTTATCTATTTCTGATATAGGTGATTAATTTATGGTTGGTATGTTTCAGAATTCGTCGTCGTTGTCGTGGTAATTGGTGGTATGGCCGAGGGGAGTCTCAGTTGGCTGTTCAGTTGTACCGACGAGCTTTGGATGTTCTTGATGAGAGTGAAGGGGGTATTAGTGACCCCACTACCTCAGGAGATATGGAACCTGCTTCAGAAGCCCTTCACGCCTTGCTGGAAGAACGACTCAGGGTTCATAATAATATGGCTGCTGCTCAGTTGAAAGCCGGTGCTTATGAGGCCGCTTTACAGGTTAATTGAATTTCTAAGTATTTTAGATGTATTTTCTCTTATATTTAAATAATTTTAATATATTATTTTCTTTTTATTTCAGGCTGTAACAAGAGTGTTGACCTGTCAGCCTCGCAACGCAAAGGCTTTGTACCGTAAGTCACGAATCCTAACCGCAATGGGGCGTAACTCTGAAGCCCTAGAAGCAGCTAGGGCTGCTGCAGCGTTGGCCCCCGGTGATATTGGAGTACGTAAAGAATTGTCGAAATGTGAACAGAAAGCTACAAGAGATAGATCTGTTGAGAAAAAGTTAGCTAAAAGGATGCTGGGGACTGCGGGGCAGTCTAAACCAGAACCAGAGAAAAAACCTTCCAGAGCTAAGGTAAAACCCATAGAAATGGTATAAATATTCAATAAACTGATTTATTATTTTTATTTTAACTGGAGTTTGATGTTGGTAAGATTTCAACATATTTTTTTCTACTGGCAATACATATTAATAGATTAGCCATATGACATAAATCTGTCTTAACAAAAATGATGTAAAGTCTTGCTCTCATTATAAATAAAATAATTTACAGATGTTCATATGGAGTTCTCTGCTGCTAAGTTTCTTAGTTGGTGTTGCCAGTGTGTTAGTGTATCGCTACAAGATGCAATCAGAATGAAACCGTAACTCACAAGTAAAGAAGATATATTGCTTTTTGGGATTTAATTATGAAAAATATTATTCTAATATGTTTATTGCTTTACAGATTATAGAGAAGAATCATTTATAAAGGGTGAGGTGAATCAGTTTGAAGAAAATATATAAAAAAATACCCAAAAAAAAAACAAACTCCGGAGTCATGGAAAAGTATAAAGTTATTTATACCTACATAATCAACCTTCTGTTGCATTTCTTTTCTATTCCATATACATCATATACTGTCAAAATCATGTTACAGTAGATATTTGTATTATTGTAAATGGGTTCTAGGTTAGGTTAACGAGTTAGTATTTTAGTAAATGGATGGTATGTATTTAATACATATTTAATTTTATTCCTATTTAATACCTATAGCCTCATGTAAGAAGTAATGAAAATAAAAAGTGTAATAGTACATAACAAAATAAAATATTTTTCGAAACTTTTTTTTAGCTAAGAAAAAATACAAATACTTGCATTCCAAATAATTCAGATCTATGTACTTATGTTTTGCAATAAAATAAAAATGTGTTAGTCTCTTATTCTGATGTATGTAGAGATTTATCACACAATAAAAATTTCATACAGATATATCAAAAAATTTTGCTTGATAAATTGGTTGTATCAAAATCTTTACTTGTAAGGTATATCAGAAATGGTGCTTAAATTGACTCTTTCACAGTCAAAATGTTTGTTTAATTATTAAAAATCTAAAATAACCATTGATTAAAAAAAATCAGACAAATGATTATATATTGGTATGGTAGATCATTATTTCTTTAATAAACACATTAAAAAGTAATTTGTTTTATTTATCACTCTTATTTGTTAACATTTAAAAAAAAAATATGTCATAATTAAGTTATATGCTTGGAATGTGAAGAAAATACTTTTTACTATATGAAAAAATTAATATGACATTTACACGATAAGTCTTTAATTGGTACAATTGTTATATATCTAATTATAATAAAATACATTATATCTCTATTATTACTCGCAGCGTTCTTGATCACGTTTTAATACTCTAATTGCCAACTTTTTATTTTTAGCAATGCAGTGGCCAAAGAAACAAGATAAATTTTGTAAATAAACGGACTGCTTGTATTGTAGTGTAAATTTGTGTGTATCCCTTATATTAATATATAAATTAAATTATATAAAACACATAGGGAATTACATTTTTGCTCACAGTGTATAATATGAAAATTTATTTATATTACCTCTCAAATCTCTTCTTATTGTATTTCATAAGTGCGAGCGAGAGGTCTGATATTATTTTATCATTCGACACAATTCAATCCTTCGGTATATTAAGCAATAGGCTTATAATTTTTGTTTTTTACATACTACGACATTATTTCATTCATAGAAAACAACAGAAGACAATGCTTAATAAAATCATTGGCAATATTTCATAATAATTAATGAAGAAACTGTGAAGCAATTGTAATTTTTTTCATATTGTTCTCGATTGTTCTAATACCATTTACATAATACTATATATATGTACATTATTTACTTTCTAGTACACAACCTAGCCAGCCAACTAGTGGAATGTGTTATTAGAACAATCTGACCGATAGTGGAGAGAGATTGTACTGAGAACACGGTCGCCACGAAGTCGTATAGCAGTTTAGGAGAAAACACTGTCCATACAAACAGATGGTGTCTGAATATAACGGATATAACGCAGTAGATAACCAGCTGATACACTCGCTGCAACGCGAATATGTTGATGACGCGCCACACTGAGTTCAAGTATCTGAAATAAAAATATACATAAATTAATGAGATCAAAGATGTTTTCGAGTCTTGTTCATTTAAATGAAACTTATATTTTGCGGATATACTACATGACTTTATTTTTGTAAAATACTTCATACTCCCGACGTTTCGGCTACTTTTCAGCAACCGTGATCACGGGCAGACGAGATGTACTTACATAAAGTACTTAATAATAATCTCAAAGGTTCTTACAAGTGGGTAGATCGTCGTTAATAAATAATTAGCTATATTAAAGTTTTATTGAATAGTGTTATATGATATTTAATTCTTATTTAAGGTCATCTTGTATCATCGCAAATATTTTTTCCTGTAACGAGTAATGTTAGATATCTATTGGGGTTTCAATATGTTTATATATATTATAAAGATTATTTCAGAATTGGTGTCAAAGAAATATATATAGCATGAAGTAACTTAAAATATGACAAGCAAAAAGTAGCGACATCTAGTATGTGACACATCACATACAAAATATCTTGCAAGGACGATAAAGATTTCGATTTATAAGGTATGCTTATTTTTAAAGTTACGTCATCATGCTGAGATCTAATTTTTTTCATTCATATAACTGCCTCATTATAGCATGAAGTATGAACGTATGTTCTTGATTGAGAAACTAGCAACACTTCATAAGTGTTGTGACTATAAAAATGTACAATATCATAGAATCCAATTGTCTAAGATATATGTAGATCTTTTATTTAAAACTGCGGTACGGCTTTTTCTGTGAAAGCTTGAAAAACATCTATTCATACATTATTACATATATCTATATTTACAATGACAGTTGTATGTTTATTTACTTACTGTTGCCAATTGTTAGAGTGAGAAGACAACAAACAAAACAGACTAGCGCCGGCGAGAGCGGGGCCTGCGTAGGCGTGTAGACCCATCCGTAGCGCTACGCGGACGGCGCTGTACTCTCGTAGACCCACGTAGCCCGAGCCAAGGTCTACGGAGGCCAGGCTGTTTGAGTTACCCTGGAATTAACATGAATTCTTAAAGATTACGACCGTATCGTCAAATTATATACGGTTGGTTTGCAAGTTATTGAAGAATGTATCTTATATATAGCATTTAGGAAGCTCTCTTTGTTCTATTTGGCTATTACAAAATATAATTCTGTGAAAAATTCTATCTATTACGTTCTGATCGTATATATGTAATTAAATAACTTTGCTAATTAGTTATCATTAAGAATATTTCCCAACTTCATATGATAGTGAGCTTAATAGGTTGTACAAAAGCATTTAATTTAATATTTTTGTATCTAAATCTATAGTGATGCAAATATATGAGTTTCCATAAAATAATTTCCAATATAACTGCTTTCCTCATTATATTAATTTAGGCATATACTTTATCATACATATCAATCAAGGAATATCCACTTAAACATTATAACAATACTATATGATATGTAATAATATATTATTACCTGATAAAAGAAGAAAAGCATTCCAATCCAGAGATGTACCAGAGTTTTACTCAATAGATCAGCTATTTCAGTTTTTTTCACTCTAGAATCCAATAATCTATGGTCTAGACAAACTGACGTTAACTTACAAGTTAAATGTATACTGGGTACCATTATAACATTATGTGGTCGCATTAACAACACTATTATCATCATCATATCATTATACATGATATGAGATAACGAGTTAGCTAGATTTAGTTTAACATCATCCACACACCAGGGGTCAACATAAAATGGTACTTCACTTTTCTCCTTTGGTTTGATATAACCAAATTTATTACTAAATTTAGATACACCTATATATGATACGATCTCAAATATAAACTGAGATATTAATATACCCCAGAATATATTGACAATTATAACAGGATCTATAGATTTGGTTATCAATGAGGTAATTGAACCGGTGGCCATTCTATATGTCAACACGCAACCAAAGCCGACTACTGTTAACGCTGAATGCATCTGCATTATATTATTCATATGTTTCAAATTAACCATACATATCATGAATGTTAGGAATGTACCTGAAAATAAAATAAATGTATATATAATTGTATTGAAAATACTGTATTTGTAAGGTAGATGAAGATTCTCACCAATAATACAATGTAATTCCAAATAAAAAGAATTCTCTGGAGCATTCAACCAATCAGCTGTGTCTGGTAGGAATAACCATCTGTCACCAGTTTGATTCATTGTTCTTAAATATCTGTAAAATTAATAATTACTATGAATTAATAAAAAACATATATAGAAAAAAATATTTTGAACAGCAGGGTTCGAACATGAATCTTTTTTATTTTTATCTATGTTTCTATCTCAACATTGAAATGTTAAAAACGTAATTAATGAACATGAAATATTTTATATACATTGACTTGGAAGATTGTATTTATTCAACCAATATATTAAAAGTCGAGTCAAAGCACCAGTTTTGAAAATTTTACATTTAATATTCTTTATACTGGCACATCAAACACTTACTTCTTTATATCTAGTAAATTTAAATTTACAATATATGTCAGTACTGTGATATTGTGATATAGTTTCTGGACAACCTAGTCCTTAAAAAACTAATCTTAAACTCTTTGCATTTAAACATGCAACAAAATTGTAATAAATCAGAGTTTTAAACTTCTGTGAAAGTATTATTGAAAAATCGTAGACCAATTGTATTATACTAACAAAAAATCATTGATAATTGTCAATTAAGATGTCATTATAAACCATTTGTGCATTTTAAAATTCATTTTAATCTATATAAAAACTATAGTCAAAGTATCAACTTGTTCTATATTAAATCAGTTATTTTTTCTGAATATTAAGCCACCTCACCTATGAAGAGCGATGAGCATTATCCATTGTGGTACAATAATTATACCAACAGCACACATTCTATACTCCAAGTCCGGTTTATCTTGAACCTCAGTGGAACCAGACCATTTCTTACCAACATATATCACTATAACCGCAATCGTCTTCAATAAAACAACCAACATCAATGTATTCCATAGAAAATACCACGTCATATGCTCTTCTTCTATAAAACTTGTACCAAAGAACGACCAAGCATGAAAAAGTGTGCCGATTATCAATAAATAATCTATGGCATTCAAACTCCTGAGACTTGTTAAATCCTTAATATTTTCAATACAGTTCTTGATGATGAAATAAACTGCGGTTATGGTCATGGCCATGGCCATAAATGCCACACACCACAGCGGTTTGAACGAACAGAACTGTGATTTTGTTTCTGTTATGAAGCAAGTGGTCACCATAACGCTGGATATTATTGTGTAAATGACAGCAAATGCCACCATCGTGCTGGCATTAGAGCGATGATGATGATGAGGAATTATGTTTGTCTTCTGGTCGCGTTGAAGGGAATATAGAGCTATACACAACAGAGATATTGTTATCTGAAAAATACAGAGGAAAATGTGATCTAATTTGATAATGTATAAGGCTTAAAATCAATTAGGCAGTAGTGCGTTATATGGAAATAGAAATTTGAATTTTCTTCGGTATTGTGTCCTTTAAATTGAGATGAGTTAAAATTAAGGCAATAAAGAATTAATAATCTTTGAATCTAAACAAAACACAAAAATTATTTTAATATAACATCTCGTCTGCCCATGTTCATAGTTGACGCAAAAGTAACAAAAACGTCGGGAGTATGTAATTTTTTTAAATAATAAAATTACAAGCAGTAACCCGGATATATTAGTTTCATTTCAATTGGACTTAATAACTGATTACTTTGATAGTATGGCATAATTGAGTTAGTTTTATGGTGGAATATATATTTCATATAAACAAGTTGATACTCACCAAATAAAGGCATACGGTTGCTATAATAATAGCAAACATATCAAATTCCGTGGTGGTTTCCGTGAAGTGTTGAGCCATTCCGTGAAGTGACTCCTCGTAAAATTCTTTAGCTATTTTAGCAGCACTCTCATGACCAGTGGATAAATAGTTGGCGAATTGATTGGCGGCTCGCTTGTATTGTTTGTACATTTCTGAAAAATATACAGGGTGACTGGTGAATTACTATCAATATTTGAGGAGAGTACTCGGTATATGATTCTCATTTGAATTATGTAAAAAAATAGGTACTTAATTTTTGACCAAATTTCCGTATAAATAAATAAAGTGTGGACACGTTCCAAGTGTTCCAAGTGTGGACGCGTGCGGCGGCGTGCTGATACAACACTATGCCTCCGCACGCGTATGTGTGTGTGTGTGTATACCTAATCTGTAGGGTGTTCACACGATGCGTAATTAATTACATAACTTTTGGTTAACTTTACTTAGAAGTTTATTAATATTTATGTTATATTAATTTTTATTCTGTCATATATCATCGTCAAATATCACGTTCTCAAGTATCGATAGTAATTCACCAGTCACCCTGTATATTTATACGAATAAGATTTCAATTTGCTAATTTATATCATAGTGGCTGTGAAAAACAAGCAAATGAATTTTATGTTTTTTTATGGTTGTTATATTTAGCAATAAATAGTAGTTTTATGGCTCCAAATTATTATCTTTTTGCAACCATTTTAGGGCTGAGATTTTAATGCAATTTATGAGGGTAGTTTTTGATGTAAAAGAGGAAGTTAATTATGACTCTTCAAATTACCTAACTTAGTTTAACTGGCTGAAAATATATCAATCATTAGAAAAAAAAATATTTAAAAATAGAATGATTTAAATTCAAGTATACCAGTATCAGTGGATATCAGTTTAGCGATCTGGCTCGCCTGTACATGTAGTAAATACAGGTTCTGCCTCACGTCACGCGGCATCAATGACGGTAGGATGACTCCCACGCTGTCTCCTGGTAGGGGACAGTTTAGTAACCACGAGATAGTAGGGGCCACGTCCACCTGGGACACTGTAGGGCCCGGACCTGACCTGAATCATACAGACAATATTATTCAACCTTAAACGAAACTAATATTTTCAGATTAAGATGAGATGTGAGTGTCTGTCAGTTGGTCTTGTTATTTTATCACCTACCGCCATCGATTTCTTAATCTTTTACAAATAATAAAAATAACGTCATAGATAACATTAAATTTATTTATTATTATTGAGTAAGCTACAAAATTGCCAATTTAAGAATATAGTGAACAAAAATACTGTTTTATTTTATTTTGTATGGTAAAGGGAAATTATTATTTTTAATAATCTTAGTATATTGTGCTTTTTATTACTTACGGGTATGGGCACTTGAAGTCTTTACTTCTAATGACCACGAGAGGTACTAGGACCTCGGAGGGCGAAGCCCCACCATGTCCACCGGCGTCCCGCATGCCGTGATCACCACATACTATTAATGTACCAACACTGTCCTGGAACATTTAAAACTAATTCATATTGATATTGCAGCAATTTTGGATATAATTAATATAACTTCACATATATCAGGATATATATGCAGAATGCAGGCATCTGTCAATGAATTTTTTTGTTATATTTTTATAATATATATATTGCACCTAATTGTTCATGATATGTAGCCTTTACAATTTGTATATACAGTACATTGTTGAGATGATTGGTAAAATTTAAAAACATATATAGAGAAAATGAATTTAAAGATAAAAAAATCTTATTAATCAAGAAAAGTAAGGCTTGTTTTTGTGTATAAAATGCAATTATAAATATCTTCACCCATTGCTGCATAGCATAATATATTTTCTTGATAACTTCATCCATCTCAATTAATTTTGGCTTAATCTTAGGGCTCCTGGCGCCTTCCAAATGTCCAATGTGATCCAAGCCTAAGTAGTGAAGTACGAGGAAATCAAAATTTGGTTTGTTTTTGTCATCCGGTGTTAAAACTTTATCTAGATGTCGCGTTACGTTATTGTCTACCTGAAATTATAGTTTTTAGATTAAATTCATACTTCTATCATCTATGTAATGAAACAATAGATTTGTATAAAAAATATACTTAAAGAAATTGTATCAGTACTAAAGAACTAATATTCCTTTTGTCTTATTCTTGAATTGACTTTAATACAACTTATTGTCATCAGCCTATCAGAGCTCATTGCTGAGCAAAGGCCTCTTTCTCACATGGAGAAGGTTTGAGCATTAATCACCACACTCGCTCAAGACAGGTTGGTGATTTCAAACTTATATTGTGAAACTATAAGTGCAGGTTTCCTCACGATGTTTTCCTTCACCATATGTCAGTGGTGTCTAAATACTCTTAGAAAGTACAACTTATTACCTCAGTATAATCTGTTACAAAGAATGATGTAGTTCCATCTGTTTCTGTCCAAAGTCCTGGGAATAATCTCAACCAAGTGTCATCTCCATATAAAATTGTCCGAAGCCCTCTCGACTTGGCCACTCTTAACACACTATCACCTTGAACAGCCGGAGCACCGAAATTAAGAGCTACGTCCGCAAACGTTGACACACTACCAGTCATCATTGCCTGAAAATAGAGGACAAACATTTTATGATATATGTATGTATATGTATATGACATAAATAATTATTATACAGGGTGACTGGTGAATTACTATCGATATTTGAGGACGTGATATTTGACGATCATATATGACAAAATAAAAATTAATATAACATAAATATTAATAAACTTCTAAGTAAAGTTAACCAAAAGTTATGTAATTAATTACGCATCGTGTGAACACCCTACAGATTAGGTATACACTGACACTCACACATACGCATGTCGTGACGTGGTGTTGTATCAACACGTCGCCGCACGCGTCCACACTTGAACACTTGGAACGTGTCAACACTTTACTTATTTATACGGAAATTTTGTCAAAAATTAAGTGCCTATTTTTTTTACATAATTCGAATGAGAATCATGTACCGAGTATGCTCCTTAAATATTGATAGTAATTCACCAGTCACCCTGTATATATTAAAAAACTAAAATGATGTCTCAACAATATTTTAAAGTATTAATGGAGTGCATGCATGATTGGTAATGATAAAGCCTTGAACATATATATAAACCTATACAGAATAATATATGTATATTTTAAGTTACTTTTATAATTTAAGAAGCACAAAAATTTACGAAAAAGGAAAGTTTTTAGATATTCTTCACAATTTTATAATAAAATAGTTGACAAAAAAAAGAAGGAATTTGAGCTAATAACATGTTTTATGGTTTTTGACTGACCAAAAAACTAACAAAGATGTTATAGTACATACACATATTTTTTATATATTTAATTGTATGTAAAATATTTATATATTTTCACATAATAAAGTTTAAACATGCATGATATATGTAAGTATTACACACACTACCCATATAATGCAATACTTGTTAGTCAGTTAGTAGCAATAACTACTCATGCGTGATCCACACATTAACTTGCTAGAGTGCAAACTTAATGTTTCAATAAAATTATAATAAGCACATTCGAAATCACAAAACCAAAGAAAAAATTAAAAAAAAAAACACATTATTACTGTATATTTAAGGTGAAATATTTTAAAAAGGTTATCTAATAGTTTTTTTCTTTGGCTTTTGTAATAAAAAGCAAAGCAGTGTAATTACAAACTGTGACACTTGCAAATATATCCCTCCAGAAGTTTATAGTGCGACGCCACTGTGCCTTCTCCTTTTTTCGTTCTGGTGACTGCACAATATTATATTATATATATGGTTTAATCAATAATACAAGTAATATAATTTTTCTTTGGTAATGTGATTTTAATCCATGCTACTTCATGTCACTATTTCTATTTTTGAAACAAAGATATTTTTAATAAGTATGTAAATTAAAATATTAATTTAATTAAATTTAAATGCAATTTTAATTAATTTTTTCAACTAAGTGGTATATTATATTGATTGTAAACATAATGGAAAATAAATCATTATAAATTTCATTTAAAACCTAAACACATTCCGCTGTGCTCATTCTTCTAAAAAAAAGCTTAAGAATATTTGGTTTACTGAATTTTTCTATACATTACTTGTGTGATTGTTAACTTATGTTATAACATTACATTATATATTTATACATATGTAAATACCTTAATTCTTGGCATTGTTACAGTCGGGGGTTCAGCTACCGAGACATATATACAGGCTGATTTATTTTTTATTATTTCCCCAGTGAATGGCATGTATTCTTCGGTCACAAAGTCATATCTCAATCCATCGATCACCATTAGAATAACTGTGTTTTGTCCGGGATTATAAACCTCATGACCGTCAATACTATAAAAAGGGATAAAAATGTAAATAAATCAGTATATTTATTTTGTGGTTACATTTCAGTGTTATTGTAGAGAGTTTATAGTAGATAATACTTTACCTGACTCCTTCAATAAAATTAGGAAGATCATCCATGTGTGCAAGGTTGCCAGAATGATATTTTAAAGGGAAAAACCCATATAAAAAGAGACATAGTGATCCTAAAGCTGCTACCACAAGCCACAAACTCGTCCAACGGTGTTGAACCCACGGTAACATTTTTGTTTTTTCAATAACACAAGTTGTTGACGTCCATATCACGTTATTAACAACTTTGTTCACTTGGCCGTTTACTCATTTCTACGCACGACTTCCAATGACGGTAGGATTAGGTAATAGACTATACTTTTTAGTACAATTGCCGTATTGGTAACTTTATCAGTCTATCGTAATAAGATAAGGTTCAATTTCCATGCCGGCAAGTAGTTCTGCAGGCACAAGAAAGGTTTTTATATTACATTTAATTCCCTTATTTGTGTTAAATTTAAAACAAACGTAAATATTTGGTGATGAAGGAATTGTCTTGAAGTAACTATTCTAAGAAACTTTTCAAATTAGGTATTATTTCGTTTGTATTCATAAAGATACATTTATTTGTTTTTAAAGTTGACATTGACATAACATTTGACAGCTTAGTTCTTATTAGTTACCGAATACCGGCATTATGCAAAAAATAGGGAAAAGTGTAAAAAAGACATTAATATAATTATTTGGGAGCCAACCGAAAAGTTAAACGTTTTCCAGCCCTTCAAAGATGTATAAAATAATTAGTATTATGTAATATAATTAGTATAATGTTTAAAAATCTACCTTCAAGTTAGCCTCCCTATTGCAACTTTTCATATTTTTCCATCAATGATGACCTATGATTTTGATTGTTCTTACATAATCTTCCATGCTACTCATTTTTTGTTCTGCTCTTCGCTGCGAATGTGTCAACTAGACGCTTAAACTTTAAATTCAGTTAAATCGAAAAAAAAAATTACAAAAAATAATTGTTAAATGAACAAATGAATCAAAAGCTGAAAGGTCAAAAAAAGCAAAACAAATATTTTTTTGCTGGACTAACTTTGGGGAGCCGAATATGACTCAATTTTATTTATGATTGTTATCGGTGCATATTTGCTACGTATATAACGCGAATTTCTCTAAATATGTGGCTGAATGTTTCAAAATATGTATATGTATTAAAGATATGGGCTATGAAACACTCATACATTAAGATTAACTACACAACTAGTGCCATCTAAATTCGGTGGTCTATTAATTTGTCACTAAGCTGTATGTTATTGACGATAGATGGCAGTATTTACGTCATTTACTCAAGTTCATTTTTGTAATTCCTTGTTAAGCGGGAAATTTTGTAGTTTGCGTTTCTTGATATATTTTATACTATTCAGATAGTTTGAAGATTTTTTGAACTCCTTTGATCTACATGATGACTAAACTGATCGCAGAATCTATAATTTACCATAATAGACCAGTACAGGAGCCTCTAAAATTAATGAGAAGTGAAAATAAATTATAGTAGAATGAAACTCATCAGAAAAGGAGGGGAATATCATAAAAATGAAGAGGGGAATATCATAAAAATTGTTTTAGAGTTTAGACGATGCACTATATGTGTTAGGTATGAATTTTATGTTGCAACTTTAGCAAACAAATGTACGCTACACTAATTTATCATTGGCAAATATTAAATAGATAGTGGTTTCACTTAAATATTACTATAAAAACACGCCCAAGAAGAAAAAATATTTGAAGCCTTAATTACAGTGTGAAGAAAATTGTAACGTTCCATAAAAAAAAATTAATAAGCTGGTGAGACTTTAATACGTTGTCATAAGGTTTACATTTGCTTTGGAATATGATAACATTTTAGGATTTCTACTAAATTCTAGTAGCATCCAATTCGTTTACGCCGGGATTTCCCCGTGTTTTTTCTTCTCGAACCACAGTGGATTGTTTCACTCAACAACATCGCATTATTTGAGGGATAGATTTAGTTTACTTACATTTTCCTGCTATTTAAATGTGGAAAGATTTTCCTTTCAAAATACGAATGTCTAAAATATTTTTATGTTATTTATCTGTCTATATTTATTGTTATTTATCTGTCTATATTTATATACATTCTATTACCCAAATATATATTTTAAATTATTTACCTGTATTAATGTAGTAGCCTCCACATATTAATACGAATTTGTATTATAATGACACTACTACAATATTCTACGTCACTACATTCCTTACTTATAATTTAGATTGTCTGGAAGAGATTGTCATTTGGAAATAAGACCACGTCTTTATATCACAGTACCTATTTTGTATTTCTTTTTCGTTATATTTCTTCCTTTATAGTGTGTATCAAATAATATATTAAATAAATACATAAATATAAGTCTTCAAAAATGGTTTGTTGTGACAACGACCTTAATTATTCCGTAAAAAGTTGTACAATATCGATTCATTTCAGTTTTAAAAGACTTGGCATATTTGCTACGATTTTGTGTAAAGAAATTTAATTTTTGGAGTAGATAGGAAGTTGAAACATTTTCCTTTTATATTTAGGTATACATTTTAAAATTGTTTAACAATCATTTTCAATATTGTTGATATGTAAGTTAAGCTATATAATAAAAAAAGTCTTGATAGGCTTTCATTATTCTGTAATACTACTAGTATTCACACTAAAACTCTCTTTTATAGTGTCGTAGGTCAATAAACATAAATAAATAGTTTTTGTTTGATATCAAACTGTCCTTTACATTCTTTTAAATATATAATCTTGTTATTTTCATTATACGAACTCTATTATTAGCCTCTGAATAAGCACAGTATTAAAATAGCTCCCTTCACATGAGACAATCGACCGCGTACACATCTAGAAATATAAATGTTTAAAAATGAACCAAAATAATAAGGTGTGCGAATCATCTCGCCCACGTTTAATATGTGCTTTATTCTCGAAAGACACCTACATTTTTCAATGCACAATATTTTCAGTCATCGATACAAATCATGATTGAGATGACAATGTTTTAGATAAAGTGTTTAATATATTTTTTATTATATATTATTAAAATAATTAAAATGGCTCATCTATATTAATTTTATTATTTAAATATATTTTTAATATTATATATATTTTCTTTATAATAACTGGGATAATTACTTTATGAATAAAGCAATAAAATATAAAGACATCAAAACTTGTAAAATACATAATATTTTTAATATTATACGGCGAATATTAAATATTTCGGAGGCTTTTTTGCTGCTCAATAATAAGTAGTCGTACTGCGTACATAGGTTTATCAGAATTTATAATATTGGATATCACATTAAGTTGTGAAAAAGTGAACGTCGGGAGTATGTAGTTTTTAAAAATAACAAAATAAGAATAGTTAGCACAAAAGTATTAGTTTATTTGAATACTCGCGAAAGCCTTAAATCTCATTAAGTGAAAAATCACTTGTAAAATGTAATTAACCTTGTGATATCAAAAAGATATATAATTAGTCTCCCTTGATATATAAATTCTCGTAATATTTCAAAAGCATCATGGTCTCCCTACTCAGCCAAGTTCAAGGTGTTCCCTGATTCATACAGTGTGGGATGCTGAAACTTCTATTTAAATCCGTACTGAAACCCGCTTCTTTAGTCTCGAGCACAACGCAGCGTGCCTGCAACGAACTGAAAAACACAAGGTGAGATGTTTTATTATATTTTATTCATATTATTATATTTTGTATTCGAGAATCTATTTTATTTATATATGAATAAGGTTTAATTTAATATGTTTAGTTATTTTTTAGTTGGTTATTGTTTATGATGGTAAAAAAAAGAGTTTTTATGTTATCAATCAACCTCTACAGTGTAAGAGACTTAGATACTTTATAGACAATGTTTTTTTTTGGTTAGTATCTGTAATGTGATACACAGCCGTATGTATTACGTTTTGCATCATATCTATAAACGTGTTCAGGTGATCATTTTATGGAATCTTTCCAGAATGTTCCTGATCTCAATAACATTGAAAATGTTATTATGTTATGAGATCTCTTTCGTCTAATTTTTGTTTCTAATGAAAATAAAAGTATTAAGTTAATCTATTCATTTTTATGCAAAAATATTTGTAGAAATAACTTAAAATTTTTATACTTATTAATCAATGAAATCACAATTTTTAAGGTGTTTTGAAAGTAATAATATTTATTATTTGGGTAAATTACTAAAATGTTGTGATATTTATGTTTACTGTTCAAATATCTTAAAATAAACGCATCATCGGCATCGTTTGCCTTGTGCTGATTTGTAGATATTTTAATGGCCACAGAGTTGATGCAATCGTTGCTTTTGGAACTACTCAGATTTTATTGTGAACAAATATAGATATTTGTAAAATAAAACTATTAGTTAAATTTATTATTAGCAAAGTAACATTTTAAAATTGTACTCGCGAAAATCTTAGACATCATTATATAGATATAGCAAAAAAATGTTGGTTTAAATATTGATTTTCATGAATATTCTTATAATATTTCAATTAATTATACTATTACTATATTTTTCTTACATTTATTGTTTTCTATGCATTATTTCTCTTTACTTATATGAATATAATTATAATTTCCAGATGTCTATAGTACCAATGTTATTTCGTGATTGGTGGGACGACTGGGAGCGTCCTTCCAGGCTGATGGACCAGCACTTCGGGATGGGCTTGAAGAGGGACGAGCTGCTCTCATCACTCGCCATGCCTAGCAGTTCCATCTTCAGAAATTCCTACTTTAGACCCTGGAGGACAAGTCTTGCGAGACAGGAATCCTCGTCTACTATTAACCTCACCAAGGAGAAATTTGAGGTGAGCTTAGCTTGAAAGTAATAAAAAACTATTTAGAAATATTGGCACTGTTTCAGAGGAAACTATACGCATATTGAATTGATACTTGAATTTCCAGGTGATCCTTGATGTACAGCAATTTGCACCAGAGGAGATAACAGTGAAGGCGTCAAACAATTGCATTGTGGTTGAAGGAAAACACGAAGAGAAACAGGACGAGCATGGCTTCATCTCGCGCCAGTTTACTCGCAGATACATCCTCCCGAGCGGATATGACGTCGCCGACCTGGTCAGCACTCTATCCTCTGACGGAGTACTTACAATCACCGCCCCAAAACGACCTCCACCGAACAACGGAGAGAGGGTCATACCTATCATGAAGACTGGTCCAGTTAAACAACCAGAAGCACCAAAAACTCCAGAACAACCAAGGGAACAGACCGTCCCAATAGTAACCTCGCCTTAAGTGCTCCGAGACGAATGCAACGATCGAAATATAACTAGCATTTACGTCTTATTATTATAAATTAAACCGCTGTTGGCCAACAACGGCAACCCAATGAATCGAACGATATAATGTGAAATATTACTGTAAATATTTATAATATATTATAATTATTTCTATTTCATTCCTATTATTACCTACGTTCATTTAATTTCAAATAGCAGTAACAAGGATTGGCTGCATGAAATAAATTGTACACATTATACATCACAAGTCGTAAAGCATTGCCAACGCGGAGACACAACAGTAGGTTAGTTATTTTAAATCCTTGAACTAACCAAACCGCGACCGTACATTAATGATAGGCAAATGCGAAAAGCCGCAGAAACCAATAATACTACACTCCGACAAACTCATATAATGTATAATATTTCTCTCGTTAATGTGAACCGCCGTCCATCGGCCATTCTGGAACCATGTATGGAATAAAAATGTCAGGATATTGACGAATTTTCTATAACTCAAACGTCGGTTGGAAAGCAATAAATGTTTTACAAATTTAATTCCCTCTCGCTTGCTGTTCAATAATATTGTTAATTTATCATTGTGACGGAGGGCGTATGAAGTTAAGGGAGCGAGGAATGTTGATGACTTTTGATACTATTATGTAAACAACATAGGAATGTTAAATGAAGTCATTAGGTTTTTTTATTAAATTATCAACTCGTCACTCTCATACTATACATTGTTTTCATATTTTAGGGGTTAATACTTAAGTAATCTGTTATTAACATCGCTCCTGACATCTACCGAGATATTAAAATACTGTGTTTTTCATAACAGCGACATCTACAATAGCTTTATAGAACTATGTATCTTTTCGTTTATATTTGACAATAGATGGCGTTAAGAGTCCGACAATCGTTTTGCCTGAAAATGATAATTTGCTAATAAGCTTGACCATACTAAGTTGGCCAGAAAACAAGGTAAATAATAATTTACAATCGATAAAGAAATGAAGAACATATCATGTGTGTCTTTACTTTCGACGAATAATTCTATTTAATTATTACTTTGAAATATTTTGCAACATAATTATAATTTTATTATCTTCTTCATTGTCAAAGCTCAGTCGAAAGAATTGGATGAAAATTAATATAACCAATATATATCAGGACGTGCCAGTTACCTTTTTACAATACTTAATACAACCAATGTAGTTTCTAATGATTCACAATCGGTACAAAATCGGTTTAACTCGTTTCCCGTTTACCGCAGTCAGGTAGAAAGTGTTTATTAGGGGTTGTGTACTTTAGAAGAGATAACTTATTGTTTGAGAATAATGAAAATTATTAAAATTGTTGTATTATCTTTGTTAGTTTAAGAGTATTTAGAGAATTATTCTTTATATAGATAGATGTTCTTTCGTATTTTATATCGCTGTGAGTAGATAGAATGAGATTTGAGTTAAATTATATTATAATTACATTTTTGTCTTCGTTATATTAAATATTTATGTGTTGATATTAAACATTAAATTGTATTCTTGTTATTTATATATATAGTCTTTCCAAGTAAATGTATTTGTATATATGTAGTTACATAAAAAACTGTGTATTAAAGGAAATTTCACATCAACTAGGTTCTAACTCAGTTACAATATCGAAAAATAATATAAAACGTTTTTTTTATGGAAATAATTTCGATATACATATAGGTAAATGTGGTTACTATAAATCCCACATTAAATTTCTACTTAACCAGAAATAACATGTTATTTAGTAAAATAAATAAATGAAATTAAAAAGATCGCTTAGTAAGAATGTTTTTCGTGATTAATTAAAACATGAGAAAAAGGAAAAAAACTTTTTCACCTGTTCGACGATAAAATGAGTCGTTTAAAACAATTTTCTTAAGTTGCCACCTTACTTGGGTCGAAGGTGTTGTTTTAAAGAAAAAAATAGTTTTATTTCTTCTGAACAATTGACATTAGTCATATTATGATGATTAATTTAAATTTTATATGTCACTTTTTCTTTACTGGAGGAATTTTTTTTGGACTTCGGAAGGATGATCTTACAAAAATAGTTATTTTTTTAAAGGTATTTATGATTATAAATACATATTTATAAAAAAAATATATTTTATGAGCTCCAGGAAACATTATACAATGTGTATCTTCGTTCGTTATTATTATCGTATAAAAAAAAAATTTGGCTGTTTACAAAATATTATCATCAAAAAGTTTATTGTATCGTTTCCATCGTTTGTTTTTTAATAAACAAGTCGTCACTTTATATACTTGCAACATTGAATATCATAGACAGAAAAATTTAAATGATTTCTCATTCCTAACAAACCGAGTAAAAACAGAAAAAATAAAACGTTGTAAAGTTAAATTACCACACTTTCGTTTAACAATATTCAGAATTCGCATTAGTTAATGTGCGAAATAAGAGTTGGATGAGCTGGTAATAGATCTCGCGGCTGTGGGCCACGGAGGGGGTGAGGTGAGGGGGGAGGGGTAGCGGCAGCGGGGGAGGGGGAGGGGTACCATCAATCAGCCCAGAGCGATTACCAAGTGGCTGGCACAATAAAGAAGATTCAGCGGCTGATAGTACTAAAAATATTCTATGAAAAAAGATAGGTTCGTAACACTATGTGACTATTCATACGTAATTATACAGGGTGACTGGTGAATTACTATCGATATTTGAGGACGTGATATTTGACGATCATATATGACAAAATAAAAATTAATATAACATAAATATTAATAAACTTCTAAGTAAAGTTAACCAATAGTTATGTAATTAATTACGCATCGTATGAACACCCTACAGATTAGGTATACACACACACTCACACAGACGCGGCGGCGGCATAGTGTTGTATCAGCACGCCGCCGCACGCGTCCACACTTGGAACACTTGGAACGTGTCCACACTTTATTTATTTATACGGAAATTTGGTCAAAAATTAAGTACCTATTTTTTTTACATAATTCGAATGAGAATCATGTACCGAGTATTCTCCTTAAATATTGATAGTAATTCACCAGTCACCCTGTATATGTATATCAATTTATGTTTATAATTGTTATTCTTACAAACAGTAAGTATTTTCACTTGTTGTTTGAACTCATTGTAAAATGTCGCACAGTAAGCTCCATAGTTATGAAGATTATAATGAAGTCTTAGGAATTAAATAAAGTTAAATAGGTTTTACTTCAATATCTTCTTTATTTTAATTCTTTTTTTTTATTAAATTTAGACTTTTATTACGTAAAAACAATACTTAATCGAATTATAACAATTCACAATAATATTTTGAACAGTTTAAAGCTATAGATAACACAATATGTTCGGAGAATGATATCTAGTTTTATTTCAATGTTTGGAGAAAATAAAAAAATCATTATTTTGTTTTTGATAATTAAAAATATTCATTCTTATATATTATGTAGGTATTAGTACCTTTTCCGGCGTCGGGACGTGACGACCCCATCGCCCACTGGTGTATTCCGGTGCAATCAGTCACGGGGGGAGGGCTGGGGGTACAGCTCTGGGAGTAAGACGGTCACGGATCTGGCAGGAGGCCGTCCGTGGCTGTCTTGGGGGGGAGGGGATACTCGGGTCTCTCCGGAGGCCTGAGTTCGCTTGTGGTCGGTCGGTTTCCTCTCTGTCTGCCGTCGGGCGCTTGCGCTCGTCGGTGGGTGGTTGGAGACCGGCCGCGTGGGCTTGGGTGGGAGGGGTAAGGGGTTAACCCTCTCGCGATTAAGCAAGCCCGCCAGGCGGGGGGACACTCCTGGTCACTTGGAGTGAGCCCTCGGGGGGGGAGGTGGCCGTTCGCGGCCCGCCGCCGGATCGTCGCGGATGCATGCTTCGGCGTTTCCCGTGGCGATCCACTTGGCGGCAACGGAGAGTGACCGCTGGTGTTTTAGTGGGTAACATGGGCCCTTCTGGCCGTGAATCCCACATAACCGCCTCTGTCTCCCCTAGACAGAGGGGTAGGTATAAAACCTTTCACCGCGATAACAAAAAAAAAAAAAAAAAAAGGTATTAGTACCTTTGGAAAAAAGGATCTGTGAAATCTGACAAATGCCATTTTGACATCTAAATGAGATAGAATAAAATAATAATTACGCTGACATTGGTAAAATATTTATCAATACCAGTGCGAATGTAGTCATATCATTAAAAAAAATAATTATATTGTGCGAATGAAGTTTTAGATAAAAATATTATTAATTTTTATTGACATTGGCAGAATGCATTAAGCAAACTCGCACTGGCCGAAAAAGTAAAATGAAATAATTAAAAAGTTAAGCTTGTATAGTCTATGACTTGGAGTGTTAACAAACAAGTCCAGTGTGCAGTTCGACAAGCGATTGATCTGGCGGCCGTATTAATTGCTCTCGTCTGTAGCTCGCTGTAAATGCGAGTTGCCCTGCTCTAGCCTCTATGGTCTATACCAAGTTATATCTGTTTAAATAATTACTATTACCAACGATTTCCTCAAACGGTTCTTGGTGCGTATGAATCATCTGTATTCAATTTAGTTGCATATTTAAATAGTTTGCTAGATAACTTTGTTTAAAAAATTGTTGGACTTTAACAAAATTTTCTTCTAATTAGGTTTGATTTATTAGATTTCCACGTTTATTATTGACTAAAATAGGTATATTAAGTTATTCTTTGGTTTTTAAGATTTAAAAACATTTATTATCATTTTAGGTGTAGAAGTTAAATAAAAGGCAATACCTATGTTCGATTTAATACGGTGATATCCAAACATATGCTAAGATTTATTGTTTAATTAGTGAGGATTGAGGGAGTTATGTATGATTTCAATAAAACAAGAAGAGTCGGTCTATCATGTATTCTGAAAAAAATTCTTCCCTAATTACAGCAATACTGAAAATGATAAAATTATTTATCAATACGCCTCTGGTGTCCATAACGTAAAATAGCTCTTCAAAAGTCTTAGGTTTAAGGTTAATTGAACCCTGTATGATATTTCAATATGTTTTTTCGGCAGTTTACCTTTCGACCCTTAATTTTTGTTATTCATTTTGGATAGGACTTAGAGATTTCTTGTTTAAAGAATACGGGTTCAGAAACCTCGCGATTACTGTTATCTTCTTCTACCTGGCAATTTCCCAGCTATAGCCAGGGGTCTGCCTTACATGTTGTGAATAGTTTTTGGCTATTGGTTTTTACGACCGGCCGCCTGCCTGACATCAACCCTCTTGTGGGAATCAACATTAATCACTGATGTCTAAATACTCTTAGAAAGTACATATGACTCGGAAAAATCACCTTGGTACTTGCTCGGGTCAGAATCGAACCCGCACCCACGGCAACGAGAGGCGAGCCCTTTTAACCACTAGGCCACCACTTATTAGTTATATATCTACTTAAAACCAAGAGATTTAATTCTATTTTGCTATTCAACCGGGAAAATATTAAGTAAAGATAATGAGGAGTTGCTAGAACAACGAATATACGATTATATATTCAATAAATATTCCTTAAATTAACGAATAACATTTCAAACGTTATGCTGCATAAAATATAACTTATATACACGACATAAAATAAAGATTTGAATGACAAAACAATTAAGTTTAAAACTGTGGCCAAGAAAAAACATGATAAAGAATTTAACTGTAGTATCTTACTTAGCTTACTTATACCTATCGTACATATGTATGGCTTTATTTTTTCTATTTTTTATGATAAGTTTGTACTAACGCTACAAACTTTAAAGCGAAAACATAAATGGTCAATCTCCAGTGTGAATGAAGACTTATCAGTTGGAGTTTGCATAACAGAGCATTTGCTGTAATCAATTCGAACAAACAACTGTTTTCATGACGTTTTTTTTCAGTTGAAGTCATTTGTTGTATTCTTCTTAACCTCACATTGATAAATATCAGTTGAGCCGGTTTTTTATGATTACGTGATTTGTATTTAATTAATGCCATCCTTTTTCTCAGTGATGAAATTGAAGATATTTTAAATTACTCTTAATATACTAAATGGTTAAAAACTAAGATATCATTGTACCATCTTTATATTAGTTACGAAAGAGATTACTCATTTAATAACCCTTAATACTTGCTTGAATGTGCGAAGATTTGTGAAGGCAAAACTGCAAACGCGCCGTATCTTGTGTGAAGTATCTTGATGCACACTTGTGGTAATTATACCTACCAATTCTGAGTATTCAAGGAACAGGAAAAATTGCTTCAATTCAAGACCATCCTAATATATAGAATAGGGGAGAAGAATGTCACTAACGGGGAATGTCTTCCTGACAATTACATGACCTATCTCATTTATTAATTATAATAAAAATATTTAATATTAATAACAAATAATTTCTTTTATTGTGTTTATTGTGTTATACCTATAAGACCTATGCGCTTCTCTGATTTTGTGACTTTAGAAGGTATAAGAATTTCTAAGCTTTAAGCTAATTAGTGGAAATACAAATTTAGTAAGTGACAATTCTATGATTTTTTTAACTCTGTAAATCATATCTGAGATGTAATTGCACATATCAGATTTAAGACGTAGGATAATTTAAACGAGATTATATAGAAAACTATTATTACGTTCATATTAGCTGTTATATGTGATATTGTTTGGTTTAGTGTATGTATTGTAGCAATTTAATTAAAGATTTTAAGGCAAATAAAAGAAAACCTTTTCAGAGAATATTATAGTTATTTGTACAACAAATATTTTAAAAATTGAATGCAATTAAAATTACAATGCATACATTAATTCCATACATCGAAACCAATTTTTTTAACCACGTCTTTTATATAAATTTTATTTGAGATTTAGCTAAAGAATTTTATTATTATTATTACATATTTTTCTATCACTATTTAATATATATACCTATACGCATTTATTTCTTAATTTTTATTGTAATTTAATTTTATTACTAACTCCTTAAAAACGATAAAGATATATTCATTTACATTTGTTTTAGAACACAGCTATTTCGATGTTAAATTTTCGTGCTATTTTTAATGCATGTAAACAGTTCAATTTGAAATGCCAGTTAAAATTTTATACAGCGATAATAAACGTTATTCTTACAACAATAACTTGGTATATATTTTAATAAATAAAGAAATTTATATTGGAAAACTTTCTTCTATTTAAAATATTTCTTGAAATAAATTTTTACATCACATTTAGATCGATCATTTAGTTTTTAATAATGACTTGGAATAAACATATCGGGATGCTGACACTGAATTTCTTATCAATATTTAAGTTTTTTATCATTTTTACTAAACTAAATGCATACAAATTCAAAATCCTCTACACAAAAATTATTGTGTTTTGTAGATAAATGCCCTTCAATCAGTGCTCAAAAGTTTCAATTCATTTATAATAAACAGAAAATATATATTTTTAATAACATATTTTATAAACATATTACTTATGTATATTTTGCAAGCAATAAAAAAATAAAACGTATTTCTTTTCTATGTATATTAGTGTCGAAAAATAAAATTGATTAATATTTAAATCACCTCATTAACAAACCAATTTTCAATTGTTTAAAGAAAAATATAGAAAGTCGCTATATTTTACAAAACTAAAATATACGATCAAATAAGGAATATAAAATTATATTTAGATACATGTATCATTACTATTATAATAACAAATAAAACCTATTATAAAGTTATGTTAACGACGTCCTTAAAAACAAGGAAATGATGTTTAATGCGACATCGTATAAACGTTTAGCCCTCGCCCGCATTATGTTCGCTGAGAGCTGAGTCGCTAGCATGAATATTAATAAGGTATCGATTGTAATTGTTTTATAGTAGAAATAAAAACAGAAACGCAACGGGCGGAGCGTATAACAGAAATATGCTTTTGATATCGCTACGTTGATTCGCCGTGACGCGAGACGCCTCGGGGCGGAGTCTTCGGTGAGGTCCGCGGGGACGCCACGGTCGCGCTAACCGACAACGAACACTCAGTCCGCATTACACTACAGTACGCGACACAACGCGCGCCGACGCCATTAGCCACACTCGCGTTACTGTGAGCGACACGTGCCGTTGCTTTGTAATCACCGTGTGATATAAACCGCCAAGATTCGGGTTAAGAATCGTGACCCGGTGCCGGCGTACGCCATGGCCGACGCCGACAGAGACTCGGATCTTGGAGACGACAGCCCCATGGTGAGTATTTACAAATTACATGTTTACATGACATATACACTATGTATAGTACCCGCATTAGACGCTTCCTACATAACTGATTGTTGATACATTAAGGAACTACATGATTATTTATCGTAACGGATTTTAGAATGTTTTGATGATTTTAATTTCATGATTTATAAGTGTTTTTATCATGTGATTTGTTCATAGTAATTATTTAAAACGTTATTATGTATGAAAAGTGTCATATTGAGTCGTATTGAAGTGATCACGCTGATAAATATTGTTTAAATATTTGTACGAAATGTGTTGAACAGTGAAAGTTTTAATTTAACTTTAAAGAAAGGTTGGTGATTTATTTCGTAGTCTGTTTTCATTAATCTCTTGCATAAGAACTTCTGAGGGTTATTAAAAGGCATTAACTCATCATTCGTTCATCGGTTAAAATTAGTTTTGGTTATAACAAAGGTTATGTATGTAAACCGTTGCCATGGTATTTATTGAATATTCTTGTTAGATTTTGTTTTTTAAAGAATGAATGAAATCCAACCAGATTTTGTGTTTAATATCCATGTTCAATAGTTTTTTTTGGTTTTTACTTATTGTAATTTTAGTAATAATACAAATGATATGCCGAAAAAAATTCAAACTATTGTTATTTATAAAAGAATACATATTTTCCTTGATACTTAAAGACTAATCTAATATTTTATGGCAGTGAAATTATCCAACATAATGCTTTAGTTTAATAGATACTATAATACAATTGATTAACATTGTGTTCCCAAGAAAAAACCCAGTAATTGTTATGGCCATCTCGGTATAACAATAATAATGTTGCAAACAATTGTTTTTTCTTAGAATTGCTCGAAATATCTTTTGTCTAACACATCTCTTTTGTATAATTTATAAACTTTACAAAATAATAAACGCTATTAAATAGATGGTAACGCTTTAAAATTATCCGCTTGTCATCCGCTCAGGAATAATTTTGACAATACTGTTATGTAATAATAATGACTTAAATATTAATGGTTGATTTTCTTAAAACAATATGGCGGTCTTTGCACATGTGTTGCAAGTCGGCTTTGTAAATGTCGGCATTGCTTTCAGCAAAATGGCGTCGATACGATTATTAATAACAAATTCGGTCCCAGATTTTATAACCCAGGATGAATGTGTTGCCATGTGTGCGGACTTAGGAAACAAGATTTGTTTATGAAGCGGAACCATCCTATGTTTAGGTAAAAAAATGATGCATTAGCGCAGCGTGCTTTTTGTTTGAGACATTTTAATTAATAACACGTTTTGAACCACTCATATATAATATTAAATAACATTATTAGCGTTAAAATATTTTAAATGGTTTAGGAAGCCAATCATATATTAATTAGTGAAAAAAAATTACATATTATGTACTTATAAACGCAGCACAGATTATAAAAAGAAAAGAAATAGAGTAATTAGAAGCCCTTTTAAAGTTCCATTCGTTCTAATATAGATATTTTTATTAGAATGAGTTCTACAGGGCTTCCTCATATTTCTGAGTTAATAAACCGTAAATAATCTCAAGTTTTATTGATTTTAGACGTGAGACTGTAAACTTCAAACGGGAAACAAATATCAAGAATCATAGAGCGGGGTCGTTATAAAATAAATTTTAATGAACCGATGTTAGTGTATCTGAGGACTTCATTACCGCTTTACCTGTATAAGAGATCGTTAGTAAGCTATTTCGGTCTAGACTCATAATGTTTGCGTTCGAGTCAATCATTTATTCAGTGATGTGTCGCCCGGCGACATCTCACGGGAGGCGAGAGCACGCACGATTTATTATCCCCTCTCGTATAGAACCCACGAATTAATTAATCAAATTTAGCTGTCACTCAGTGCAAAGATAGCGACTATTTTGAGAACAGCTTCCTTTTCCTGTCGACACCGAGACGTTTCATTAAATTAAATAATTGGCGACTTTCTACATATATTTTTTTTACGTGTTGACAGCACTCCAAACACAACTAAGTTGAATATTATTATTAGTGATTTCGGAAGCATTGAATAAACCTATAGGTTTATATTATAATACGACCACACAATAGATATCTCGTTGGAGAGATGTAATTTAAACGTATTCTTAAACAACTAAAATAGTAAGGGCGACCGTAAGAAGTGCCGTGTCACAGCACAGATAACAATAGTGTGAGTAACAAAAGTTCTGTCAAAATTTCGGCAGGTGAATGTGAGTCGCTACCTGGTCGCGTGCGTAGGCGCCTACTGGAAAAAAAAAACAACACACTTTAACCTTCATCTGACATCTGTGATCTACCGGAAATCAAAATAGGGTTAAATTGTTTAACAATTATTTAATATTTAATAACACCATGTTAATTCGTTTCGATTTAATGTATATATAATTTTAAATTCCTTATACATACTGTCATTGTAACCATTTTTTTTATCCGATGATATTATGAAAGTCTTTTGTTGCTAGTGATTTGCATATAAATAAAATGGCTGACTCAACAAAAACATCATTGTCACCAATCTATACAGATATGGAGATGTTTTATCACTTATTTATATTCAATATACCGTATATATCATACAAGTGTTTATTTATAGTTGAGGCTGAATGCTTTTGGACCTTTGGCTCGTGATGATTTTACGAATTTATCGTTATCCGATCAGCTGTCGAATTATCGTATGAAAAGTTTAGGAATATATTTATAAAATGTATTATTCACTACGCTCATGTTATTTGATATAATTGAAATAATATTTTCAATTATTTATATGGTTTAAATTTAAATGTTATTGTATAATGTTTAATATATTTCGACCTTTAAGACACACAAAGCGACGCAACATTGTAAATGGAATGTACTGTACTGAATAAATACATGAATAGATCATTATTTCTGTGGAATAATTTATATAACTTAGATATAAAGATTTCATTCGTTCATTATAGTAATATTTTTTATCTTTACAATAATACGGCGCAGTGTTGCAAGATTATATCACAAAATATTCAAAATACCTAGATTATGTTTTTAAAAATAATTTAATTTAACAGAAACACATACATATTTATTTATTTTATATGGGTTTGAAATAAATTTATTGTTTAAGAAGATTTTTTTTATATTACAAGGAATTTTGCTGAACCGTTTTTTCACCAAACAAATATTCATAATCAATTACAATAATGTTTATACATAATGCGTATCAAATAAAACCCGTAGCAGTTTTATCGCTCACGACATTTTTCTATCAACTGTTAAAATTTTTACAATGTTGCCATTTAAAGGGGGATTTTATTTATTGCAAACGGTTATATACTTTATGTTGTTAGCAATAAATGTTATTTTAATTAATAATGATTATGAGTTACTGCCGTGTGTTGATGTCACTCGACGGGTACCCGCATTATACATTATTGTACCTTGATATTGCTTAATATAAACTATTAATTGTTTAATTAAAATTGCTAGTGGATAACGGTTTCCATAATTATAATGGTTTTCCTAACGGCTTCGATATTTAAATAAATTATACAATATTATATATGTATATAGAATAATAAAGATTGGAGTATTTACTTTTTGTTATAACTAAACTTGATATATACATAAGTTTTGAAAATTTTGACATAAATAAGTTGAAATTTTTTCTTTGTTTAGGGACTTGTGAATGCTTTTAAAATCTATAGTATGTAGTTATAAGCCAACTACTAAAGTTACAACACAAACAAAGGTCTCTACAATATAACAATAAAAATAATTTAAATCTTGCAAGGAATGTCTTTAAAACGTAATGCTTTAATTGTAAGCGATAAAAATCTAATAAATCGATAACTTGTTTTATCGATAAAACATTAACTATCCTTATTAACCTCAATAAAATGTTGTTGGTCTCATAATAATTTATGCTTTATTGTATTTAACTTAGTTTTTACAGTCCAATTAATTACTATTTAATGAAGTTTATCTAAGAATTATATGAAAATATCACGCCAAATAACAATAATGCATTTTTTCCATTGAAACAAAAGAAAACCGATTAGTTCTACATTTAAATATATATAAAAAACGTACGTCGATATCAAAATCAACAAATGCACAGACAATTGATCAACATGATAGATCATGTTAATAATAAAATTAAATATTATTAAATTAAATTTAAATATTTTGGCTGAATGATTAAGGCTGAATCATTTCAACCTTTGCATTATAAAAAAAAAAAAATACAATGACAGCTTGTCTAATGTCATTGGTGACAGGTAGCGGCGTCAGTAGTCCGTTGTAATAGTTAGATGTTTTAAAAGGTACTGTGGGGCGTTTCGATTGGTTTTTAATGAAGCGTCTTCGCAAACAATGAGTTATGTAAAGCAATACCAGTATCGGTATTTGTCGGGCTTCGAGAAGTCATACGAACATTATAATCGCGTTCCGATATGATACTGCACTGTCCTTAATTAAAACTATGACGTACTACCGCTTTATATGTGACACTTATTGCGTATAAAATAAGGTATGTTTTTGTTTAGCATTATATTTTTTTTTACGTTGTATGGATCTTAAATATTTATCTTTTTTTTATTGCATTGTTAGTCATTATCATTATTTTTTTGATATAATCTGTATTATTTTATTTATATATAATGAATATTGATCGTTTTGCGAGAATATGCATGTGAGGCGGCCATTAGCGTCCTACTAATGACTTGCCGGCATTCAGAGAAAGCTTTGTCTGGATATTAAACATTTGAATATGATTCTGATATAAATTTATAATAATTATTTTGTATAAGGAAGCCATTGTTATCAGATATATAATAATATATTGTTAATATGATATAGTCAAATCAAAGACATTGTAAGACGTCACTTGATAGTCTTCCGGAAGCCGATAGTGTTGTAGCGCGAGCTTACACAGATATCGGTGGATTACGATGTTAATTATATATTTATAACTTATTAACGATAAATATATACATATATTATATACTAATC